TTTTAATTTGACATTGCAGCTCAACTTTGAGCTGACTTGATTTGAGTGCTAATTGACTGGTTGATTTTACTTCGATATCATAACGCTAGTTCCATTTGATTTTCTACAGATTTCAGTGTAATTTAAATTTTGTTTTGCGATCACATGAGTTTTAATTAGCTTGAGTTGACTAACTTATCATCCTGTTTGACTCACTGAACTACAAATTAAATTCGGCCGTCCAAGAATTCACTTGACTGTGATTCAATTTGGCCTTGCCTGGCATGAGTTCGCTTGTATATATGTGACCATATCATGACTTGGTGTGAGTTTATTTCAAAATAGCTTTGATTACGTCTTACTTTGCCTAATCTGACCATGAGTGGACTCGCTTTGATCTTGACTGTAGTCTAGCCTTGACAAGGCTTAACGCCGACTTGAGATGCCTTCATTATGAGTCAGATTGAACATAATTGGAACAGCTCAATCACCTTAACCAGACTTAGATTCTGACTTCGACTTCAGCTCCGTGCTTTAAAAATTTTCGGCTCTAGCACCAAAATTTCTTCCCCTCTGGTTCGAAGCAATCCTGATTCAGATTTATCGAGCCAGCCTTAGCTGCGACTAGTGAATGTTGCTGTGATTTCTTTTTGTTTGAGGGAGCCAATAAACTTTTTGGCTCCGTAGCTCAGGCTCAACTGCATTATTCTCAGCGAAACTCATCAAACCAACTGGAATATTCATTCACAGAAACCAATCAATAAGCACCCCGTTACATACTGAGTAGCCGAAGAAGGAATAACTCTTATGCTGATAATACGAGGTGTTGTACTGATCACGTTAATTACCAAATGCTGTTTTAAACACTAGTTCATTGTTCAAAGCGTCATATAAAACAAACATCTTGACAGCAAGTTTATACGGCATTACCAGAACAGTAGCGGTAAGTTGAATAATAAATGAAAAATAAATTTCACACCAGCCAAAACTACGATAACAATTACGGGAGGTTGTTCATTGTACAGAATCAATGTACCAGTGAAACGAACTGTTTTACATAACAAAACGAACTGTTTTATATAGGACATAGACAACTAGGCACAGTGAAGTGAGAACTCTATATACAGATGCATGCAGCAATAATGCAAATAAGAGAAACTTATATATTGATATGATAGTTATCACATTATAATTATCACACATGTATGTGATGAAGACGACCTATAGACATTAAAAAAAGATCAACTCGTAGTGAGAGAATTGAGCAAAAAATTGGGAATAGAATACTGGACATTTTAAACGAGTCTGGGTGGTCAATATAAATATAAGTTCACGAATTGCAAAGAGAAGCGAACCGATAAGGCGATTCAAGCAATTAAGTAGATGTTGCTTATCAGACCAGACTAGCACATAACATGGTTAGCAAGTTTATAAAAGACATCAACGAAAAGCTCCTGTAAAAAGCGTCTCGTCTGCAATCTGTAGCGATATTGACAAAGTATTTCAACAACATCAGCGTATATGCACGGTGATGAGAACAGTTCGGGATGGGCAGCGTACATTCTTAAAGAACCATTCGTTAATAATTTGATGCAATACCTGACGAATACTCGAATTTTGACAACAATCTAATGAAATCGTTGAAGAATCATTCAAACAATCGCTCGATTCAACAATTCCACTTTCTGATGGGACCTCACAGGAATATGAATCAAATCGATCATTTCATTGCAAGATGAACTGATTCAATCATGAGCAAATATTTGACTTATGCAACTTAATTACCGAATATAAATGATCAACTCATTTCTATTCATCACAGTAGATAAATTCAATCTTCACTTCTAAACTGAAGAGTTGATGACAAATTCATTGTTACATTAAATTATTCAAAGGTTTAGTAATAAAATAACCGTCGACAAATAAACAACATACTCAATCAATTTCTTCTCGGGTGAAATATACTTCGATTCCATGAGTTGTACCAACGAAAGAAGGATAGCTCGTGACTCCGATTTTACCGATTTTTCGTTCATTTCTCCTGTGAATGATTACAATAATAAGAAATTGTTTTCAGAAATCAAACGAGAGAAGATCTAAGTGAACACATTCAACATCGATACCTCAACTAATGTTACTTTTCATGAACGTCAGGATCAAGTTTTCACTGATAACTACTCTTCAAATGATGCAATTAAAAGAGGTTCATATCTCCTATACCCCGCAAACCTTTCAAACGCATTATTCAGTTTACTATTATATTAACAAGCACTACATTGCATTCAACCAAATTACTATATTTCAAGCACAGTACTGACTTTAAACTGAACTGATACCTTTTGAACCAAACACTTTTTCTGACCAACTGCAATAGAAGCAGTTCTTCTCATTATGTACTTTCTTCTCCACAATTTGCAGAGTAGTTTCGCGTTTCTCTTGGTTTAACAACGACGAAACAACCGCATGATGTACGTTGTTGCTTTCTCTAGGGAATATATCCTATAAGTATGAACACTATCAATTTTTATCGCGAACAAATGAGCAGCTAATGTTGTGATTTACCTTACAAAGAAGATCTGCTTGACCTGGAACTGCAATTATAGTCCAACCACAGTTGACAGTCATTGTCGACGTGCACTCAAGTGGAATCATCCCTCGCTGATCACCCAAATGAGTGAAAACATTTCGAAATTGGCGATATGCCTTCAACTAGAATGAAACACAAAAATGTCTGAAATTGTGTGCAATGGAAAGCGAACCAAAGAGTTGTAAAGCTCTTGATTCAATGAATCTATGGACATGCGAATTTGCAAGTGAATTGAAAATATTACGATCATGCAGAATTACGTGATAACAGCGACTATCAGTGATGAATGGTTTAATAAATTATACCGAAATGCTGTTTGATATTCTATTCCTTGACTGAGATGAGATTACGAAATATATGATAAAGCTTTGCTTTGGTAGGTTGACGAACTTAAGCAATATCTGACTGCCTAATGAAGACTTATCCAATTTTACGTTATCAACATAACACCCTGACTGGTTAATTTCAACAGTTACCTCATTGTTTGACATATAAATATATCGTACTGGCTGACCAACTGAACTTTGAATCACTTGCATTTTTGAGAAGGCGAATGGTTTTAATTTATATTTTTGTCGAATAATCGATGAAGTGTGCAGTTCTCCACATTTCTAAACATATCATCTCTAGTTTACTGTGCTTCAGTTGTTTAATCGTAAGTGTCTTTCTGCTGAAGTATGTTAATTGGTCTTGGTAAATATAATGAAACAAAACTTGAGATTACTAATGACTTGGATGGTTTTAAGCTCAGCTTAGATGAAATTAAGAATTAATTTAACTTCAATCGGAAAAATTCATGAATCAGAAACATATTCCTTGTCAATTTTCTATTTTGTTCTCATTACATTGAATCGTTTTCATTACATCGTTCATTCAGGCTGACATTTCTAAAACTACTAATGAACATTTACGGACAAAATATTCTGTATTTCAACTTGATGACAGTATTTAATGCTGAGATGCTGTCAACAATGCATTATTTATCTGGTAGTTCCACACTAATGTCACATCGCCGCAGTCGATGAAATTCTCAACGGCATATACCTGAAAGTCGATAGGAGTTCCAAAAACAACAACGTTATCAGGTCCGGATGGTCCAGTCACTCTTCTTCGTGTTATACGACTCCTTTCAGGATCATTCAGTTCACCCGTCGAGCAGCACAATTCTTCAAATTGGAACTATCACTAATTTTTCAACAAAAACGAGCCACGAACGGCAAGCAATCAGTGAATTAGAATAAAGCAATAACAAATGAAATAAATACCGAGACTATCTTTCGGCACTGATCCGAATCCACTAGTGATAACTGAATCAACTGTAAATGTTCGTTGGCGAGCTGGCTTTTCAAACGATAAGCTGCTCAAAGCGTTGTGATCATCAGCGATAGCATTGAGTATATTGTGACGTGATGGATGCGGAGTTGTTGTCTAAAACCCGACAATAATAGTAGCAGCGGAAGTAATTAAGAATAATAATAATAATAATGATAAATAATAATCGCAAGAATACTAACAATAAAATAAGAATAATAAAAATAACAATGACAACGGCAATAATAATATTACTAGCAATAATAACAAGAATAATAATTTTTAAAAATGATACATTCATTGCTCAGAAGTTGGGAATATGAAATGAGAGTAAATTGAGAGTAAGAATGCAGTGAATTGAACCAACATCTGCAGAATTTGCCTTTTCAAAGCCTTCATCAAGGCTTTTTTCATCAGCAGATCCATCGATGCAACGAATCCATATATCCGCATCGTCTAACTTCACCAGATTCAATTCATTGACTGCTATTTCCTCAATCACTTCTGTATGCCGATTGCTCTCCCAACCTAACGAAGCGATCAAACCTGCGCCTGAAAACAATTCATAGAGACCATCTCAGCTCCATCTAATTATTTATACACATTGATGCCTAAAATCCGAAGACAAACGAATCTTTTTGGTTCCCTTAAAAAATATAGCCGGAGCTAAGACTACAGCTAAAATAAAGCTGTACGATGGTTTTTTTCGAATGTTTATTGCTCCGGAGCTCGAGTGAAGCAAATTAAATTTTGGAATTGCAGTCGAAACTGGAGCCTAAATTTACAAAAGCGCGCAACCGGAGCTGGAGCCTAAATTGCAGAAACGCGGATCTGTAATTGGAGCTGGAGCAGGAATGTTTAAAAACACGAAGCTGGAGCCCAAATGTCGAAAAGCGTGGAGCTACAGCTGAGCCGTAATTTCAAAAATGCGGAGCTGGAGCAGAGTCAATTTTTTCAAATCAGACATCATTGCTAATATAAAACTTCTTAAATTTGAATAGTCCGTACTTAAGCAAAGTTGAAATATGAGACTTCAAGAAATTAAACACGAGCAGACGTGAGCTAAAACACCACGTGAATCAAACAGAAAGGAAGTTGATGATGAATATTTCGCAAAGAAAAATTAGTGTAACGAACCTCGTTTGGTACTGCCAATCAAGTTAATCGCCCAAAAGGCGACACCTCGAACACTTAAAACTGGACATTGTTCTGCGTAACGACAAATTATTGGAACTGTTTCAGCAGGTAATATACTAAGGGCAGCTGAAAGTTTCATCCATTACCAAACGTTTAATTACGCCAAGAGAATGCTTATTCTCGAAGTATGATCTGACTCGGTCGTACAGGATAATGTCTAAATTATGAACAAAACGATGATTTGTGGGAATATCGTGAATGAAGAAACAATTTCTTACTTGAACTAGAAGATCCAGCAATATGAGCCAATGCAAGGATGGCACCTTTGACATTGCGTAATTGATCGATTTCAACACTAACTGGCCATTCTCTCAAGTATTTTAATAACCTCTCAATGTCACCACTTTGCGCTAATATTTGCTGTCCACTTGGATGGAGTGCCAGTTGACCATAAAAATGAACTGGTAATGGAACAGATCGTCTCGATGATCTGCAGTATTACACAGTGATCATCCGTTCCAAATAGTGAACACATATTTACTATCACGAGATGCAATTTTCCCATGTTTTTCGAAAGGGACCTATTTAATAGATTTTCCATGATGGAGAAGAGGCTGCTAAAAACTCAAAGACAAACATGCGAATAAGGCTTCTGAACAGGTGAATTGATATGTAACCCCGGTTTGGATAATCATTTCAAGCTGGCAGAAAATCATAGATTTATCCATGAACTTCGTATTAAAGTGAACGAAATCTTGCTTTCGAATTGGAAGGGAAAGGTACATTTAAGACATTTTGGGTGATGTATTGCAGGAGGGGACTGGTCAAGGAAATAGGGTAAACATACACATCTTTTCAAATAAAAACAGCTATCATATTATGCACCATAAAAGGTTTCCCAACATCTTATATAATAATTCTTGGAGCTGTATGAATAGTGATGAATAGCAGCTATACCGTATCCCTTTAGATACAATCACGCCTCTACACTAAAGCTGCCTTATCCCGGCAGCGCGAGAGATGGAAATCCACTCTCAACCGAACAGCTCTACCTTGAATGAAGGGCCTCTTCCTTCCCCCTTAGTAGGATTTAGTTCTTCACAGCAGTAATTCTTTTCGGCATGCGCAAGAAACCTTACAGCGAAAATATCATGAGAAATAAAAGTTTCACACTGAATTCGATTCCTACTAAAGTCCTCTGAAATTCGATTCCTACTAAAGTTTCACACTGAATTCGATTCCTACTAAAGTCCTCTGAAAAATGAAAAGCTCGAGGCTGATATATAAGTCAGGTTATATACGCATATGAATAACGATTGTTTATTTCATCTGCAGCTACAACGGCAATAAATGACTGCAATCGCAACAATAAATACCTATCATTTGAAATTCGAGCGAAACGACCGTCCAGTGATCTTTTCATGTTGAGTAATGCCACTTTCATATCCTCATCAATTATGTCAACGTAACGCGCATTGAACTGCTGAAATATTGATGTTTACCACAATACTATTTCGTTGTCATATAAATAATGCTGCTTAAAAGCATACATATACGTAATACCGGTTCGAATTTTGTCAAAAACCAAACAAGGTTGGATTTTCATTGTGAAGAAAACTTGATATCTCAAAGATTCAATGGTTCTTTTACATGTTGGTCATGTCCTTAAGCGCAAGGAAATATTTAAGAATAACCAGAAACCAATTGAATAAGATGTTATAAGATGATGTAAGATCGCGAGTTCGAGTTCCGTTGGTTGAACAAATTTTAATGTAAGCTAAATGATGGGAATTGATTGTTATAAAGAGGAGGAACCTTTCTCCATATATTAAATGTCATTTGCACATCATCGGGGTTCAGCTGAACGTATTCTTCATTCGCAAACAAATGTGTTTTCAGCATAACACCTGCATCGCCAAGTGCATCTAGACGAACTTTTTTCAAGAGCGTAACACTGTCTGGATAGAACTGAAACATTGTGACTTGATAATGTACAATTCTACATTCTATTTCGATGTAAAATAATGTATCTCGAATATGATTCACAGACATCAAACTCTCAACGAAAAGCTTAGTTTCTGAAGTAAAGAAGTAGAGTGGTACAATATTTTAATACTGAAACAGAGCATACAGGCATCCAACGATGAAGCAGTCGTACAGCATGCCTAACAACCTTCGGAGACGGATCGGAAAGCTGTGCTAAAAGAAGACTCATACCCCAATCTTCGAAATTCAATAGCTCATGAGACGCAAGAACACCAAGAAAACGAGTTGACCACTTCCTTGCAGCCTACAATGAGCAACAATTACACTTCAGCAGAGATTTAATACGGCCAGTTTCTCCATTTCAATTAAACCTGCATCATGAAACGCACTGAACTGAAATTAAAAATTCCACATCAATAACAAGATGTCAATATTTAATACAGTAAATATCTGAGAGAAGTTCTCCTCTCAACAAAAACTATACATTCATTAGGTCCCACTCTGAAAATGGAACATGACAAGCTATCATTCAGAATAATTTGATTGAAACTTCGATGCGAGTAGGCAAAAAGATGAAGGGATTTGAAGAGGATATCATCCACACATATGAATACTCGAAGAAAAAACTGTAAACTGCTTAAACAGGCCTGACCAACGAATGATCCGCAACAGCTACTGAAATTATGCATACGTGAATGCGATGCACAAGATATCTAGAATCCTTGCAAGCAACGAAACGGGATGATGTAGTTTACGTTTTGATGACTTACACACAATGTTCACCTCATCCTTGGACGGCTGATAATGAATTTTGAACGTCATTCGAATTTGTGCATTCGTTTAAAACCATTGCTCACCCAACTACGTTCAAAATTTATACTTTGGTATCTATTGAAATATTAAGGGTTTAGTAATGTTCATTGGGAGGTTACTTTTTGATCGGATGGGAAGAGGGGGGGGGGGGGGGGNGGGAGGGATAGATCCGGAAGGAGGACGACAATTCAACGCAGTTTTAAAGAGGGGTCATCTTCTCGATGCATACAACTGTGGTTGGGTCGAGGATGAAATCAGGATCCGAGGACCCCCCACTTCGAAAGCACTCGAGGGTTGGGACAGGATCGGATTTTTTGACAAAAATATTGAACAACTAGCAGTAGTGAGCTACTCTAGGATATCTCTTTTCTGTGCCTCTCGGCAGTGCCTTCTAAGACGTACTACTCGTTCTCTATTTTTCATTATCACTCTTAATTTTTTGATTGCGATGTTTTCACTTCATCACCTGGTTATCGTTACTCTGCTTGTTTTTCTCTTTTCATTTGTTGCACACCACTCATCTTGAAAATTTGATAATAACCACTATATTAACAGAACTAAAAATAGCGAAAATGAATTTCAAATTTTTGTAAAAAATTTGTAAAAAAAACTGAAGTATAGGGAAATACGACGTCAGTATTTTCAAAAACTTCGAAAACTAATAAAATAGTTGGATGGAGCGTACTAAAACTCAATGTTTCGATGCATTATTTGTTTGTAACCCACAAGTTTTTTTTTGCTATATTAATTTGGCCAGGGAGCAGTTTTGTGTTGGTCAGGCCTGAATTATGATGCAGGCATTAACCTCATTCGTGGATGTCAGTGCTTTTTGCAGAACAACTCTTGCTAAACTATTGCCAACCGAATAATCCAAACATGAAACAATCAATTTCACATATTCCACCGACGCTGTTGTCGTCATCAAGCCAACAAATCTGCAACGCGTTCATTCTTTTAGTAATGCATCCAAACAGTATTTACCTATTTTATGAGCATTTCCACTGCTATGCTAGTTATACAATAATGACACAAACTACAAACCGTACGTCTTACAACATTGTGCTGCGGGGAAGGGAAAAAGTCGGAGACGAAATTTGCGGCCGGAGAACCCGAAAATGCGTCGCCTTGAAAAATGCCAGGAACGGGGTCCTCGTTGTCCACAACACACTATCTTGTACTGTCAAGACAACCAACCATCTACCCTAACAACCAGTGCCAATCACAATGATTATATTTTGATAATCAAAAAACCTTCATCAACTTTGCTAGATGATGTTCCGCAGTCGAATCTCATGAGAACACTTGTTCTCTTCTAATTAACAATTCTTCAGACAATTAGCTAAATGAATACGCTTTGCTGCTATGGATAACATCATAACTAGTATTGAACCGCGATAATCCTGCACTCAATTTTTGTTGAGTTGTTCACACGGATTATTCGTGCATTGAAAACGGATCGAATGCATGCATTTCTTTACATTTCTTCATATTTATACAGATCATTCCAGACGGATAGAAGAAATGAATTCGGAAAGAGGGGAAGTGATAAACGTATTTGGGTCGGGTCACCGCGGGTCATCATCCTATCAACCACACTTGTTCATTGTGTTTTGTGCTTGTTGATTAGACGAGATGAATAAATGTTATCGTGAAAGATAACTGTGTGCATCTTACTTGGATAACTGTCACTTATTTCCTCGACCAATTCGCTTTACATAACAATTCACTTTTGTACACAACAACAATTCTTCAATCATTTCATTATCAGCATTTATTACAATAACAACTTCGGAAATTTTATTTGGTTTTAAACTGGATTATATAACATGACGTTTCCGCAATCAATGAACTGCTTTTTTCCTAAATCCGATGAATGTGAGGACAATCAACTACATATATACTTATAAATCATATCCAACGTAAGTGGGAAACTAATAAAGCAAAGGCATATTCAGTTCTACTTACACGCTGCATAAGTGTGGCGGTAGTCAGATCGGGGCATTACATTTATATAACATAACGGTGGAAGGGGGACTTAGGTTGAGGCCTAGACCAGAACTGAGGTATCTATTATACCAGTGGTTCTTATAGTCCATGGGGTGGTAACTGAAGGGATCGGTAAACTAATCTTTCGTGCAGGTGTTATGTTGTGATGGAAAGCCACTGTGATGGTATTTGTTCACTCAAGAATCACTCATGGCAAGACTCTTCTTTATCCTATTTTCTGAGTATGTTCAGTTCGTCTGGGCCTGAACAAAAGTCAGTTTGAAGTAATCACAAGTATTCCACAAGTTTTTCAATACTCTGGCTGACATCGTTTCTCATGAGCTGTAGGAATTGATTGAGTTTTTTGGTGCGGCAGAAAAGATCATTGGTTTGGTGCGAGAAGAGCGAGTATTTCTGCACTCATTCACTGTTATTATTCGGTTGCACTGAAAAGTTTTGGTGAGCTTTCGAATTATTTCATATAATGGGATTTTTGGTTTGTAAATGAATTTTTTTGAACGAAGTAACTGCTCAACTGTGTCACAGGTATCTGGTTTGTACCAAAGGGTATTACGCTGTGATGGGTGTGTTGTGGGAGTTCTAGATTGAACATTATTGCATTCATATTCATGAATTAAATACTTAGGCAAGTTGTTGTTTTTAAGCGTTTTCCAAGATCGCATTTGTAGAAATAGCAAGTTCTTGAAGGGGATAGAGGGGGGGAGGAGGGTAATGACGGATTGCCAAACCATCAAAGAGATAGTGAAGCCCACAAGCGTGAGCATCATTATATTAAACAAACAGATGGTGCTCTGGTAAGAGCCTCACCCTAACTTAAGCACGAATGTAATACACCGCGATATCCCGCTCTGAATTAGGCCCCTTGATACATAATGAAATTTGAAGCTTTTAAACAATGCCCGCGCCACCTGGGTAATTTGCACAGCATAAATAATAAGACTGAAAGGCGCAGCCACTCATATGATAGTCAAATTAACCTCTATAATTTTGTTGAGGAAGGTGCCCTAGAATGAAGTGTGGCAACCGATCAGGGCAGGCACTGCCTACTATCTATCCACTAATCTAAACCTGCGTGCACTATCGTTAAAGAAATCGAATTGGATCGAATGAAATCAACTCGAATTAATTTGATTTCACTTTGCATCCTTCACATTCCCTTCCCATCCTTCATAAAGACATACATCAATTCGGATATGTTCTATCTGTAAAGATGACTTCACTTTAAAGACACCCCTCTTTCTTTCTGAACATACCTTCCTATTTAATAAAACACTCGACGTATCCATTCATTTATCCATTTGCATCACCAATCAACTTCAACCAATCCATATTACTCATTCTTATTCGTTCTCCTCTCTTTCCACTACCCTCATTTTTTAATAAATGAACTTTCATTTCATTATTACATTTACAGTTATTACTTTTTTATTGTTGCTTTACATTAAGACATCTATTCTAAGTAAGCTTTATCTCATCCATTTATTTCATCATAAAACCACACTATTCGCAGTCTTGTTTGTATACACTTCGCTGGCAAGCTTGTCAAAAATTGTAAACGCAGGACTTGATTTATTATTGAAAAATATTCATTCACCGATTGTGATGCTTACTAAATGAGCATGCTCATAACTAATTGAATCAGCTTTTTAATTGAAACGCATCGATCATGTGCTTAAAATAACACATGGCTTCATTTATCAAAACATGGACTGCATTCATGTCAATTCGAATTTTCGCCGTTTCATATGAAGTGACTGCTTTCAGCGCTCTTACTGTAGATTGTTTATGTTATTAGAAAATGAGTAAATTATCTGACAGAAGCGTACGTGCTCTAAAGTACTTTTTCACCCCTCCTCGTTGAAATTCAGTACATGTGTTGATCGAATAGTTTCTTTTTTTTACTTAGAACATGGAGAACAAAATACTGGTCACAAACAATATTTCTGAATTTGACTGGTACATGAGTGAGTAAGTTTGCATCTTAAATGGATGGGATTATTAGAATGCATTAGTATAAGTGTTTTGAAGTGTAATGATGAGTGAATATAACTGAGAAATTTGATCAATTCAACAAAACTAGATGAGATTAGAATAATTCCGACTGAACAGAATACGGAGACTGATGAAAGAATGGTAATGCTACGGTGAGAAAACGAACGGATCACCGTACCATCATTCACTTTTGTTATAAATACAAGTATATTTTGGATATATAACCGTCTATTCATCGATAGATGTATCGGTTTGTTTTCATTCGCTGAGTGATGCGTAAGAAACGATACGATTGAAAGAATTCTCTCAAAAAGGCATCGTCGAATTACACTTAAGAAACGATTAGATCAAAACGGAACAAGAAAACATAACTACGCTCACATTCAGTTCCTTGATTATCCAAATTAACACTTTCATTCTTTCAAACACTAATCAAACTATTCAAAAAATTTATTCAAAACAAAAGTGTTACCAAACGGAACTCATTATTCTGCGCATTTATTACGATTAGATTCCACTCCCGCTCTGATTATTCTAATCTGTGCCAGAACGACGTTTGCGAGAGTGAAAGGATTACTGAAGGTAGGGAAAGAATTTCATACCACAAACAGCCTCTGTCTACATGTTTAAAAATTCCAATCTAATCGAGTTCATGTGTTAACACGGACACGTATTATTGTGAAATAGGATTATTATAAAACTATTGAAAAAAAAGGTCTCCAAAAAGCATCTTTGGAACAGTCACACACTGAGAGCATTACATTATATTTGTCTTACAATCACTCGTCATTTCATTATTCATCCTAGATTTCCATAAATTAAAACTCATCTGATTTTGAAACGTCTTTTGACAAATGAATGTTTGGTCAAGATGAGTGTTTTGCAGATTTCAAATGAATTTGTTTACCTTAGTACAATTCAGCTGATCTCTCGGCAACCCTTCACTCCTCTGAATGAACAGAATTTTGGGAGCAACAGCAGTTTTGTCAAGATATATGAGACTGAAGAATGGAAGTGCAGTATATTATGATGGTTCTCAAAACATTTTCAAAATTAGATGATTTATGAGTTCAAAAAATCAACCAGAAGTATGATCGTCGAATACAATTAAATTACACCGAAATAACTATGGCATTATTTTCAACGAGAATAATATAAATAAATCTTGTTCGGTCCTACTGTATAAGGGTCGATTATAATTATTATTATGAGAAGTAAAAATCTGAAAATTCATAGCATTCACCGAAGACTGTTCTATTATATATAAGGTTGATATGTATTGGTGAATACTTCTCCAAAACTAAATTTTATCTGTTCCTATTTATGTGATGGGATCAAAGAAGCGATGCATGATAACGACGTATATTGTGAAAACGAAAAAGTCGTCCAGTACGTAAAAAATGAGTATATAATATATGCATTATATATCCACATCATATCCATCCATTTTCATTGTATTGTTTCATGTTACAGATATGGAACCATAGATGCCCATCACCAAAAATGTGATCTTCTGAAGACTGTTCATGTCAACGGTATATGAACATAGGGCACATGCGTTACGAATTGAGCCCCGAAAAGACATGCTTTATTTTCAGCCTAAATAAAAAGTTTATTCGCGCTAATTATACAGGGTGAATCAAAAATAGCACGGCGGTTTCAAATTGTCATAAAACGGCAAAGAAATGTTTTGCAAATATTCATGTTATGAGGTTTTGGCACATTGTGTTATGAAACTTTAAAAATATTCGTTAATTTCTTCATCGTTCAATTTATGGCCTTAAAAATTTTCAATTTTCGGCTTTTTTTCGCGAGACTAGGTTTTTTCACTTCCTTTTTAGATTGTTCACTTTTTTCCAGATTATGGAATGGACAGATGAACATCGTACGTTCGTTGCCCAAATGTTTTTCAAGAAACAGGAATCTGTGATTGTAACACAACGTGCGTTTCATAGGCGCTTCCTGCGTGGTCAATATCGTCTCGTGCCTGCTTCAAGCACGATTTTGCTATGGATTGCAAAATTCAGAGCCACTGGATCAAAACCGCGCAGGAAGCGCCTGCGAAACGCACGTTGCGTTGCAATCACACATTCCTGGTTCTTGAAAAACATTTCGACAACAACGCACAATGTTAATCTGTCCATTCCATAATCTGGAAAAAGTGAATCTCGAGAAAAAAAAAAGCTGAAAATTGAAAATCTTGAGGGTCGTAATTGAACGATGAAGAAATTAACCAATATTTTTTAAACAAGCATTGACGTACTTTTTATAGCAATGTGCCAAAACTTCATAATACGAATATTTGCAAAAGAAAAAAAGTTTTGCTAATTATACATTTCACTGCCTTTTTATGACAAGTTGAAACCGCCTGTATAAGCATTTCAGGTGGTTGTGTTACGATCGCATTAATATGCAATCGCTTCATCTAATAACCATCGCCAAAAATTGTTGATCGAATATTTCCGAACGTTGAGCCAATTTTTGGAATAGCGATTCGTTGATGCCACTCAACGATTAAATCAAGAACATGTTTAACAACCAGCTTCACATCACGTCAACTTTAAGTGCATCTTAGTGTTCTTCCCCCTAGATAACAATTCAGTCTCACCAACTAGCAGTAACCTTTCAATCATGATTCCAGCGAAAAGATGCTATCAAAAGCATAAATGTCATCTATTCGTTCATTCAATCAAATGTCTCGAGTGTCATTAAGCGATATATAAATACCAAATTTGACAAATTCCTTAAATTCGCTTCATTTCAGAAATGAATTTAGCAAGTTATCATTTCTCAATGATAATTACTATCTTGATATATTCGGTTGATGCAGATTTACCAAGTTGCGAACGTGCAAAATGTCATCATTGTCAAGTGGATTTTATCGCTAAAATGTGTCCGAGAACGTGTCAACCGTGCCCCAAACCAATTGTTAAAACGGTAAAAATGCATTCTACAAATAAACTTTGTCATACAAATATCTAGAAATAACTGTTTGTATTCAAAAACATCAACAAATGTACATTTCCAAAGGATTTTGATTAAACATACAAATGTTTTTCAAAGACTATGAAATGTGCATTGTAACGATTGATCAACAAATGCAAAATTTCAGCACAGCAATAAATTTGCGAATGCTAAAAGGATAGCACTTGCTGCATCAGTTAGATCAGAGCTGAATGTAGACGAAAAGGTGCAAGTATCATCGCAGCAGCAACAGCACGCAACTAATGCAGTCCCTCAACAACCACTATCACTGTCACAAGCAAAAACCAAATCCACTTTCACCACAAACAACAACCCTATCAATAAACAACTCTACCAAGAGCAATCCCAACCAAACCAGGTTACCTTAATTAAAATCACACCTTTTCAATCAATTCATACTCATTAGTGCATTCCTCATTCATGATCGCTTACCATAAGGCAGCTTTTATCTCTGATGTCTTATACAATAATAACAAGATTTTTGTTTCACTGATTTAGCGTAGATAAATCCTTTTCCTTATCTGATTTCATCCCCTTCCTCACCTTATTCCGATGACCATTAATCTGTCCGGCATTGCGATTTTGCATAAACGAAAAGAATATGGTTCATCTTTCTTATAGCTGACCTTTCAGTGAATTCGAGAATTGCGTTCTATGCTAACAGTTGTGTTAACTCTTAAAATATTGCATTCTCAGTAGACACCCTTAATATTCATTCAAAAAATTAAATGAAGTTTCAATATTTACAGTACTGACTTGAAAACGTTTTCCTCAATTATCTTTTCTAAAGTTAATTTTCATATTGAATTCATCAGTGATGGTAAGAAAAACAGTGTAACAAAAATTTTCCGATTCCTGTTGTACCAACAAAAGTGGTTTATCATTTGTTCTATGCTTTTCAATATGGCACTGAGTGTTCCTCCTTGAGCCTTTTGAAATTGCTCATTACTGTGCTTACTCGACTGTATTTCTTGAAATACTCTCTTGATATTGATTTATTTAATACTGATTAGTGGTGATGGTAACCGACCGAACTCGGTCGGATCCCGCAATTCTGAATTTATCGGTGATGTGAATAATGCACACTGGTGATGGTATCCGAACGACAGTCGGTTGGAAAAATTCGACAATTTCGGTTGGAATTCCGACGGTCGGATTCCGACCGAGCAATTTGGAAAGTCGGTTAGAATTCCGACTGTCGGAATGATGAAATGCCAGTTCGGTCGGATTCCGACCGATGAAAATTTCGTTCGGGTTCCATCACTAATGCATACTAACTAGTGACCAGGCTAAAAGGACATACAGATCCTCAGAAAATGAGAAAAAAAAAGAGCAGTATCATGAGTAAACTGTGTTTGACTGCACAAGTGAAAAAACGCCATGCATGAAGCAATTCGACGTTGAGATGCGTCACGAGTGATCGGTAGATTCTTGGGAGATGTTCGGAAAGAATGACTCGCTCTTTGGTGTGAAAAAGCTCTTATCGACACCCGAGGACTGGAAAGGTGTACAACAAACGTTCGTTCATGAGTTATTCATCAGGAACACCTTGACGGGAGATAAGGATGAAATGACTGGCCAATCGAGATTGACCTCAGTCTCGGGTCACTCCAGACACTTTGAAGTGAAGTCAGCGCTTCAGCTTTAGCTCATATACAGCCACAGCTCATAACATGTTGACACTTTTCCAGTCTGTTAACTGGAAAAGTGAAACAATAAATGAAATGATGAATATGTTTGAAGCGATAAACAACAGTTTAATTTCTCCTCAAAAGTGCACCAAGAGCATATAGATTTAGCAATAGCTCCAGTTCAAAAAATTGCCATTACGCATATTCGATAAAACCCAGCTGTTTCGTTGTTACTAATAACGTAAAAACGTTTCAGTTTTTTAACGATAAATTTTTCCATTTGTCTTTTTGTTGTTTTATCGTTATTTTCGTAATAAAGCGATAATGTCAAGAAAAACCTACAACAAATGCAGATGACTACATGTCTGATGTTCGAAGCACTCGTAAAATTGATTGTAAGTCACATTTCGGATGGGACTAGATGTTAACACCAATGATGTAGACTCGCGAATTTTTACCCGCTTACTTGTGCTCATTTTCATGTCTCACCGATTCCAACTGGCTCGGCTCCACCTCATTACAACTGCCGAGCTAGCTGTAAGAGATTCGCGAGCATCTTAACCACTCATCAATCATACTGGCTCGGCTCGCCAGCCAGTATAATTCTCAAGCTTAAACCCAAGCTTAAAACAGGCTAAAATACAGCTGAACTTATACGAAGTTTCCAGGTTCTTATTAAGTTTATGCAGGTTCTCTTCAAGACATTGAGCGTTCTCCTCAGTAACATTTCTAATCAGTTTATTCTACCTTTCATCCGTACTCAGAATCTTATTTTCATTTATTCAGTTTCTCATTTATTTCTTCATTCACTAGCAATGTCAGTCGAGGCCAGAATAACGCCTTGCTCGTGCTGTGAAACAAAACTAATTCAAAAAATGGCTGGTCAGCCAATAAACTTAAGTTGATCTCAAAGAGACTGCATACTCGAATTGCACTATGTTTTTTTCGTTTGAACGATGCATCCGTTTCAAATCAGTAAAAACCAGGTAAAGGAAGTGTGAAATAATTGCTGAAACAAAGTTGTTTCCCGCTTTCGCATCTTCTCCAGCGATGTACTAAAGCACTTAGTTTAGCGAAGAAGTGTAACGACGACGACGCCAAGGTCGATATACACTCCATCAGCATCAAACACAACGGAACTTGCCAGTCATGCTTCTTCTGCAGCACAAAAGCAGCACAATAATCAGTCATCACTACCAACCATCGATCCTCGAAACCAATCACCATCAAAAGCACAACCACGATACAAACAGCAAGTGAGCACTACAACGCCTGTCAATCACAACACCAACCAATTAATCCTTCGCTTGCTATCAACTCACCAATATTACTATACCTTCATCATTCTTCACTTTTTCAAATGCTGTCTTTTCACTGCACATTCTCATTAACTACTCATACTTTCCTTCAACAATACTTACCTCTTATCTGTCAATAACCAAACTGTTTCAACGCTTGTTTTACTGCCAAAAAGTGCTTACCGAAGGAAGACACTCAGGACCTTATTATAACTGGGTGACACATACCAAAATATAGCTCTATCAGAAAGAATCAATCGTCTCACTATATGGCGCAGTTCTCAGGAACCTTCAAAGCCGCGATTAATAAATAGGAGATTAATTAAAATAATGAGTCACAGGTTGCTGCACATAATCCAGACCGTAACATGAGAATTTTATTAGCAAGATGAAAATTGAAAATTTTTGTTTTAATTTCAAACACTACAGCTCAATGTACTTTGAAATGAAATCTGAATGTATGAAATGATTGCCTCAATTAGAACAACCCATAGGCCAAGCTGAATGACTCAAATTGATTCTCGGCTTATCCAGACGTAACTGACCGTTCAACTGTCAAGTCAAAGAAACTCATTTGATGACTCAAGCTAAACATAACAATTGATCTGTTTTATGATTGTTTTATACTATTATACTCACTGAAAATTTATACAGTGGATTTATTGACTTGTTTCAGGAAGGACTGATGTTTAAATTGTTTTTCAAATGAAACACAATAAAAAGTATTATGAAGACACATGAGCATGTGTATATTTTAACAATTATATCGGATATATTACATCATATAATTTTGAATAATCTAACATAACTAATCATAATTTTCAAAATTCATTATATCAAATAACAACATTTTGTTATTCAATATCATCAAACAAATGATATTATTAAATATTCTTTCCATAACAAAAATACCGCAATTGTTGAATGATATTTGAACATAACGATAAGAGATGAGTTCAGGCGGCAGCAATTCACCAACGAAATCAACAAGGACAACAGTTGCAGTCATCTCCGTTTATTCCGAACCAGTATCACTACCAGTCTATATCCTCACCATACCAAAACCAGAATCAACTTCCAAATGAACCACAACCTCAGTTCCAGGCACAACAAATCACTGCTTTCCCCGTGTACAATCAAGCATCATTACTACAGCCTCAGCCTCAATCACTACTATTCAATAATCCATTCAAAGCATTCTTTCCTCAACCACAATCATTCGAAGATACTCTTCATCGGGCAGTCACACCATCACCCCTTTTCACTCCATTCACGTTCCCTACTTTCGCACCCATTCCATTTCTTCAGGTAAATCTTTAACTAACACCTCAACAACTACCTAACTTAGATTAGCTGAAATCAATTCACTTAATTGGTTACAGCAAACATTTCAGGTGACAGCAGCACCATCACCTCAAAAGACAGCTCTTCAGCTGACACAATCGCAGTCTGCATCATCCTTTCTACCATCACCGTCCTCACTTCAACTGCCACCTTTCAATCAGCAAGTGTCAGCACCTCATATCCCTCCACCACCCCCTCCACCCATCTCTTTACTCAATCAGTTCCCATTCAATCAAAATCAATTCCTTTCATCACAATCTCAACCTCAACAAACATTCTTCTCCCCACAGCAAATATTCCAGCCACAACTTCCTCAACCACCAATTATACAACCACCCAATCAGCCAGCAATCAATCAACAAATACCCCAACTTGTATCATCAAATTCACAAACATCTCAACAGGTATTCTCCATTCTATCAAGCAGTTTTTATCCCATCATTTTCATCATTAATAAGAATTCATTTTAGCAAATTAGTGTCACTCAGCAAACACCGTCAATTGCTGCCGTAAACGTACCACAAGAAATCGTATCACCTTCTCGAATCGAAACCAACATTGATCTTTCAAATATCAATATTGAGAAGACTTTCTATTCAACTGGTAAAGAAAAGCCTATTCCTATAACACAGGTTAGAACAACCTCCAACATTACTGACAAAAGAGAAACGTGAATTTTTACTAATAACAACCTACATAATAATAAAGTAAGTTACAGTGTCCACGACAACCCAACTGGGAACCGTGCATCCCAAAGGATTTAGCCAATCAACGATTCAGCAGTTGTTGTCAGCGGCTCGGTGAGGGATGTGCGGCTCTGTGCAATTACGACGCCACACTTACAACGGTAAAAACTATTTTTATGGGGTTTTCTTTCAATAGAATTATCAGTATTTTAGAAATTTTGCGTTTATTGCTTGTAATAATGCGATAGCTATGTTCGAGAGAGAGTTCATCGTTTGAACGATGAATAAGTATCGAAGCTCGAACAATACAAGACTTGTGAACTAAAGAGATGAGAGCTAAGAAGCTATTGAATACTAATTTCAGATTCAATTGGCCGTTTTGACAGGACGTTGTCCTCTCAGTAAAGTTGGAGACATGATGATATGTGCGAGTGGCTATGAGGACGCAACACCATGCTGTCAAGCGTTCAATGTATTCGAACCTGGATTTGAACATTGTCGACCATACTGTAACCCAGCTGCTGGCCTTCCGCAAGGTGGATTGCTCAGCGAGCAGTACAAATGCCTCGGGAAACTCTCTCAAATTCAGCGATGTTTTTATATCAGTCAAAGACCCTGATCATCTTGTCATTTTCTTTCATCCAGCGAATCAACTAACTCAATATTCAGTACGATCACTTCACTTCCGCTGATCCTTATGTCAGTCACGAACGGGTTCTCCCTCCCTCTCTTACACACATGTTCATTTACCGAGAATCCATCACAGAGAATCGCAAACATGTGCATCCACTCAAACATTACACTCACACATCCATTTAATTGGATTTTATTCATCAGACAGAATGTTCAGTGACGTCGGTATACCCAAACAATACTGTGCCTATACGTTGCTTCGAAAAACTTGTATAATTAGGTACATCCACCGTGTACAATTTTTTCAAGCAAAAGCTCACCCATACCGCATGCTTACTTGCTATAATCCTCTACTTATAGTAAAAGAAATGCAATTCTTTTTGTAAAAACCACATCACTCGCTATATTAAACTTATAGGCGCTGTTCATTTAAACTTTCATAAGAAATCAGCAATGTATTATATTTATGTTCGTTGCTATCTCGTCTCAAAATATAACATAGCATTTATCATTGTTAAGTCGTCCGAATCGACTTCCTTAGTAAACGACTCTTTTGAATTTTATCACAGTTATTGAGAAAGACCTGTAAAAGTGCTGTTTGATTTCGGATATTGAAACGAGAGAACAACGTCAAATGTGTAGATACAAATTAGGTGAATAAAACATGAAATTCGCATGTGGACAATGTACACTTCTAAAACAGTATGTTTGGTCAATTAAACAGAAACGCTTGGTAGAAAAATGGAATAGCGAACCCGTAAAATGAGAAATCTACTGATGCAAAAACATTCGAATGAATTGAAAATCGTTTTGAAGAAGATAAACCAAAAATTACATCAACAGAACCAGAATACTCAATAAGGAAGTAAATTTAATGACTTAAATATAAACAATTTAGTTGTAAATCATTCAAGCAGTCTGAATAATGAGTGTAAAACGTAACTGCTTCTTGACAATTTTTCATACATTCAAGTACAGTCGAAATAGTTTTGTACATTTGATTCAGTAAGAGCGACGAAATGTATAAACCATTCAATTAGACATTTCGTTAAAAAGAACTGTGAAAATTGATAATGCAAAACGCACAACGAATACCATCAGTACTACAAAAGAGAAAATAAACAAACGTTTGAAGCAGTTGTGTTCTCTCCATTAATTTGCGACCGCATTCCTGTGAAGAAATAGCGCCAATCAATGCGAAGAAATACATTGCACCCGAATTAGAAATGCTTTTCGTAGAAAAAACACCTCTTGATAATTTACTCTGAAAGAATCAAAACGAAATAAAATAACCTGAGGTTGCAAATGAATACTGTATTTATCATAAAACAGAATGACCATTAAAAGCGTGAATGTTTCCATTTCTCGTGAAAAGTTCCAGAAACAAGTGGCGAGGAAATCAACAAAATGAGAAGCACTCTCACTAACAATCTCTAGATTTTCGACGAAATCAGTAAGAAAGTCTTGAACAAGTTGTTCGTAACGAGGTTCAACAGCACACAGAGGCATGATCACTCGAAACGCGCGACAGCCACAAGCTACTGAAAAGCGATCGCCGTCAAAACGTGCTAAGAACACACCCGATGATGGTTTGAAATAGTGGAGCAGCTGAAAAAAAAAGATGGTACTGAAGCAGAAACAAACTGTGATGGAAGAGAAGAACACCAGTATCCAGTTCAAATGTTGGAAAAACAAAATTATGAATAATAAACTTGTTACAAAAAACATGAATTACTACTGAAGTAAAAACCAAGAACGACTAGAAGCAAATAGAATTCATAGCTAGAATGTAATAACACTCAAACAACTTCAATCGAATGGTAGCGAATTTAATTCGAAAACGAACTTGCGAAAAGAACATGAAGCATCTTTCGGAGTGTCTATGCCGGAATAACGATGCACAAGCATCCATTTCCAAAAGTTGTAAAACACCATCAACCACAGGCCATCTGAACTGTTCATCAGGATCTACCGATTTAATGATCATGTCATGGATACACGAATCGATACCTAAAATTTCGAGTATCATTCTCCTTGATAATAATTTAAAAAATTATACTAGAGTAGTATTCAATGGAAAGAAACCTAATATGAAAACAATCAAACTGATTCAAAGCGACAGGACTGAATTACCATTTTCTCCGTCTCGTCGGTCGATTTGAAACTTGGAAAGGCTAACGGAACGATTTCGCTGAAGAGGTGAGCTTTGAACGAATAATTCTAAATTGCCGATTGGAATTGGCTGTGTCGATCTGGATAATGCTAATTCATTTAACACATCCAACCGGTACAATAATAACGGTGCATTACTGAAAATAAAACATCTGATGGCGAATGGTGATGACTGAAGAACATGTTTGCTATTCAACAGAATGCAAATAACAATATCTGTTCTCTTCAAATACAGCACCCATGTTCCATTAAACGCTCAGTGAATAAACCAAATATGACTGCAACACAAAAAAAGTGACAATATTTTCCACAATCGCATCTAACGTTAAAAAATTTACTGCAACGCAAATATTCCCCTAAACCAGTGGTTGTCAACCTTTTTTCTCGCCCGTCATCCTTAGAGAATTTTGAAACGTCCTCGCATCCCTCACAGCAATAGTTAAAATCTCCTCGCACCCCTCACAACATCCACTCTGCATCTCTCATCCACTACAGTGGGTAATGTACGTTAAAGTCCACCTTCGCTTTCTTCTACACATGTATAATTGAAACCCGTCCTCGCCTAAGTAAACATATAAAAAATGAAAATTTATCTCATGGAATACTATCTCGCACCCCTGGTTGAGAAGCCGAGTTCGAAACGAATCTCAAAATAATTACGTCTAAGAAATCACTAAAATAAATTCCAAAATCTACCCAGCATTAATGAAAGTATAATCAGAGCCTTCATGAGCATCAGAGCTTTCATTAAGAGCATTAATATTGGCATGTGTCGAACTGATGCAGCAGTCATTTGTTCGTGTTAACGTTTCACACGCACTTTGTATAAGTGTGGGCATACATAACACTCGTGAACGCCATTCCAGAGGCAGAAACGATGAACTCTGCAAACAATATGGTGCTGCTATTGAGATGAACTTATTCTCGAAAGATACTTATTTTACTAGATTCTAATCGAAATACCAGTTTTGCGATAAGATTGATACTAACTGTTGGTATGATATCAATCTTATGCTTCATTACGGATAAATGATCATCGTATTTATATGAAAGTGAGAAAAAAAAGAAATGAAGATGATGCTGAGGAGAAAATCGGAAGGAGATGCGAATTAAGAGACTCACCATGAGAAGTAAATCACTAAGAAGAAGTGTTGCTTTGATCGAGATTGCATCTTGCGGATCAACCAGAATCAAACGTGCTAAGGACTGCAAAGATGTGAGTGGAATATCAAAGCTTTCGATGACAACAAACATGACTGCACACCATACCATTAAGATGTAAGATCAGTTTTCAGATGGAGCAATCAGTTAAGTATTCGTTACTAAATCACTGAATGGGAAAAAATTCAAAGCAAATTTTTTAGCAAACGAATTTTACGAACTGTTTAGATGCTTGATGCACATTCGAAAATTTTATATTTTAAGTTTGCTTATTCCAAATCGTAACGCATTTGAATTAATTCATTCGCATCTTGCAATAACGATCATTACACGATATAATATTGATTAGCGAATGCTTTTATGAGAGCACATCAAACAAAGAAGATAAGATAAAACGATTCGAAAAAAACACCTGTGCGAAGCCAGCATCGATCAGAAAGAAAATCGCAACAGCTTTAAAGGATGCTAGAAGATCAACGTGATCGGTGAATCGCTGAAATGACTAATAAGCATTTAAACAAATGAATGAATACACAAAATTCATTGATAAAAAGCTCGGCAATACATCATTCTTGAGATTTCCGATGTCATTAAGAAGTGGATGCAAATATCCCAGGGTGTAGAAGAACCGTTGAATATGGCAGAAAAAAACGTCGCGAAAAACTGAATACTCATTTGAACCAATTTGAGGAACCACTTCAAGCGTATTTTGACATAAAATCATGGATGTATACATGAATTCAACTCATGAGCACTTTTTTGGGAAAAGGAATTTATTTGAGAAGGGGGCAGATTTCTCAAATAGGATGTATTTATTTTGAGAGATGGATAAGAGAGAGGAAGAGAAAGTGGTGTATGGCGAATGTAACGTTCAGATGATAAGATGAAAGAATACCAACGACCGAAAAACTCGATGAGTTATGATCAAGGAACAACCCGATGAGCATTCAAAGTGAATATCGAAAAAAAACGACTGAACGAACATTATTCGATGCTAATTGCACTTCATGCTCCGATAACACGAAGTCATCTCGTAACGAACATTTGAAGGAATCTGGATAATGCATTGTTGCTAAAATTGCCAATCATCAACAATAAAAACAAATGCATAAACCGAACTTATCAACAAAAATATTATTCACTAAAAATAGCAATCACAATGATAATACAACAAAACAACTTGCAGTAGAAATGTACAGCATCAATCCACGTATCAAAAGTCTTTGTTGCAAATGGTCGATCCAAATACTCACAGCAAGCGTCCACAATCATGCCGCGAATTCTTTTCAAATTCGGATTCACAACTGTGCCCAAACCCAAGAATCCGAGTAATCTGTAAACGAGAGTCTTGCAAAGAAAACGATCAGTTATTATCTCTCAAATAAATAACGGACGAAGCAATTGTGCTATTTTAACGAATATCAGTCACCTTTTCATATTATAATTCACATTGTTTGTTACTTATTTAATTGCACATCCATAGTTACAATACTGCATCGTATCAATAACAAATAAAGTCACCTGAGTTGAGAAGAAACAACCGTTTTAGTAGATTGATCGCTAGCTGCACATGCCAACAAGCCAGACCATGAGCTCAAAACAATCGAAAATGAACGTGTGAAACCAGTAAGCATATCAGCTATTTGCTGTGGTGAAACTGCGGCTTTTCTAGAATGAATCTTTTTGGCTATTATTATTTGTATTACTGTGCTTGATTGTTGCTCAAATGAAATATTTCTCAAGTTAACATTTTAGCGTTATAGTCGAAAGCAATCTTTACTTTAGTAAAAAATAGAGGATCCGATTTAAAAACTTCAAAGCCAAAGTATCAATGTTTACAATTTGTGAAATACATTTTCAATGGAATTGAATACGAAAAGCATTCTTAAAGCAGTATCAAATGAAAGAACTTACACTTCTTTGAAGAGTGATGAACTTTGAAAAAATCCGATTTCAATCAAAGGAGCGAAAATTTGCTGAAATAGAATGATTGACAACGTTACATAAGAGGAGGGCAGTCAACGACAACGAAATAACAGAATGGATGGCATAGAAAGTAAACATTTATTGATTCAAAGTTCATCATGTTAAATAAATTACTCTCAGTTAAGATACTCACTTCAAGAACCATGTGCATCTTGGCTTTGGCTCTTAAACGTGGACAATCCAACCATGTATAAAGCATTCGACATAACACAGCTGATATTTTGCTATTTCTCACTATTGGCCCAGCCAACGCTTCAACTATCCAACCTCCAAAATTTATTCATTTGTTCCGTTACGGTTACAAGAAATCGACTGAACCAAGTTGATTCAATTTTACGTAATTCCTAGCTCATTCGATAAATATTTTACAATAAACAGATCAGTTAGTATTCAAAACACAAGTGACGAAACAGAATTAAGCGTTCTTTACAGTCAACACTACGAAAAGATGTAATTAAGTTAAAGAAAAAAGCAATAAATTAGAATAACTAGGATGAGGGAGTGGCGTAGCCAAGAGGAGGCATAGGGAGCGCATCTGCCTTGCAGCCCCCTCTCCTTCCCCATGGAGACTGGAAAAAAAGAGGAAAGAAGAGGGAAACAGAAGGGAGAAGAGATCAGAAAGTGGGAAAAAGAGGAGGAAAAAGAAAGAATGGAAGGAGGGAAGAAAAAATAACTGTTAAAAAAGTCCACCTCAAAATTGAGCTGTTTTTTGAATCAGACTATTTTCCGCCCCTCCCCTGGAGAACATGCTAGCTATTCCATCGGGGATCCTAGAAAACGACGAACATCCGAGCACGTACAATTTATAATAGTCAACTAAAGTGAACCATTCGCTTACCAGTGCCAGCTGCATCAATAATAATGTCTGGCTCACTGATTGCCATTTCAATGAATACAGCCAAACTCGCAGATGCTAGTCTAAAGGTTTGTATGAAAAATCGAACCATAAAATTATTTCTTACGATTAGTATTTAACAATAACATCCGGTTTGACTGAACAAACGATACATTAAACAATGATTGCATCCCGTTCAAATAACATTTTCAAATTCGGGTTTGAACAAACGAATAGTTAATATAACGGAATATCGCGTAAAAAGGAGAGTAGTAAACTGCGATGAGAAATGAATATACCCGTCAGGTTTGGTGTTGACAGCTTTATCGTCATCAGTTGCGAAGATAGTTCTGGCAATAGCCAAGATAGGTAATATAAGAGAATGTGGGAAGAGAAGATGACTGGCGACGTCAGGAACACAGCCTTTATTGATTTGCGAGTAAAGCGAAAGCAGATGCGATGACAATTTTAACGCTTCAACACGCTCATCAAAATTTTCAACGTCCAAATCCAAAGACCTTCAAACAAAAAATATTCATACTACTAATACTGTTGTTAGTCAAAGAACAACATATAACAACCGTCATAATCATCCTATTTTCTGAATATCATCAGCTCGTTCGGGCCTAACAGGGTTTTCATTCTTTTCCATGCTGTTATAATCGCTCTCATAGCTTTTATCACCAAAAGTGCTCTCTTTTGCTAATTTCTCATTCATTTCACTCAGCAATTAAAGTCAAATTCTCATTCTATCAAATACACTCTATACAAATATACTCTATCAAATGATCATTTGACTGTTGAACGTTGTTGAGCAATAATATTCGATTGCTGCATTGTTGATTCCGGCTGTCAACACTCGTCAACGTATCCAGTATATACATATGCTACAGAATAAGAAACTGATTTGAATTGTCAAGTGAAATGAGACGAAGTGAATGAGGAAAATTCATCAAGAGAACGACATTCGTATCAGCTATGAGAGTGAATAAAACACGTCTGAAAAGAATGAGAATACATCTAAATCAGTTTGAAGTGTGCGCGTCATAGACAATAGCTTTTCATGCAAACATAATCGACTGCAATAATGAAGAACACAACGGTCTAAGAGAAGGTATAGCCATGTCGAACACCATCATGGTGTTCTTGTATCAGGGGGGTGGGGGTAACGGCGGCCTACCAGATCATCAAAAGGGGTAATGGAGCACCCGAACGTGAGGACCACTGGACTACACATTCACTTACAGACGAACTGATAGCGTAAGTAGTCCGCTATCGAAGACGATAGCGCTGTTATCGCTATCGCTATTCCGCTAATGCGGAATAGCCGAACACAGATAATATTAATATATTATATTTTCGCTTAAAAATGACAAAATAACTGAAGTAACAAAATGCGCACTAGGAGTTTTGTTTGAAAGTTTAAGCATGTATTCAAAAGTAAAGTTAAAATAACCTGGCTAGGAAAATGTCGACGTGATTGTTTAACAAAACAATAAGACTCGATTCATTCGTACAAGCCAATCGCAGTACTCGCATCGAGATGGCACGAATGCATTGAAAATCGCTGAGCAAATAGCGAATAACCCTGATTATAAAACAATATCAATTCGATTATGAACACTATCAAAATGCTACTCGAGAATTAAGCTTATCTTTGCTAATAAAATGAGCGTTTTTAATATTTAATGATAAACATTGGCATTAAATGATCTGCAGAACGATCATTTTTCGTTTATCATTTGAAATTTGCAGATATTTCAAAGAAAATCGATGCATAAGTGATATATGATCGATAAGTTTGTGAAGCATTTTGATCAAGCGTCGATTTGAGCACAACAGGGAGAAACCTTTTGCAGATCGCCGTGAAAAGTTCTTCATCGTCGATTCTATCAGCGTTCTTGATAGCCACACAAAGATCGTTGAAAAACTGGGCAACTGATTCTGCAGTGGCTAATCGACTTTCTGACCGCTCGATCTGCGTTTCAAGAACACGTGATAAATCCTCCTTTGAAAGCGTACGTTGTCGTAATCTATTACGCTCTAACAAACAAACATTATTACCAGTTAATGAAATACTGAATCCGACAACATCATCAAATAAAACCAGTGAAATACGACCACCTCTTGCAGCAAGCAATTTTTTTCTCGATTTACTTGGCCGTGAGTCCAATTTACTAGATGCCACTAACGATCTCGCATAAACCTCAGACATCGATTAATGTCGTTCCTCTCCACAACGCAGCAACGGATATTACACGACCTGTACTCAACTAAAAAAGACAAATCCACTAAACTCTCGATTCAATTTCCACATCCTTCAGCGAAACTCACCATAATGAATCGGCTAGGAAATAAAACACATTTGAATGTACACAACTGATCATTCAAACAAAGCTTCTCAAAGAGTACTAAACATCGCTAAATTATCATCTAATTCAAATAGTACACACGAAACCTAGTTTCGATTTTTTTATACAGTAAAAAATGAATAAAAAACACACTCACTGAATTTGATACCATCGTGTTTAGAATACGAATGTATGCTTTTACTAATAATTTCGAATCCACACCAGCAACAGTCTGGTCAAATTATTATTGAATGAACAATAAAGTCAACATATTTGACTTTCGGCAAAGCAAACCGAGAGAAACTTTTGAGCATAAAGTGCAAAATCCGATATTATAAGTGAAATGGAGCAAAGTGATTTGATGTAATTCATTTATTGATATCGAAGGACAAATACAAACAATTGAGGCAGTCAAAGCAAACAATCAAGAAGTTCAAGATGATAAGCGAGAGCAACAGAAATTATCTGTTGATATAATCGGAAAATAAAAGGGATTCGAAAACAAATCAAAGTCAAACAATGAAAATAACTTTTTACATGAGGTCGTCAGAAAGAGATTAATAAGAGGAATGAATGATATGAAAAACAAAAAACAAACGAATCTTGCAGTATCAAACGATTCTTATTTTTGGCATATTTCAAGAATGTGTTTGCGAACATCTTTATACTTGAGTTCATTTCCAAGTTTCTCTATTTTTCGACATATCCCATTCAAAATTGCCTTCACATCATCAGCTTTTTCCTTTTTTGCGTTCATCTCACATAGAATTACCGTTTGCAGCATTGCGCCATATCTGCAATTTATATATTTCCAATCCCTTATTGAACTGTCATTTCAACACAATATGAAATTTATAAGTTATCAACTGTGAGCAGCTATAAATTGTTCCGTGCAAAATGCATTGTTAACCACTGACAATGATAAATGATATCCAACTAATTACCACCCAATTAAATCTCAGTAGGTTCACCGCATAATTTCATCTACTTTTCAGTTCGCCTGAACAGCAGTTGGCCCTCTGCATGAATGAATTAAGGCTTTCGTTAGATTAAAATTCAACAGTGAACGAAATAAGAAATGTCTCTTCAAAAATCTGAAAATGAACAGTGGGAATAATTCAACTTGACTGAAATGAACAAAAGGACTAACACAAAGACCAAATCTTCATCTTTATAACGTCCGACCAATTCATCCGATTTGATCATAGTCAATAAAATGTTCATGACTGCCCTGAAATGATTATTATCCACTGATATTCACCCTGAGTGTTATATTTAAATATTCAAGTATCGGGAACGCATTCATCAGAGATAGATAAATCGTGTTACAACTGCAAGTGATCGAGCACGACATAAACAAACTATGAGATGAACACTTACGAATGAATCTGACCATTCTTGAAAACAATTCCACCGAGTAGAAAGTTTACAACTTGTGGAGTATCAAAGGTGTGGTGGCGTGGATCAATCACATCTAGTTCCTATAACTACTGAATCAATAACTGACGATAAATTATCAAAGAGCAATAGAAATCGCTAAACGATGGAAGTTTTTTTGCAACTGGAACTGATCATGAGATAAAAACTAACAATTCAATGAACGAACTCATCGTCAGAGATGCATTTAAGGTACTTGCACACTCTCAGTTATTAATCCGAATAAGGAATGTTTTTTAAACATTTTCAATGGTTCAAAATTAGAATAAAATGAACCTTTTCATTCAGGTTGATAAGAACTGGAAGAACAGTGGCAATGATCAGCTTGGCATATTCAACTAATATACTTTCTGATAGATATCCTCTCAGTTTGAGAACAACCAACAGCTTTAAAAATGACATCAAACACTCCTGTAAATGTATCATCAATTACAATCACTTGAACGACCGAACTTTTACCGATTTTCAATTGTTTGCTTACGTGGAAAAAGCAGTAATTAAAAAACAATATTGTCTTCAGATTATTTTTTAAAATGTGAATGATGTGTGAACGGCCTGAATCAAGAAGGGAATAATCAATAAAACAACTTACTTTACTGTCAAAATCCGAGTCTTCAACACGCTCACAAATCCACTCGAGAGAAGAACGTGTCAATGGTAACAAAGTATCTTCCATTAAGTTGTCTTCCTTCGATCCCCTCATCTAACAAAAGAATGTGGTTTACACATGAGATATGCATGCAACCAAGTAAAGCGAGATGCTTATAAAATACACATGATTGGTAAATACCGTTTGATAGAAAAGACTTTTCATAAGGCTTAAGATTGGAACGATGAAATTTGACGGCGTATTTTTTGTGGTCAGCATAGTGATAACATCCACGACTGCTGCTTTATAATTTGCCGACATCGGAGATACTTGCAAATTGCCATCACATATAATCAACCATCTCTACAATTGCACATTAATAACAATAAATCAAGGCAATTGAAGTGATTTATTTGGATATACAAACGATAACAAATAACATACGACAACAAAATCCATGAAAAATCCCGCTTCGTCCGAGTCAATGAGAGTGGTGAGTTTGGGTAGAATTTGTTCAACAAACCAGACCGCATCTTGTTCAATATCTTTGTTGATTTGAAGACACATCTCTTCATCTTTCTGCAGTCAGATATGAATTCGTGGACATGAATCGCGTTTAAATAACATTGAGCGATGCATTCAATAATATTTTAATGCACCGCTTAATATTTCGAAATGACATCGACATCTTTCCAATATCGATTGAAATTTTTTTAAATGAATACTTATCGCTAACAAGAGGATAACTGCAGAATTCATTCTTAGCAAAATTAATGAATTCCGCGATGTAAGAACAACAAAAGCGGATGATGCGACAATCTCCTCATGGAAGTTGTGATCTATAACTTAACAGGCGCTCGACTATATCAAATATCTATCTGTCTTGAGATAAACATCAAATATTTATCTCTGAAATCTTATTAAGATAAATAATTGATGTGTTTACGGCATAAAAACCACTTTTGAATACTACCTCATCACCTTAAGATATCAAACAGAATATTCAACAAGAATTTTCCAATATACAGCAGCTGTAGTGAGATATAGTAATGGATATTACTGGACTAAATAATCTCACTAACAATACTGAATTAATGAGAGGTACTGCTCAAATGAGACGTTCAAATCATGTCAACATTTCAACAACGGACGAAATTTGGAATAGATTGTTAGGAGATATGTCTGAATTGTAAACGTCGTGAAGACTAATTTCGAGTGAACCTTACCACATATTCCACGATGAGAATTTGTATACTGTGTTTAATTTCATATGCGAGCATGAGACTCTTCAACGGAATTGCTGTAGGAAGTGATCTGTCCTTGCAACAACCATTTGAAAATATCCTTTCAATAATATCGTTTATTGGAGTTAAATCCTGTGAAATAAATGCCATCAAAAGAAGAATTACGACAACAAATATCCACACATTCACGTTCGATAAGAACTATGATAAGTCTAAGTTAATTTGGCTGAGGGATACTGTCCAATGCAATGAAGCCTAAGCCTAATTCCAGTTTGGCGATTCCTATGTTAAGTTAAAACCCGTCGCGTCTGTCTAATATCCCGATATTGTCTGAGTCTGTACTCAATCTTAATACGTCAAAAAGAAAAGCACGTATTAAACATCAGTGTCCATTAATTTCTTAAAACGCAGTAAACAGATGAGAATATCCAATAAACTTACGCGGTAAAATGTTTGCAGATAAACTTCGTGCTCAGCAATTAATTTACTCTGCATTGCCATTTGACACAACATATGTTCCAAGCAGAGCAACGCCTAAAACAAAATATCAACAAAAGCACATATGATAAACATATTAAGGATTGGCGTCTATTCATTTCTTAGAACTAGTAAAGAGTAATAACTGATCAGTTTGTATTCGGCGAAGGCACTCAACACGTTGAATCAACATGTAATCGACTGAGTTAACCAACAACAAGTCGCTTAATGAAATCAATATGAAGAGCATCAAGAACCACTGAAATTCGACATACTCGACTGATGGAACATTCGACATTATTCTGTTTTCGTTTACACTGATTTCCAGTTGCTTGACATGACGTAGTGATTATTTGTAGTCCTTCAAAAACTGATTTGAAATGAACATTTCTGACTCATTGCGATGAATAATAAAGACAGTAAAAACAGTTAATGAATAACAACACTGACCTGAATGCACAATGTCGAGCAATTTACCAAAATTCCAAGCAGAAGCCAATTGAAGATAGAGCAAAATGCGTTTCTCATCAACCAATTGATGCGAAAATAGGTCTTTTATCACAACAGCACTAATATCAGATTGCTCATCCAACAAACTTCCCAAGAGCATCAAAGAATCAAACAAAGAAGTATTCTGAAACATGCATGGCACTAGTAATCCTCATTCATTAAAATAATGCTTTGCGATACAAGTAAACAGCATGATGCTCACCACATCTCAAAATAACATAACTAACTATACAAATTTTCGTTTGTATATTTTTCGCTGCCGAATTTTCGTTGTAGACTGAAAATCGGAAAGGAGAGAAGACAGAAAAATTTTAATTATAGGAAAGATAAGAAGCAAGGAAACAGACCAAAAAGTGTTTGAACAGCATCTTGAAAAGTTTCGAAAGAATATTCATCATTCTTATTCGTTCAGTAGGGCAGTCCGTCTCAAGAAGCTGTTCGCGAAGTGGAATCAACATTGCAATAAGACAATCGAGAAGAATGCTTGTGTTACGCCAATTCTGCGCTTCTTCATCTGAATCAAGTAGAATATTTGAGCGGCTAAACATAACACGATAATTTTCCCCGAAAAATCAACTGCTAAAATTTTTATATGTTGGTAACAAAAATATCAATTAACCTCATATAACAAACTAACAATGATGCACATTCAATACCAGAAATGACCAACACTCACTCGAATCAGAGTCAATTTGGGCTGCAATCGAGCCAATCGTTTCGTTCATTGTCTCATTCTGTGTGAGCGGCAGTGAATCAGCTTTACCACATAAGGCTCGCAATGCTTTGTAGATGGCTATTGCGAGTGTTTGCGCGTGTTCCACTAGAATCTTAATTATTCAAAAAGAGAACAAAAACAATATGATATCAGTCAAAAATAATAAAGTGAAACCCACATGCTTGCTCTACAGTGATCAACTTCGCGGTGATCATGATTCCATGAAAATAAAGCGCACCCATTCTTGTTGTATTGCCCATGAAAATAATCCTTCTGATCAGTTCGTCTGGATGCGATTGATCTGGTTTGAACGATTGGAACAACAATTTGGTTATCTTGAAAATATATAGTAAGATAATATCAGAAATGAGTATGTTGATAATACGTGTTCAGTGACGTTTGCATAGTAGATATTCTCAAAACTGTGTGAGTGTATTGATAACGTTACGTTCACTCAAATAACATTATGAGCATTATTTCTTCAAGGATTAGTATTAGTCAACGCACAAGTGTGCATTTATGTATTCTGACTGAGAACATAAATACTACCTGTTTCTTTACCGAATCCGCTTCTTCAACACCGAAGCACTGTAGAATTGTGTTCATATCGATGACATCCCAATACTGAAAGTGCTTCTAGTATTCATTTCGAGTACGCATCACCAGAAATGATTGCTGAGTCAATAAAGAGTCAGAGAGCCACGCAAGAAACCAATAAAACCTAATATGTCATAAGATACACTTTGACCACATAGATGTCACTATCTGTAACATCTATCATAACTGTGTGTCAAGAGGAAGCTGAGAATGAAGATAGGTGACAAACATGTATGAATCGATGTCCTTGAATCGCAGTAAGAAGTTCGAATACTGCGAGGCGCACTTTGTCAGAAGGATCGTTAATATGACGAGGGATAAGGTGTTTGAATGACTTCAAAATGGCGTTCACTGCATTTGAACATGGCAACAAATGACGAAAGCCTTCGAAGACAGCCACACGCACTGCTACCACACTGTCTTTTGATAGATTATCAACAATCTGAACAAAACATCAATTCCCTTCTATTAGTAACACACAACTCAATAAACAATCAAATCTGACCCGTTAAAGCAATCATCAACCCATTCGATAAACAATATTCACAAGTGACGCTATTAACGAACCATTCATCTTCTACACAGCTATCAAACAGAGTACATTCCTCTCGCAACAACAAACAAATAACAGCTACTTCCATTATTCGAATAGTGTTATTCTTTTTAGCAGCTAAGTCATTTACTGTTCAAAATTATTATCGGAATAACAAAAGAAGAGAGCAATCACCATCGCGAGAACTCTTCTGATATAGGATGCGTCGAAAGTGACCCAATAGGAACTCAAAATCGAGAGTACACCTTTAACGGCCTCAATCCGAATATCGACACTTTCATCGGTCAACAATTCAAACAAACTCTCTTGCTGTCGTGCCATGAATTCTGCATTCGTCTGAAGTAATAAGCTGAGTGTGAAATACATCGCTGATAGAGTTTAATTCGATGAACTTTTGTGGTCAGCTTCTATTCGTTAAGTGAAGACGTTCGTGGCTTGAACTAATTAGAAACTAACTTGACTCAAAAGCTTTCCAGAATAAATTTGCAAAAGAAAACTGCATTACAAAATTAATTTCGCAAGAAAATTTTGAAAACGATAACATTAGCACACACAGATTCATTATCTGTGACGATTGGGTAGAATGCAATCAACAGCTTGCATGCATTAAAGCGTACTTCGTCATGATGTGCCTGAAATGAATTTGCACATTTACATCAGTCACAAATTGGAAGTGATCATTCAAATTATCCACTCGATCAACGTCTAATTCAGTGTAATGAATAATTTGACAACCTTGAGACTTCTCCAAATGTTGGGTAACATCATCTGGAATATCACTGAATCAATTTGCTTGCATCTCGCTTTTCTCATTGGTTCAAGTACCTGAAACTTCAACGAATAGAGACTATTGCATTATAAAAGAAATATTTTCATTCTACTACCAATAAACAAAAGACCAAATCACTTTGCCCCTCCCCCCCCCCTCTCTTGGGCAAAATCCTGGCTACACCACTACAATCGATTGTAATAACCAACTAATAAATTATTTTCGTGCATGATATTTGATATAAAACATTGTTGAAAACAAACACAGAAACTTTCATTTACTTATTCACTCGAAATACCGTCAGCGTTTCGGTGTTTGACGGCAGCTTCAAAACGGTCTACATAATAAAGCATATCTATAAATACATGATACCGTCGAACGCCGAAATGCTGATCGTATTTTCAGTAAGTGAATGGCAATACAAAAGGAATTCAAGTAAGCACTGCATTATTCAGCAAATATCTTCAAAGCAAATGAATTCGTTGAATATTTTTCATTCTTTTTGACACACACACACACAGACACATACACACATAACAGTAATTTAAAAAACTGAAGCATAGATGGCTACGAAAAGACACATTCGCTGATGCATTTATTCGGTTCACATAGTATACCACCCGATTTGGAGCAAAACTTTCTCGAGAATAAGAGGGAAAGTTGTGAGTCAGGCTATGATTTGGTTTGCATCTAATCACTCGCTCATTTTATTCAGCAGTTCAGTTATTGATATTTTGCATCTCATTCTCATCCTAACATGAAATATAACCTATTAAATTAAAATAGAAAGGATTCGCAAACCGCAGCATGATTCTTGGCTATATCACTTTTTACGCACAACGAATAATATACAGCATCCTGATATACATCCAAAATTTTTTCACGTTCTCCTTCATCAGCCTTCTTCCAAGCCATCAATAACAACTCACCGTAGTTCTCCAAAACTTTCCTTTAATAAAATCGTTAGTACTCACTTTTGGGTTTTACAAATTATTCATTAAAATACAATCCACTGAATTACTGGCAAGCGTTTTTCAGAAACTCGAATAAATTTTCAAACAAAAAGAGCTTCTGATGCAGAAAACTTTTAAAATAAAGCGTTGTATGAGTAAAATCAATTCAAGAGTTGAAATACAAAGATAAAGCCAGGCCGTGTTTTACTACGTATTGTACATGCAGCACGCATATTTCAAATATAATATTTCCATTTGATGGTGTGAATGAAGACAGCGAATGGTCAGAATTGAATCACCTATCAGAGGTTTTATCTGCAGCTAAGCGATGAATAATATTCCAAACAGTTTTGATTCCAACTTCTGGAACGAGAGCCAATGCAAGTTTACGTCCCTGCAAATATCACATTTTGATTTAACAAAACGTAGACAATTTATGCAGTTGATTTTACGCGGTCAAGTATTGTCTCAAAGTGTCTAAAACAAACTAGAAAAGTAATCAATCATAAATAATGTCAAAGCCACTATTGCAGGACATAGGAAAATCTATTGCATTATACAAGACTTCTACTAGTCTTCCGTACATATATTATTCTACAGTGACTAGAAAAGAGCAAATGAAACGATTGCAACAAAGTTATTTCGAAAAACTGCTCAACAATAATGAGCATTGAAGTTGTATTAAAACCAAGATTGGAGAGTCCTACTCAATCAGCAATAATTAAACCAGGCACGAAAAGTCGAACAACTAAACCTCAGCTGATTCGATGAAGGATGGAGTGCTTATCGCCATAACTATATCTCTTCTGGATGCTTCGCGTGTTACTTGGTTTACATTCGATAGAAGGTGCTTGATCAGTTTTTTCTAAAGTTCAAACATTCAACAGTTTAATATATTGTCAGTAATATACACCCACATTGATCAGCATCTAATAATTACGTCAGTAAACAACATCCACAAAACAACTCATTGCCAATAATATACCGCACTATAAGGCGCACTTAAAAGCCTCTTTCATTCTTCCAAAAAAACGACAGTGCGCCTCTCAAAAAACGTGCGGAAAATACGCTAATCAAACTATAAGCAGTGATTTGGTAATTAGAGCGATAACTTTCGGTACTTGAAAACATGAAAACTATATGGATGCGACGCCTAGCCTAAATACATGCGAAAAAAAACAACAAAGAATCAGTGCAATCTCTAACTTTGCATACATGAGAAAATAAACACAAAGCCAGGGTTAACGACGTTAAACAATGATCTCACTGATGACTTCCACAACCGAAACTTTGGCATGCATAACATTTCAGAGAACTGAATTCAAATGAAAATGAATACTGAAACAACTAAATGAACCTGTCCTCTAGCCGGAATAATCGCCTGTACCATCCACTTGTGAATATCTGCTAATGAAGGATCGCTGTTCAATTCAACATCATCTACTTCCATCTTGCCATTCTGTTCCTCGTTGCTCATAATGGATTATTCTGATCTAAAAAATAATTCGAACGGAATTACTCCGCCACAAATACGCATAACCTGATGAGATTACGAGCAAATCTCTGCACGAATTCAATAGGCAACCCGATATCTCAAATTCACCAAACCAATGAGTTTTAGTTCACGTTTGCAATGTGGTGCATTATTATGCGGTAAGTTGCAATGTTATTCAATTGAACAGATAATTCGAAAACCGTAACGCTTCGCTTCTGCGCAAACACGTTTCAATTCAGTCAACCAATCGCTTCATAACATGCTATATGAATCTATGTTTATTAAGCAGAAATATTAAAGGAACAACCAAACAGCTTCTAGACAACGAAATTAATTTCACACATAAATAAAAAATCTACAACAGAGGTGATTACTTCAAATAATCACTTCGAATGACACAAAATCAGTTTATCACATTTGGAAGTTAGTTCCAAATAATAAATATTCTCTGAATGGAAAGAATAATACACACGATAAACAACGAACAGCGACAGGTGAATGAATCAAATCAAACTTCAAAGCAAAAAATGCACTCACAAAACTCGTTATCAAAAATCCGAATGGTCAAAATGTGCTCACCTAAGCATATCTTCATTCTAACCATTTGATTACTATGAAAAGCAAAATAGAGTAAAAAAGGATCTGAACAGAGTAAAAGGACAAAATGAAGTTACAACGCTATGAATTAAAGACGTGACATTATTGATATTTTAGAAACAAAAAAGCAAATGATAAGAAGATCGATAATTTTGTTGGCTGGATTCAATGCACTGCATACAAATTACAAATAATTTATTACGCACCTTCATTGAGAATCTGATTAATAACATAAGACGGAATTTAACAAACGATAACAACAAATTAGCAACTGAAAAGAAAACACTTTTGATTCGGAATGTGACTGAATAAAGTCGAAATTTGAATACAATACAAACGCAGAAAACACGATAACTGATTGGAATTCAACAAAACATTGACGTCAAACTGATAATTATACGATTTAACGTTCAATCGAAAAACATCTTTTGTTGTCAATAAGTCAAAAAAAACACGAGTATTTACGGCTGTTCACATTTATCTGCTTCTAGCTGTCAGTAAACGAATGATTCCGGCATTTTCAGTTCGAATATATTTTTTGGTTTCTCGCTGAGAGCGAACTCGTTAATTCGATTCGCATCATTACTGCGTTGCAGAAGTCGATTCAACGTATGAGATAAATCTGTTTCATTTTTGTCCTTTTGAATACATTCGACTAATTTGTCGAACGGCTGTTCACGAAACCTTTCGAGTATTTCGCGCGTTCGTTCCTGAAAAAATAGCGAATATGGTCCAAAAGAAGCATTCACTTCGAAATTACATGTCATGATAACATTTCCAACGATACCGCTGTCATCACTAACTTCTGTTAAGGTCTCTCGTGGCAATAAGGCCAAGAGAACACTGATAGTGATAAGAGTCCAGAACACTGATAAGAGTCCAGATGAACACTGATCTAGACCAAAAGCTCATGTCCTTTACGGTGGATCAGCCGAAAGAGGTAATCCAAGGCTGCAAAGGCGGATGGAGTGTCAACTCTACTAGCCTTGGCTTGCCTTGTCATCAGATCAAGATGATACCTTATCCACTTATATATATTTTCTTCAGTGCGTCTCAGTAAGTGAACAAACTGATGCGCAAGCGCCTTCGTTAAAACAATAATGTGACCTCCAGAATCTTTCGGCGATGTGTAGATCTGTGGAAACTGGAGACAAAGATACTATCCTAGTATAGAACCGACAAGGAGGTGGTGGGCGGCATCTTTCGGATGGAACAGGCAAGGTGTTCGGCAGTAGTAATCACGATGGAGTGGTCTTCTTCAGGTTGCATCCTGCTCAGTTTGAATGGGCACGGAGCTAGAAGAGGTGACCTAAACATAGTCTGCTCCCAACCACAGCTCAAAGAAACCGCAAAAATCCAACTTGAAACGGTGAGGAATGAGTAAAACAAATCGAAGATAGCGTACGTGATGCCTCCGCTCTACACTCGAAGTCAATGTACGGAGCAGTGGGCAACATTTCTGGTTCAACATCTATTGCTTTCGTCATTTCAGTACAACTGCGTTCCTTTATCTCATATGCAGTGTTGGCTCCTCACTAGATGTGAAAAGGGAAAGTAAAGGACTGATCAAGTTCACAAACAAAATTATCATCAAGTTTTTTCATCATCTAGAAAACGCCAAGTAAGTTTCGGTCAGTTTTTCGGGTCAAGTTTTCCGGTCTGCTTCAGTTTCATTTGGTCCACTTACATTAAACTCAGGAGTATGGCGAGTGCTCTATGTTAATTTCTCAGTCGCTAGTTTTCCATGGTTCAAAGATAACCTCTTTGGGCAATGATCACATCTTTTATCCAGTTTTCACAACAAATAAAACTTTCGGCTGTTGTTTCTTTGAAGGACTAAAAGTCCAAATTTACATTCAATTGACACTCTTCAATCTATTACCCTTTGAGGACTGACAAGTGCCATAACCAAGGTAAATAAACTGATAAAGATTACTTGTTCACGACGTTCCTCTTCCATTCCATCTAATCGATTATTTAATGTTTTGCGTAAATCTGCTACGCTTAACGGTAATCCGAATATATCACCACCTGAAAAGAATTTTTTTTTAATATTTTTATATACAACTCACAAAAAATTTCTTTCCAGCTGATATCTAGACTATATAGGCGTTATTACAACCATATCCTATCACATGCTACAACAAAATGCATATTTTTGAAGAAGTGTTACAGATTGAATCAACAGGAAAGTCGTATTAGATTGCTGCTAACGAATGATCAGATGAAAACAGAGTAATACCACGAGGATTGGCGAACAACGTATTACGTCTGGACGCGTGACGCGAGTCGGGTGGAGTCCAGTCAATGCTCATATCAATTGAAATTGTACTGTCATCAACAATACTTTGTGCAGCATTTCCATTCGCAAATCCATTCAGCATGCCCATCCCCGAGAAATTATCCGTTCTATCAATCATTATTGCTCTTGATGAAGCGTCATTATCATTTGTCGTAAAATTTGCTTTTGTCACGAATGGAATCGCAAATCGTTGCACGTCTTTACCAGATGCCTTAATGTTTTTAGAAGCGAGTGACATTAAGAATTGATCACGGAATCTGTTTCATATGATGAAGTCTGACTGATACCGTTATTCAAAATCTCAATGAATGACATGAAATCATTGATGAATAAATTCAATTTACCTTCAACATTTCAGCAACATCGTTTTTGTCGAATAAAAGTGATGAGGCATCTTCTTGAATTGGAACTGCAGCATATCGCTGCTCGTTGCTGGATGCAAAAGCGTTACTGAGTGAAGAATCATTCGAAATGCCTTCAGCCAGATGATTCAACGGAATAGGTCCTCTAATCGCACGTTCATTCACAACCTAAATCGTCATTTGTAATTTGCTAATTAAAATAAGACTGACATGTACCTTGATATCAGCCACCAATTTACATGATAAGAAAATCGATAGTGAAGAGAGGGAAAATAAAAATGGTCAAGCAAGGTAATAATGGACTTGATTGAGTCCAACAAATTTAATGTTTATGTAGATGGAAAAGGCATAATGAGAATACTCAAAAACAGCGAGGCAGTCAACTTGTTAGTGCCTAGTTGGGAGATCAGCTGTACTTGGCTGCACTAGATTTGAGTGGCATTCGACTAACGTTCAAACGTACATATAAGCACTAAAACATGTCGTGTTGGAACTTTTAAAATCGAATGCATCTGCACATGAGCAAAACAAAGAAATGAATAACTTAAAAGCCATCCAAAGCTGTTTTTTACGAACAAATTCAATGTGTTCATAAATGACATCACAGAATTCAACGACGGAATAACAAAAACGAACGAATCAAAATGTTTACAAATAAAACAACTAAGAATTACAACTAATGTACATAAAACAGATACTTCAAGAATTGAACGTAAAGAGAACAAGCCCCATATATGATAATTATAGTATAAAAAATGCAGTTCGCGTTTGAAATTTACCATGAGAAGATCCGAAGAGAGAAAAGATTATGGGAGGTGAAATGGAGCCATCAGAATAATAGAAAGTTTTAAAAAACCTTTGCAGTAGATTGCAGTCTTCTGTTGTTAAAACTTTTGCGAACAAACTGCAACTACTCAAGCAAGTAGTGGAAAACGGAATAGAATGTATACAGAACAGTGCTAGGATCACAAATGAAATACCTGCTGAACGTGCTGACACAACGACGGTATGGCCATCAATTGACTACTCAGATTCAGGTATCTTGCGACCAAACTATGGATTGCTATACGTTTAGCACCTGCGAATCCACACGATGAATCGACCGCGATCGCTTGTAACGCGAATGAAAGACGAAACAGTTCAACGATCACCTTTATAACAAAATTATTGAATTACTCGAATAGTCCCTTGTCAGTAAACAGTTTTAAATAACGCCAAGATTTTGAGCTAAACTTCAACGAGACCGAAAAATTGCTAGCTCAACCACATTTAGTTAAAGGATAATATCATGTGAATGAGAAGTGAAATGAATTGAAATAAGAAGAGTGATCACCTCATCAATCCCAACTTCAACACACAACAAAGCCATCGTACAAAGAACTGCATCAATGTGCTTCATCATTTCCACTTCGTTTGTTTCCGGTATCAAATACACACTTCTAAGTTCAGAACAACCTATATGCAACATCAGTACTACTATAATGAATACATAAAAAGAAACAAACTTGTATAACATATTCGTAAATGCAAGCACATGTTTTTGCATGAACATTTGGTCTGCACGAGAGCACTTCTCAACAGTTAATTGCAAATCGGCAACGTCTGGCAGATAAGGTAGATGCTCTAGCAACGAAACGTTATCATGTCTGCAAATATTATTCCATGAACCAATCACTCACTCCGCTAATTATTTTTCATCAATTTTCATTACTTCAGTTCTTTAAAAACACTCTTACGCAACATACTCATACGAAAGTGAATGCCAAATAATGATATTTGCAAACAAACTAAATACTGATGAACAACACAATATTTACTTTACCTATCCAATAATGTATGGAAAATTTGTTGAGTATCAAGACGTACAAGAGGATCAGCAACGAGAGCTAACTGCAAAAGCGTTCCGAGAAAAGAATCTGCGAAAATAGTCGCCAGATAAGCAGTTTTGTATTTTGTTGCCACCTAAACACTCAACTTTTATTACGGAAATGCATTTGTCAAAATCTGAACATAGACGAAACCATTTGTAGGGATAACAAATAAGCGATAAATGCAAATCAAGAATGAGCAAAGAATTTGAATAATTAATACCTTGAGCAATGTCTTCACGAGAACATTTTGTAAAAAAGCATCACCCGGTTTCGACGCACGTCCATCTTCCCCTAACTTTGGTATATTACCAACCGTAAACATCATTATTTCCACCTAAACAACAGTATGCATTTTGTAATGACATAGACTTTTGATATTATAAACATCAGTGGTTCGCATAAGGGGAGAACTGAGAAGGCTGATAGATTGAACTGCCTTCATATTTTCACAGCAAATATGCCATGTTTTAAAACTGCATGCTTGTGATATCACCATGTTTTAAAACTACATGATATACAGGGAAATGATATCACCGACGAATTGTAAACTTCTTGATAATCACATCGCTTTCTTCATTCTCTTCAGGTTTGTCAATCAGGCTGTTTGACGAGCACAGGAAGTGTGTGCAATCAAATGGATTGTCGGAAAGGGGAACAGAGGTTTACCGTATAAGTAAGAAGGGGCATATCGTGACAGTTCCTGATATAGATAAACATAATAAATTATCATGACGTAGGGAAATGAAATGAAAAGATAGCAAGTAAAACTGAATGGCGATCATAATCGTACTGTTAACGATAACCTTTTGATAATCTGGAAGTGCGTTTGCGTAATCACCCATCGCATTGATAAGTGTAACTTGATAGATTTTTTCTTCTTCTGCTGAAGGACATTCTTTGGACAGTTGAAATTCAACCGACTGACGTAAGTGTTTTAGTAGTGAATTGAATATGCCTATAAAGAAAGGTCACATAACGATTACAGCATATTCATCCCACAACAAACTTTCTAATTCAAATCGATGTTATTTTTTACAATGTTTTTCCTTTCAACTGATGTGATTCTACATTTGAAGAAATTACTACTAATTATGGAATCATTCAGCTTCAAGACTAACTGTAAAAGGTATTATATTGTATGTACGCATCTGATCGAAAATATTCTCAAAATATATAACGTAAGTTCGATGAGTATTGATGATGGCTAAACGCTCAGAATGAGTCTGCGCCAGGCAGCTGATTAGTTTGAGGAGATAAAAGACTGATACCAAGAAGCGACGGTCCAATACTTGTTCCAGCAATTGAAACAATACTCGATAAGACAGTTGCAATACCAATACGAATCGAAGCATTCGAATTGGACATATTTTCCAGATGATTTATCAACGCCTTCAATGATCATTCAACGATTGAAAAATATTAAACCTACTAGTGAAAAGCATATTACTACAAACAACAGTTAAGATATGCATACCTGAATGACAAAGCATGGATCTTTGATACTGTACATGATTGCACGGAAAGTCATCACAGCGAACGTTGCCGGCGGTTCCCACTTTTTGTGCAGATCGCAATGTTTTAATACCGGTTCTAACACAGAAATCAAGCCGAATGGTGCTTTGGCCATGAGTTCTCTGCAAAGATTGATTAAGTGATAGATTATAAAATAAAAGTATTACAGAATATAAAAGTATTGATCCATTCATTAAAAAGTCAACTGAGTCGTACATCAACCAAATCAACCGTAAGGTAAATTTGTTGAAGTGAATCTAACATTCATGTCAAATTAGGAAGGGATACATCTATCACATGGAGAGGAAATCAGTTTCGACGCAAATCTAAACAACGCACTAAGTATGTTTGCATTCTAAAAAACATGGCAATGATTACATAAATTTTATCAAAACCTCAAAAATTGGTCGGATAGTGCTTTCGGACTGTCTGCAACATCATCAACTGCGTATGGTTGATCGAGAAACGGTGCATTTGCGACCGCCTCAGTGTTTTGCTGACTTTCTACAGAATCTAATTATTGCAAATCATTATTGTTATTGCCGTTTACTATCACAAAAAAATTTATATTTCATCAGAAACAACTAATATATACGCATCCAAAGAGCAAAGACGATTCTGGGAAGTTAAAGGAGTGAATAGTCGATTGGATAAATTCAATTTGATAAACTTTCTGTCATAGCTGAACTTCAATCAAAAACGATAACAATGATCTCATTATTACCAATACGCTTAAACGGATATAACATAATCGCTAACCAAAATTTCCGCTGAAACATAATTTACGGTTGAGGAATGAATCGCTCATATCCAATCAACTATCAGAAGTGATTCATTAATCAAATTTTTTTAGCATTCGAAAAACTATTCTAAATGTATAATATAGTGGATGGTGATAATCGTCGTAAGACCCAAAGGAAAAAAATATATAGATCGAAAGGAGAAAAAATATATATAAACCATCATCTTGAAGATTGAACAGAATTGACGGAACGATTTTGTCCATGTGTTGTTTCTCCCAAATGCTCGCTTGAAGCGGATCTGCGGCCGACTTCCAGAGCACACCTTTAGGGAACATTACAATGTTATATAGCAAGCATCGACAGAACACACACTGTTATATACTCATCAATCAACGTTCGATGGACAGCAACTATCATTTTAAATGAATATGAATCGAAACTAATAACAATGGCAAAAATGGTTATTATTGTAGTCGTATGCAGAAAAACAACTTTTATTCAGATCATATAGAAAACATGAAGTTGTTACCTAGTGACTCTCATCACATGCCAGGTATTATAGAATTTTGCATTCGATTTTCCCATTCGTTAATGATGTATAAGAAGAGCAATTGAAAAAGAGAACAAAACCTCGAAGGCCACGCAATCCTGCATATCGAATCGCTTTCGCATTCTCGCCTTGATTCGAATGACACATTGCCGCAAATTTTGATATGAAAAAATCGTACTGTCTGTGATAAGCTGGTGTATTTTCTTCAATGTGCGCAAAATTAACGAATGAATCTGTTGCCAACTCCTGTAAATTCACAAAAAATATTTAATGAAGAAATTTTTACTGCGTCTTTTAATCTGTAAAAATATTTAGCAAAATAGACGAACCGTGTAGAATGTTAAAAATGAATGAAAAAGATCCCTCATCGATGACAATAATTGGAATGAACTGTTTAAAAAAATTCTCATTTCGATATGGTTACCTCCATTTCAAAATTGTTTGTCTCGAGCAATTTTTGAAGCATTTTTAAGAAACTTTCGATGAACTGATTCAAACTCGACAAATCGTGGCAACTCTGCAGCAACTGGTCCATTGCTTCAACTGAGATCTGCAAAAATTAATATGAGAACAAAGTGATGGAGCAAAAAGCTTTTTAATATTAATCAACACGAAAAGACGACAGACAATATTATCATATCACTGACAAAGATAAACAGAATGCAACATGTGAATTGCTACTACAATTCGAATTTTCATCTCCGAAACAAGGATTGACATCACTAAAAATTTAGCAACCAAAAGTCAATTATTTCCACTTGAATGGCTTTGTAATTATGAGGCTTGTAAACTAAGTCAGGGCTCAGAGTTCGGAATTTGATTAATCTGAAGTTTTGCTTAAAATCTCTCAAAAAATTATTGAAGACAAATGCAGCTATTTCAAGACCTTGACTTGATTATATCGCTGCCGATACAGATCTCTTGACATACGCCAAACGATATATTCACCAATCCGAACCAATTTCTCTGGCTGAGAAATTGCGTAAAATGTCAGTTTTTGCATGTTTCCATGGATCAACCCTTCAGTTAACGATCTAGGATTATCATTACTATCGTTATTATTATTATTATTATTATTATTATTATCATTATTATTATTATGACTACAGATTATGAACAATCTCATAGCTCCATTGTTCCTTCTTCACTGCACGGAAGTTTGCTTACAAAGAAAAACTGATGAATACATATATAGTTTGAATAAAACAGCTTAAACGAGGTTAAAGAAGGTCTATAATATAAATGATAGTAAAAGTGATGCAGGAACAGTATTAAGCTTGTTGCAATTGTAGATTTGAAAACTAAAGAAATAGTGATTGGCTAGTAATTGAATAAAAGCAACATTCATAAGTGAATATGAGAATACCTAGGATATATGGCGTCAACGAGTCGTCGATATCGTGGTTTACACGGTGCGCAGCAAAAGACAAATCCATCCATTGTTGAGTTAATTATGAACCTTTGTGTACCATCCCCTTCGAATCGTCGTCTATAACTTGTCACTAATATTATCACGGTTGTTTTTCATCCAGCATAACAACATTCTATGTGAAGCATACACATTGACCCTTACGTGACCCGATCGAAATACGTATCTGCGAAAAAATACTTCGGTTGCAATTCCAAGAGCTGGTGGGTGAAGCATCAGTGAACTTTCATGTTCACGTACATTAGTCTCGGAACATTAGTCCAATAAGGAATCAAGGGTGCCAATTCAATTTGTGAAACGGGTGACCCCGACAAATGGACCCGCGGCAGTTGACGCCGTGCTAGTCGGTCATCCAAACTTCGCTTAGGTTCGCACAGACATGCACTGATTAGGGATTTTCTGTTTCGCTTGAAGTATAAAACATGGAATAATCGAAACTGTCGTCACCCTGGCAAAATTCATAAGCAAGATGTATGCAATCTTGTATTAAACCCAGAAAAATGTAATAAACTTTGACCGTAAATGATAAGTTACGGGAGTTGCACCGCTTGGCATAATCAGGCGTGATATTCAATTTTTCACATATGCTTTCCTTTCATTGTGACCAAGGCGGTGAGAAGTATTTTGTACAAGCTCCACCAAGTAACCGGTCGATCTGCTTAAAGACATTATCTAAACATTTCGACTAAAGACACTTTACCTAAACGGACATTTTGTAACGGACGTCTTGCACAAAACGCGTGCGAGATTGTTAGACCTGTCCGTTCAGAAGATCTTGGGGATGTCCATATCGTAGTCTGGTATTAGAACACTTGTACATGTGAATATTGGTGATTCTGATGGCTTCAATCAAATTCAGATTTTGACCAATGAAGTTACCAAGAGCAAACAACGCGTTTAGTTCATCTTTATTATCGGTGATGGACAGCTTACTTCAGCAGTCTCTTTCAAGGAAATATGTTTGGATTCATACACAACACATTTCCCATAACAAATAACAAATGTTATTTGTTATTAATTATGCACGTCAGAATACATGAAATTACGTAAAATGCTGACGATAACAACGTTCATGGTAGCAATAACAGCAACAACGTATGATAACTACTAGCAGCTATAATAACAATAACAATAGCAATAAAATAATTGGTAATAGCAATAACAATGTTAATAATAACAGTAACTATAATAAAAGTAGTAACAATAATAATGACAGTAATAATAATAACAACATCAATGATAATAACAAAGGTGACAACAATAAAGATGACAGTAATAACAATGATAATAATAGTAATAGTAATAATAATAATGACAATGATAATAAAAAAATAATGACAATAATAATAAAGGTAGTAAAAATAATAATGATAATAAGGATAGCAACAAGAGTTAATAGAAATTGATTTAACAGAAATTGCGATCTGAAGCAACTGCATAAAAAAAAATTTCAATAGAAATTTAACATTTTCAATTTAAAAAACAACTGCCTTATGCCATCCTTCAAGCGAATTATTAGTTCGCGGAAAGTGCTGTGATACTTTTTCATGCACATTCCACAACTGTTGCACAGAAAGCGATTGTCCTGTTTGCCCTCTCTGCGCAACACCAATCCATGTCGATTCAAAATACGTCAAGAAGTCTTTGAGAGTATCATCTAAGCTTTCGTCTAACGATCACAAGAATTGCTCGAATACGATATCCACGTCGCACAGTCACACGAACGCGAGTGCATGCAAACATTCCATTTTTGGGACAATCAGTGTACCAGCTGCTGAACCCCTAACTTTGAATCTTCCTCGTCATGTTGATGCAGCACAAATGGTTCCGCGCGCGTTGCATACCCTAGTTCCCGTGTGAGAATGCTACCATCCGGGAGCGCCCTTTGACGCCGAACCATCCTGTATAAAGCCTGCCTACTCGGTAACAAGCCTGCTGCATCTACTGGATAATTCTCCGTACAATTTTGCACCACAGATGATGTTCGCTCATCTGATGACAACGCCCGTTCCTTCATAGAGGCTATCGCTTTAATGGCATTGTTCCTGGCCGAGTTCGGCGGGTGATTATGCCCTGGAACACTTCCTTTTACGTCACCGTTGACAGTTATCAAAGATCCCTTACACTCTGCTCTCTTTTCACACCTCCAGTATTCGACATTTCCAACTTTTCGATTCACTACGTATGCATATCCGTCCAATAATAACTTTCTGCCTCTCCTTGTGTTGTTAACGAATTCCATTTTATGAACTGAAAATAAAAGTAACAGCATGAGCTTGCAAGAGCGATTCAGGTGAAAGTGGATGATTCGTTGAAGAGGAGGAAATCGAGAGGCAAGCAATTTCCACTACTGCAAAAATCAAAGCTATTACCCCTCGATCGAAATTATCACTTTGATGCAGCGGTGGCTATGCACTGATGTCGTTTGTGATGAAGAGATCATTATTTCTGTGACCGGTCAATCTGCCTAAAGACATTTAGCCTAACGACAGTTTGCCTAATGTCACATTGCCTAATGGACAGTTTGCCTAATGGACGGTTTGCCTAACGGACGGTTTGCCTAACGGACAGTTTACCTAACTTGCGGTTTTTTAATGGATATTTCACTTAATAGGCAAACTGTTCCTTAGGCAAACTGTCCGTTAGGCGAAATGTCGTTAGTCAGATTGACCGGGTACCCGTTAATTCTGACAGTGAATTATGTTGAAGTTTGCTGATATTTGTGTTATGATTTGTATTGCAATTTGATAATAATTGTGATTTAGCACATATTATACTTTGCTCGAATTGTGCTCGGTGAATCCGTCAGAAGATCTGTAGGAAGTTCAACTATTTCATCAAACGGGTTTCAATGATATCGTATTTATTCCTGTTGTAGTATTTTTGCTGGTATTTAATGTAAATACATTGAGTTTTGTTCGAATTTGTACACGATAAATCTGTCCCATTTTTATCAAGTTTTCGCAAACCACCGAATCTCGGCAACAAAATGATACATCTTCCTTGCTAATTATTTCAGAGAATTTCAATTACTCCAGTATATACCAATTGTGACTATTGAGTACACACCAACCTCACCACTAATTACTCCAAATAGCATAACGCTCGTAACTTGACATTCTGGGTAACCTTTTTTTGCAAACTGATGAATCACGGCTATAAGAGTGTTGTTAATTTTTCCCCACCGAAGACAACTATGTATCGTTTATTTTTTCGTGTAGTTCAGCTGAATATTCTCGTTCAAACTACATTATGACTTCACGGTCATTTCTGTTCTATTCTACCATTTATGTTTTGTTTCGATGCTTTTCCAACACACATACCTGTTTTCAAGGCTATATTGAGCCTAGTTCAAAATTTATTTTCAGAGGAAATTCTGGAGTCGGATACGATATTGAGTTTTTTGCCCAAAGTCCCCATTCAAGACTTCCTTTTCAGAGCGACCACATTTCGGGACCCTCAACTGCAAATTTTGTCCCAGACTTTTTTCCTCCCCCGCAACATACTAGTTGATACTATTTTTATGTGCTCTCATTAGTAAACATACTTAAAGGTTGAGGTCACATTCAAAAAAGTAGCAGTGCTAACGAAACTGACATGTAAATTAAACATCTGCACTGGTCGAATTGTACTGAACCAGGATAAGATTCATATACTTTATGCAAAACAATAACAACTCATTTGATAAATTTGTGGATGACAACAATGAACGCTTGTTGCAGATTGTATAAACGATATCCTAAAATAAAATATCTCCGCAATAATAAGCTCAAAAAGATCATTTCACAAGATCATCGCAGATACCGTACTTGAGGTTAATACAGCGAAATTAAATGATGGCTTTACATAAGCAATTAACCGTAATTTCCATAAAACAACAATGTCGCAATAATACGAAAAAATAGCAGTGTCAATAACATCCTGAGTGCATTCGTCCAATTGCTCGCCTTAATATGTCAAACCTTGCAATAAACATCAGCGCGTTATAATGACGGCATCACAATCAAAATATAACAAAGAGCAATAATTTAAAAGCGTGTTACTGACCAGATATACTTATTTCAATCCAGTGCATTGCCTGGCTCAGATTCATCGAATTAAATTTATTGATTAACCGCCTAATGCTATCTTTTAAAAGTTTATGGGATATTTCACGAGCATGCTGTTGATCAACACATTCAGCCGGCAATCACGATAACGTAAAGGTGGGTGAAGTTTATGAGCACAAATTTCAGTGCTGCGTCAATATTAAAGCAGAAGCATGATCCATAAAGCGATCAATTCTATAATCATTACCTATGAAACGAAATTATCAGATGTAAAATAGCCGAGAGAACATTAATTATTCAACTGCATTATTTTCACATCCCTTTGCTCTTCAAAAGGAATCCTCACACAATTTCCAATCATGGAGCGCCATCTAAACAGAAACTTTCAATGCTACAAAAGTAAAGGCATGAATAAAACGCATTATAAGAAAGTTTTTTGAGGAGCTTTCACAAAGGCATGAAGAAAACGCAAGAAATTTTTGAGATAAATCTAAAAACAGGTCAGCCGTTTCGATAACTTTCGATAACACTGATGATGGTTGCTTCAAACTGAATATAAACAACCTCACCTTCACAATACAAAATACAAACAATTAAATCATTCGGAGAGAGTGTGTGTGCAACGGTGATATGATAACAACAATAGCGTATGCTTTAACAATCAATCAAATAAAAATTTGGTGCAAATCAATCAGTGATCTCTTCACTTCCCTGAATGGATGGCACTTTGCCTTTCTCTAAACCATTTAACACGCAAACGTCCATCCAGACAACTGAATATCACTGATATGGTTTCATTTGATAAGCACCACATACAAAGAATTTGAAATCAGAACACCCGCTTAAAAATGCTTGAACAAATTGGTATAACCATAATAATAACAACGTTTAAAAGTAACAGAACAACTTAAGGTATTCAAGTACAGTACAGTAAGTACACCGTTTTAATTCCACTCCCTTTCAATAAACCCCACTTAATAAACTCAACCACACTCAATTCATGTTCACCTTCAGGCGATTTTTGGCTAGGAATACGCTAGATACGATTCTAAAGTGACCTGAAAGGATGCGGATACTGATCGAATCACTGATTAAGCTTAATAATATTTGCATGTTTTTCTTTGAGATGTTCAGCAATCCCTTTCCCAGCACAAAAATTTCTGAAGATCCACATATCGTACCTCAAAAGACCTAACTTATAAGAGCATAGGGAACTCACAAGCTTTCAAGATTTTAATCAAGGAAATAGAGCACAGTATACAAGAGGGTAGTATAATATGAAGAAACAATCAACAGAACAACCACGGCAGCAAAGAACAGAATTAACGACGTTCTCGAGGATAATTTACACTGTTTCTTTACAAATGAATTTCAGTATTTAAAAAACTGCTTTTCAACTAGTATTTTTGTTAGTCATTTTTACGACATGAATAAATGTGTGATGTAGCAGCGCATGCGACTCAATTTCCTAGTGTTTTTGAATATTTCTTTCTTTAAAGACTCGTTCTTCTTTTTTTAAAGATTTGAAATCTTTGAATATCAGCTAGATTAGATCTAGCTGATATTCAAAGAAGAACAATGAACTTATATTACGGAAGCTTGAAATGAGTGCTATTTTGATGGTCCATCCATTCTAAATCCTCGTTAATATTCTTTCATACTTCCATCTGCAACTCTCAACGATGAACTTCTCAATTGGTTCATTCCTAGTTCTCCGAACTAAATCTCAGAAACATTCTCATTGCAACGCTCATGTACACTGATCCATGTCTTAATTTCTGTCATATTTCAAGAAATACAGTTTAGAAGTTCTCTGACCAGTGTTTCGTATGCTTACCTAACCCAGTCAGGACGGCATACTGTAGATAGTACACTAGCTCATCTCGACGAAAGAAGGCAGTATAAAGTTTTCATCTGAGAAATCATCATCGTCTCGACAAAGGATTCGAGGTAGAACCTAACTTTTATTTGGATCACATCGAGCGAAAACATTGCTAGAATCTTGAGCTAATTGTGAGCGACTAGGCTAACCATGATTACTGCCTTTGTTTTTATTTTTGAGTTTAAAGCTTGATGTGATTCACTGAGGAAATTCTGAAGTTGATAACCAAATCAGCAGTGAAATATTCTCTTTTAGAAGAAAAAGGGTTTAGAGCGCATGCACGGCTGTCTTCCGATCGAACGAAGTCATCTTCCCTTCAATTTCACTGCAGCACTTTACCATTTGTAATGAGCATTACGCAAACAATCAAAATTCTAACTTCAAAAAGCAATGTGCATCACAACATGACCGGAAAATTCTGTGACGCGTACAGCATGAAGTGCCAAATCTAGGCTCAACACTATGGTGAAAAAACGCCTTGTTGACTGAAAATATGATAATAAATACCGAAAGAGTGACGCATGGCAAAAATACATACACGTGAAAAGATATATAGTACCAGCTTGTAATACTGCTACGGACAGTTAAAACGGACTGAGCCACAACTATAACAGTTAATAAGTAAAATATAAAATTAATCGATATGGTAACAGAGGCTGCTAACTCCTTACTGCCAAACCTATTAAAACTCAATGCAACACCGTAAAAGTAAAACCGAAACTAGAACTTTCAATTCATTCCTGATTTACTCAAATCCCTTCTGAACGAAATGAGAATGAGCACAAGAAAAGTCCCCTGAAGGAACTAAATGATCAACTGCCAAATAAATTGCTCTTTGCTTCATTCATCATTGCCATGAAATCGAGAACCCTAATGAGACAAAACAGGTGAGATAAGTTAGCTTATGGAATTACCGACATGGTTCAAAGGAAGTGAAACGACACTGATAATAAGCCGAAAGTGGTGAGCAGTACATAAATTTATTATGTAAAACAGCAATACTAATATGTGTTGTGCTGTTTATTCCTCCTCGAATACTGCCCTTCACCTAAACGCTCGATGTACTCGGTGACATACCGACGTGCCTTCTCTTTTACAGATTCGGTCACTTTCAAGTCTGCACTCCCCACTCGCTTTGACTCTTTCTCCAAAACTGTATGAGTTAACTAAAAAAGATCAAAGTAAGGTTTTTCTATCCAACTTTCACTTGAAATAAAATGAATAAAACAAATATTCTGTTCGAATGGTGGGGAACGAACAGAGCGAATGTGCACAAAAACGAAAGAAGAAATACGACGTCCTATTTATAAATTGTTCAAAACAGTTTGTTCATGTAAAGAAGACGGTAATTAGTGGAACCGATAATTTTCACAGAAACTGAAAAATAAAAAAGTAAGAAGACGTCATAAATGACAGAAAAACGATCAAGCTTAGCTGAAACTTATGAATCAAAAGGAAAAAAGACAAAGAATGTTTATATCAAAGACAATTGCTAACGAATGAACCTTTCTGAGAACATATTTATAGTCATCGGCGGATGAGAATTTTGTCTTGCGAATTGGTTCAAGGATACCAGCGACATGTTTGGCGATAAGTGCCTTGAAAATGGCACGCGGATCGTTATGATCGGATGTTGTATCTGCTGCCTCATCCCCTTCTTCGGGTAAATGCCAAACTGTTTCCCTAAAAGTTTAAATTCAGTTCTCACTGATAGATGAATGAGACATCAACAGTTCAATGCAACAACTATGTTCACCTTGTTTCCTTATGGTAATAATAAACAGTCCCTTCCTCTGTGGTTGCTTGTATCCATTTTGATTTCTTGTTATTCGGATCTGGAGGCGGTGGTGGAGGGACAGTGTTAACCTCTTGCTCAGCTTCTTTCTTCTTGATTGCTGCGCGTTTCTCCTTCATCATTGCCAATTGCTAGAATGCTTCTTTGAACAAATGCAACAATATTCACTGCAAGGCAGACATCCACCCTCTTCAACAGTTTTTCAAATGTTCAAAAAGTAACCTTCTCGAGTGTTTCAATATCTTCATCAGTTGGGTTGTCAATATTGAACGGTCCAAGTGTTATGGTGTTAGGCTTGGGTTCGGGAGGAGGTGATGGTGCATCCAGTATATTCAACGTTTCAGCCTAAATAAGATATACTCTTTCTGGCTAAAGACTTTCCACATGTAACTATGAAAATCACCAATGTAACTCAAAAAGGTTAATTTAAAGTATATATAAGATATGCTTAATCTTCAGGTAATATAAGTTAATTAAAGTATATAAGTTAATTTAAGGCATATAAAAAAAGAAAAAAATTATATAGAAATGATTAAGATACCACAGAAGGAGAGGTATTTTGTGCATTTTGCATCGGTTGTTGATCATAGAAAGGCATAAAAGGTGGATATCCAAACGGATCATATCCATTTGCATAAGAATTACTATTCCAACCAAAAGGTATCGGTATTGTTGGAAAGCCATTGAAATCAGTGAAACCAGCTGAGAACATCGATTCGGGTAATAGCATTGGTGGAGGAGGACAAGCTTGGCCCTGCATTGACCCGTCAAAGATGGGTGCTCCGGGTCCAAAAAAGCAGCCCTCTTGCAAATCTTCACCAACAATATCGAATCGCGAACGTCGTATTGTTGGTGCACCCGATTCACTAGCACATGTGGGAGATGTCATAGAACGTTCTGAATTATCCATCATTAGGTTGCTGCACTATCCTTTCAAGTACTGTTTTCAGTTCACTTTGTTCATGCTTATCAACTGAAGCCGCAGCATCTTACTGATCCATAAATATTTGCTTTGTTTTTCACGGCTAAGTTGAGATTAGATAATAAGAACATTCAATAACACAAAAGCTAACTTTTCTTTGGTATTATTCGCTTAGCGAAATTACCGCTGTTACGTGGTACGAGAATACGATGATTTTTAAACGACAATACTTCTATTTTCTTCTCGGGAATTACCGAGCGACGTAACATCTTATCATCGTCATCATTTCGCTATAAATTCATTTTATTTGGCACTCAATCAGTCGTCGTTCAGTGATCACGGAATTTACACTCGATCATCCCTTATGAATATAAAATGAACAAAAGGAACAACTCACATCCAGCTCCGACATCGGTGTATTGCTGCGTTCTCTACGCGGTATACGAAACTCTTCACGTAGATGTTTCCACTGAAAAAAAAACATCATTAACGTTAATATACTTCCAAATAACAAAATTTTACCGGAACGAGCTCACAAGTGTAGTTAACAGAATGAAAAATTATGGAGATATTCCAATAAAGTAAAATTGCTGATAGAAATGCTTTCAGATTAGAATAATGCAATAGAAATGAACCTTGAGCAGTAAAAAACTGGCTTTATGAAGCATCTGATAGTGTAATCTTTCGAGATCAACATCCGTAATCAATGAGGGAGATGCTGACGAATCAGCCATATTAGGACATATTGCATCAACCAAATCATGCACTTTCTTGGCCACTTCCGCATCAATTGGACCCTCCTTCAATAAAATAATTGCTTACCGAAATCGAAAATTCATAATTCATAGCCAGTAAGCAACACCTCTCAAAACATCGATCAATTTTAAGTAAAGAGCTAGCCGAACAATATTCAGCAGCAAGAATAAGAAGAAATACCTTGAGGATAAGTCTGGCAAGTGTGGCAATAAGATGGCTATCAACAACCTGATTACGCGTAGTAATTGGCATTAAATTAAGTAGATCGAGTGTTTTGACATATAAACCTAATGAAGTACGTTGATCATCAACTGGATAATCACTAGCAAGAAATATGTAGAGAAGACGCAAGCCTGCAAATGATATGAACGGGTGAACATGCCTTTAGTATCACTCAAAAACATACCACATTCTTCCATGAAAAGACGCAAGATATCGCTACTAGCCGTGTCAAAGCATCTCAGAAGTTCACAACGCTGATCAGCCTGTTCAACTTGAATCATCAATTGTACTAATTCCTTAACATGCTTTCGATTCCTCGGTGCACCGCGGGAAAGCATTTTACTTATTGCCTGTAAATGAAATATGCAGTTAAGAGATCGATCGCTTCATGTGCCTGCCACTTCCTTATCACAGAAAAGTGAGCATTTGTGTTTTCAAACAACTAAAATAACACAAAACATAAAAAATAAAACAAAACACAAATGTAGATGGCCATTAAGCAAGTGTTTAACAATAACAAACGCATAGAAAAGCATCGCACAAAATGTTAACCTCTTTGTTTGGAGTGTTCTTGTAGGAAGTGGTCTTCTTGGTTCGTCTTCTCGAAATGGCTTTCTTCCTATTCTTGGTCACCACCATTTTCTTTTCCTCAATCAGTGGTTCTTCCTCACTTTCACTTTCCTCCAACTCCATCTCATCTTGTTGTTGCTGACCTTGTCCTTCAGTATCGCTCTCTGATTCACCACCCCCAATCAAGCCCCGACAATTCGGCGCACCACAAAAACAACGCTGAGCTTTTCGACTGTAACAATGCAATGAATTAACTGCATCTTTCCAACTAACCCATCAATCCTACAAATAACCTAAAGCACAAACCCATATAACTCTAGCTGATAGTCGAATACCAGCTCTTCTCCAACCGCAATTCTCTTAATCGCAAAGAATCCAATACGAAGACGTCGATCAACTGTCCACTGCAAACAACAAACCAATACAACACTATGCAAGCAATCAATTAACTCTCATCGAAATTAAATTGAACGTTTGTTCAATTCTACTGAACAAATAATGAATAAACTTGATTTACACCAACAAAAAGAGTGTTACTGCAAGACCTTCTCACTGCGACAGTTTGGGTCACATGAATGATTTATGAAACGTGAAATATTGCCTCGAACAGTGGCATCGATAACCGCTCCGTTCTTGAGTGCCATTAAATAATGATGTACATGCTTCGGATCCCTTCCATACCTTAAAATCTACTATCATCATGCAACAACAACATCTGCGGCTGCATTTCAACAGACACTTCCAAGATACTGCCTCTTCATTTTAGAATAAACAAGAAACCACCTTCGCCCACGACGTCGCATCTCTTCGGCGCTAATTACCTCACCGACGTATTCGATAATGAAGCGACCACTGAAATATGTAAATAATTACACTGCCAACTGCATTTTATTCTATGAATATAACTTCATTTTCTCAATCCAAAACTACTCATTTCTGATTGCTAATGCGAACAAACTAAATGGGTATAGCACTTCCATAAAGAATCGAAATCAAGAGGTGCATTTCTTGAAACATTTAATGAGATAGATTTTTAAAGAAGACTTTTGATGTTTTAATCTGATGACTTTCGATCAAACACAAAAGAAAACAGTCAATAGTAAATAGACCACTTACGGTTCTAATGTTTCGCAAGCACGAAGACCCCATCCCTTGACACCAGCATAGAACACTTCCACCTTAGCATATTCTTTCTGAAAAATTTACAACCTCTATTCGTCTTCCTTGAGCTTTGCTTCCGTCATCAATATAACTAAAGCAAATCTTTCCTCACATAGTAAGGGATGTGTGTCAGCAATTATTAGATCTCAATGAGAAATGAACATACGTTATGGAAACGACGATTTGAACAGCGTGCACCACTCGGACAACGTGAACCACATTCTGTGTATAACATTCTGTTGATGCAGTTCTCATCACAGCCACTTCCTGACGATAATTCTTCTTCGGTTGGTTCACACAAACAACGCACCACCTTGATTTTAATTGATCATTTCAGTAAGAGTATTACTATTTCTGGTCGGTTGAACAGCTCAGCTTTTCAATTCATTATTCAAATTACGCACACTAGAAGATCAATCAGAAGACATGTATATCCTGGAATGAAAAGTTCTAAATTCACGAAAAGAAATGTCGGCATTAAAGGATAGGGCAAAAAGAGCACTTCCAAACTAAAAAAAATGAGTGAGTGATTCTCACCGCAGCTTCTTTAACAAGATTCTCATCACACAGAACCACATTTTCATCGACGACAATATAAGGTGGTGGAGCACGAGGTTTGTCCACTTCATCTTCCCGGCTCGTTACCTTACTCTCGGCCTTCCTCTCCTCCTCTCTTTTGCTAGTTTCCTCAGTTCGACTTGTCTCACTCATCAATATCAATTCCTCATCACCATTTTTTCTTCCATCTTCCTCACTCGTCGCACTCGTGCAATCGTCAACTAGTTCCATATCCACCTGAAATGCTCAACCAATATTTTATCTTCCTCTCTCATCAAAGTAAAAATGCAATAGTAAATCACGTACCACACTCGTAGAAATATCCAGATGTTCATCAATACTTCCATCTTTCTGGTCGATTGGTGATCTACCCTCATGACCTTCTGTATTCACATCATGAACTTCTGAGAGCCAACGCTGCTTCATCAGTTTGATGCTCATAGCTAGCGAAATAATCGCTGGATTACGGATGAATGGACGTATATATTTAGCAATTAGCAACCAATTATTATCAAACACTCATTTACTTAATCACCCCTGAACATTAGAATCAATTAAAACTCATCCAATATAATTCGAAATAACACGACGGATTTATAACGACAGTGACGATTATTAACAGCCAACATGTATAAAGATTAGCATGCGGTACCTTGAAGCTGACTTACAATCAAATAGAGTCGGTGTGCATCACCGATATTATTGGGGTTTACGTTGATAGCACGTAAACACCATTAGGAAACGTTATCATTGAAAGAATTCTTGATTAATACGATATTTGATTCACGTGTTTTGTACAAGGTGAAACGACAAAATACTAGCTCTACTTATTCACACAATAATCTTATCCATCCATCATACGAACAATGAGTACTGAATCTGTGTAAAATGAATACAAACCAATGAGTTGATCTTATGGCAGAGCTGGAAACATTTACCTCGTTCAGAAGAAAGTTACAACGAAGAAAACATAGAGAAATCCTTCAGGAGAATACAATTAGCAATGATGACATGAAATTCCTCGGTGCCAGTATAATGTATGATGCTTCAAAATCGACCTTGCCAAATGAACAACAATTTGTTTACGTTGATTTGGTTGAATTTTTCGAAAAAAAAAATTCCGAGTATAACTTTTTGCATCAGCAAGTCGTTTAATGCATGAAATAAAATTTTGATGTTTGAATAAATAATTCTCCACAAATTTCTCATTTCTTCCAGACGTTTTAATGGGTATAAAAATTCGAAACCCTACAGCAAACTTCATTCTGCAAACAATTATCAACCAAAACGTCCTCACCAAATAATCGTCATTTATTTAATAAGAAGGTAATTTCCCAATAAATTGCCACTAAATTCGACGAAATAGCCGAACGAATACCTATCTAACACGCCTCCAACCAATGCACGATTTTAAAACATTCAATTCTGATAAAAACGAATCCCTTTTAACTTCAATGTGCAGTTTAAAAAACCTTTAACATCCATATAAACGATCAAAATTTCATCGGCCACTTTGCGGAAACCTGTAAAATGCACCCGGTAAAGCTTGGTTCCATCCTCATTTGCTTGATCTAGTCCTACAATTAGGCAGATAAAACTCAGATGCATTCCACAGATTGCCCCATTCGGTAGCGCGATCAGGAAAATGCGCATAAGGCACCACCGAAATTTTTGCAGCATTTCAGAAATTGAGCCTTTCATTGCCAAGCACAGAATGTGCGGATGCAATTTGGCCTCATCTGCCCGAATCAGAAGCAGGCCTTGGTTCAGTCTTACTCAACTACGTTCACGGTTATGCTGAGAGAGGGTGCGCTGCACCCGCTTGATTTTTACAGGTCGTCCACACTTCAATCGGTTGTTGAAGCCTTCGTGTTTATCTACATCCTAATGGCGCGACCTGTAAAATTCGTACGGGCATAATAGCACGCATGTGTACCTCAGATTCTTGGAAAAATAAGCCTAATGAGAAACGTAAACGTAAGCATGAACCAAAAGTTGAATAGATGAGGTTAACATACACCCGTGTACACTGCCACACCCGTCCTTATCAGCCGAATTGATTAACCACGAGTAGAAGTCGTGCTGAAGTGGGTTACAAACTGAATGCAGCACCGCAGTATCTACTACAGTGCTTCATTTCGTCACCAAATAATCAGTATCTACGAGTATAGATCTGTCGAAAGAATATCAATTTCTATGCGTCCTTCAGTCTACAGCCCATTCAAGTTCTACCTCGATCATTTATTAAGCGATCTCAGAAGTACTGCCACCACTCTCTATCTCTCTGTCCCAAGTAGAGAGGCTTGAAATGAACTTAATAACTCATTTCCCAAGGGACACGTATCCCATGACCGCTCGGAAAACCGTTCAAAAAACGACGAAACAGTGACCACTCTAAACCAACGAGAAAGCAGTCCTACCACAACCAGCTACTAATAATCGATGCTGATAACAAGACCAGTCCACTGATCGCTCACAACCATGGATATATCAATCGCGCACTACTCAAATAAAAATAAACTCACACAAAATTAGCATAAACACAAAGCAAAAAAAGTGAAAGTCATAAGGTAAAAACCTAGTGGGCTATGACGAATCATCAAAGGAAAGATAATGGGGTAACACGTTGCGGAAAAGACTGACATCAACATGACCATATCTTTTAAACCACTGAAAGTATTCAGATAGCATCGAATCGAATAACATTTGTTATTCGCGACTGTGCAGTTTATAACTGAAGCGCTCGTTTGTAACACATCTGTAATGTGCATTTATGTGACCCTTCGATAACACTTGTAAAATACACTGAAAGCGAATGATCGTGAACACTATAAAACAGAACGAAAATAAAACCGAACAGAGATCAGAATGCACGTTTATTCATCAAACAAATGATTGTGTATCATATACATTAATGATTATTTTCTATGAGCAAATAAACAAAGTTCAAACTGACATCATAAAGTGAAGAATTATTATGATGACCGCAGTGACAAAAACACAATCAAAGCTGCTTGGATATTACCAAGAATAGAGATGTCATTTCGATTTCAGTACTCCTAACAAACGACAACTGACGTTTCTAACTGCAGATGATTGAAGCAATTTTTGAAATAAATGGGAATAAATCGCTACAGCAGTAAAAATTTCGAATAAAATGATTCGTAAAATTATAAGCAAATTCGATTATTTCTACTTTAAAATTTAGCAGATCAACGATGTCGCCATTTTCAGCAAAAATGATTATGTACTATAAAACACGGAAGTAAAATTAGAGGAATTCAGCTATAGTTTTGAGCTTGAAATTTAATTAATTCTAATTTTCATGGCTCGGATTCTCCTCTGCTTTTAACAAAATCATACGAACCGTCAATCTCGAACTGGGAACACTCAGAAAATGACTGATCAAGAGAAACAGAAGGGTATTCAATCCTTAGGAGTAACTAAAGCTTTTTCAGCTACCAACCGAACATCAGATGCTCCGATAGGGACCAACTGCTGTTGTTGTGCACTGACTAGACCGGAATCGGAGCAGTCACATCTCAGAATCATATCACTACCATTTGCAAATTCCCACTGAGCTGTGTATAAAGCGTTCGAGATCTGTACCAAAGGTGCACCTGTATTCGCACGTCTCACCGAACAATCATGCGTTCCAATTGCGCTTTGCGTATAAGCAACATCCATCGCTCCACTTATTTCCATAACCATCACTGTTTCATCCCATTCATCACTTTTGTTTGCTTCCGTCATACTTCCTGTTATATTCAAATCACGAAACTTCAAATACTTCTGATTATGTTCGCATCTCATATGAGACTAAAAAAACTGAACAGAAAAAGGCAAATAAAAAGCGATGAGAATTTTCACAACTAAAAACCGTAAGAATCGCACATTCAGTGGTGTTGAGAAGGCGGCTTCGTCCATCGATTTCTTGAGGACAAAAAATAGGATGAGCAAAAACGCAGTCGTACACAGTTCTGGAGAGTATGACCGACACTTTACAATGACTCACAGAAAGTTCTAAAAATTTAATTTGACTTTTATTACCTGATCCACGTCGAGGCAATCTGTTCCCGTGGAAAAACACAAACAATTATTCCCAATATTTGTACCTGAAATAGTATTGATGATGAATTTGACTGCAAAACGTGCATCTCTTAACAATACCTAATCTTTTCTTAAAGTCTAATTAAATGAAGGTATATTTTACCAAAGCTTTTTCAAATTTTTGCTTGCACGAAGTGAAAATAATTGAAACTGCATCTTCGCAGAACCAATCGTTTACTGAATTTAAAAAAATATTCGAACGAACTGATGAAACAATGAATATTTGGTGAACAAATAATACTGAATGAGTGCACTCAATAAATAATTTAGGTATCGATCGATACAAATGGATTACGAGGCAAATGTGCAATGGAGAACACGTTTCGAAAAGAGCGTTTTATTCGAAGAAGAGTATGAATAAGGTAAAAGAATAAATAACAAGGTATATCACAATGCAACAGATCACGAATGCTTCAATAATTGACCGATAGCAAAGAACGAATATTGCACAAGAAGAGAAGTGACAACTGAACGTTAAAGTGCTTTTCCGCCCTCACTTCAGTGTTTCAATCCAAATGAAATTATCACTTCAAATGACCCATCGACTCTCGCTTCAATTCGCAGATATTTATAAATTAAACAATTCTAAATTTTCATCAAATTCACGACGAGATCTCTATATTAGCAGAAAAGAAATCAGACTCAGTTCTTCTCTTATTATGCTGTATCATTAATAACGCACAATTATAATCACGAATTTGCTAATAAAATGAATTTAAGGCCGACTTCTAATGAAACGAAAGAAAGGAAGTTGACTATTTATCCAGAGGTTGTACATTCAAAACGTGCAATATAAAGTGATAATTGCGAACGAATTCAGTACGATTATTCGAAAGCACCGATCTCGTATAAAAGTCCATCAGTGATTTCAAGAAGTCACGACGTTCAACGTCTGTATGAGTCATGAACCATTTCACATACTCCAATTTAGTCCAATTTGTAGATTCTGGTGGCGATAGGATAGATGACTCACACTGACATATCAATAGCTGCACAACAGCCCAGAATGGCAAATGCGGGCTGTTCACCAGCTGTTCGGCTGGTAATAACAGTGCATTTGCAACATTATTTATATCGTCCAACATCAACTCGTCCTCACCGAATTCTTTTAAGGTTTCAGCAATATGTAGTAAATCTCTAGACAAAATATTCGACTTCTCATCATCAATGGGTCTCACTAAAGTGGCACTCACTAAAAACATTACAATGACATAATTGATGAATGCTGCTACTGAATCTGGAAAAACAGATCGAATTAAAGCAACGTGTTGTTGAAACGAACGCAGATACTGAACCAATTCACGAGCGTACGGTGACGGCTGAACAGTTGAAGCTAGGGGTTCGTCGTGAAGTGACAGAAGTATCGTACAAACTGATCTCTTGGCAACGTTCAAGATTGCATCATGCGCTGCACCCATCACACGTGATAACGGTGCTGAATAGCGACGCCATGAGACAGTCAGTAGATGTGCTACGTTCAGAAGAGTGTAATTGAGTAGCTGCAAGTAACATGTCGATCGTTATTTTATTACTGAGAGCAAATTAGAACCAACCTGAACGGCACTGATATTGGCACTAATTTGAAGAGCGTCATCGTCAAGTATGAGCATATTTTCGATCTTTATAGCACAAAGCTCAATCGTTTTAATAATACTCGATTCCATATCATTTGTCAGTTCAGCATCCCAACTTACACTTGATAATTGTTCACGAATCGCGCCATTCACCTGTATCAATATTATTGTAAATACTGATGTTACTCCTTTTTATTTGTTCTTGTGTAACAAACAAAAATGTGATTTGATCATTATTCTTATATCAATTCAATCAGAAAATAAGTTTAATCGATTAGGATTATCCACAGTCTACATGGGTACACGATCAGCATATTATACGAGAATTTTCGAAGTATTCATCGGAAAGCAGTGTGGAGAAATTGGCAGGACTATGAGATGCATAATGAATCAAAAAATAGCATGAACACCTGATCAACAACAACGGTGGCTGATTGAGGGTCGTGAAAGGCCTTATTAACAACTTCGAAGAGACGGTCGAGCGCATGGGAGATGAGTGCGATCTTGAGTGGCTTGAGTGCATTATGAATTGGCTGTAACTGAGTGGCGATGGTACGTTTGAGCATGACGGTGACCTGATGAAGAAAACGAGCCGCATAGGGTGCATTCTCCGGCAGACGTACTCTGATGATATTCGCAATGCGCTCACTCATCTTTGTTGCGATATCGGCATCTAATAACGAGAATTGCTCCAGAGTTGACTGAAACATTCACATAATCACAACGATAACACTTCCACGCAAACAACAAATAAAACACACTTGAATACTGCCAACAAGTGCCGGCAACGACTTCGCAGCACCACCCGGATTAGCGCTCAACTTCAGAAATTCGGCATCCAATTTGTGTGATTCTTCATCGAGCGTCGCGTTCATCTTCAAATGAATCAGTCAAGACCTTAACATATCGCTGACCTTAACATCTACCAACCTCAACATCATAGCAGTTCAGATTATGCAACGCACGTATGCAACACTGCACCATTGGTGAATGAAGTGTTTGCAGTGATGACTTCAACTGCTCAATTGTACTCTTTCGGCATTCCTTGCTAACTCTTGGTACCTGAAACTTTTGTTTCATTTACTGCTCGCTCGCCTACAATAAGAATATGAAGTGCAACATAATCGTATCGTACTGCAACACAATGCCGGTTCTTATAAAACAAAACAATAAATTTATCTGCTCCGATCCCTCCTCGAACCAAAAATAACACAGCTAACTCAGTCAATCTCGTTTAGTATGGTGATAGGAGCCAACTGGAAAATAATAATAACAATTTCGAAAGAGAAGCAGAATAACAATAAGAGCAACAATAAAACAAGGAATATCGTTAACCCTCGATTAGGAATCTAGGTGAATGTAAATTGAGAAAAATTTTAGTGTAGAGAAAGAAAGAGATCCACAAGGAGGTCATTCAAAGAGATGTAGTGCAACCATAAAATTAAGCAAAACAAATAGAATAGAAAGAACTAAACAGTATCGAGTAAAGTGTCCCTCAAATGCAGTATATCAGCGAGAGGTGCTGTCGACTGGATGACATCTTGTAATTCACATATAGTCTCAGTACGACGAACAAGCTCATTCAACGTCTTCAAACGATTCAACAACTTCTCACATCTGAACCAATTACATCTCATATGAAATTCCATCTGATCAAGAAACAAAGCTAATCGACGAACCTATTTAGAGCACTAACTGTGCGATTCATCGCATATAAGCGTTCCAGCTGAAGCGCGTAGAACATAAGTTGCTGGTATGTGAATGCAAAACGCTTCGATAACGTTTCAGCATTAACATATAAATGAGTCATCTCCGACGATATCACTTCACAAGCTGAATCTAAACCTTGCAATGCACCAGCTTGCTCCACAAGACGTGAATGATTCTGTTCTACCTGTAAATATAGACTATCTAAATCTCATCTTCATAGATGTTTCAAACAGATCAATAAAAATCATAGAAGCAATGAATTTACCGCCTTTCTGAGCTGTCTCCCGATGCCATCTTTAACTACTTCAATGCGCTCCAATAAGATGCTTTCATCTAACGAATCGGACCTTATCAGTTCACTTACATATTCATTCCAGTCCTTCTTACCCCAAATCACATCTTCCGCATCACGTTCAAATGACATTTTTATCACACGACCACCTAGTATGATTTAAATACACGAATGAATGATCTTAAAAGCAATAAAAATTTTTAATCGAGTAGCAAATCACATTACAATTGTGATTGAATCAAAGAGTGAAATACAACTTTATCAATGAGCAATCAATAACAAGTGAAAAGAGTCGATATTGAACGAATCGAAAACGTTTGCTGAAAAAATAGGGACAGTTCGACTGGACAATCGCTTTTATTCGACAATCATATCACTTTAGCTTTCAAATGCATTATCTTCTCAATTTATAATTAATGCATTAAATGATCACAAATAAATAAGACGAAACCTAACAATCGTACTGACTGTAAATAAAATAGTACCAACTCACTAAAACTACTTCCAGCAGCTTGTTTGAATTGGCCCTCACAACATTGCAATCAAAATCAAGTTAAACTAACAAAATCAGCTTCTATATTTTTCAGTTAATGAAGTCGTTTTTTAAAGAAGTGGCCAAAAATATATTTTCTGATGATGACACTGATGAAAGTTGAAAGGTGATAATAACTATAAGGCAGCAACAATTTCGTCGAGATTCTTGAGATCGTGCAAACTGCTCACATCAAGCGCAGGCAACATTTCACGTATCACTCCTCGAGCGATCGTCTTCTTTTCCTTACCACCTTCACGTAGTGTGAACGGTAACAATGGCTTCGCAGGCATCTGCTTCTCGAATGCCATATAAGCACTTGCATGTTCACCCGGCATTAACATATCACTCATTAACTGGAATCGACCAACCTAAAATATTATCACTACTGAACACCAAATGCTTCATTATTGTCGCATTGCATTCAAGTATGAAAAGTTAACCTGATCCCAGGTGCTACAAAACACCTTGTCACTGAAACCGGAACGTATTCCAAGCCTTCGTCCGCTTTCAGCTTCTGACAGTAAGTAAAGCTCAACCTTAAAATGGCACCAACTAATGCTCATTACTTTTTAAATTTTAATCATTCATAGTTAAACGTAAACTAACATCCGAATCTTTATTAAATTGCAAAACATTTTGAATTTTAAATTTCCATGAGACGAAACATCTAAAATAAGAGCGATTTTTGAGTGTTTATTTTAGCATATCGATTCAATGTATCATTACTGAACCACCACAAGTAATATCAATCCCAGAGGACAGATTGAACAGAGTAGAGTGCTGAATGAATGAAAGCAAGATTCGCTTGAAAAAGATAAGGTTCTACCTTAAAGAAATTAGACGTTTTAATAGAACCTAGTGCACCCATCCACATACCACGACGAACATCATCTGTCTTAACACCTCTGCATAGAACACCACAGTGCTCACCAGCAAGCACCTGATTAACACAAAAAATTGATAGCAAGTGTTCTAGATGAATGCAAGCAAAGCATAAAGATGAAGCAATCACTTGTTTAACTCCTTTCCCGAACACTTGTATATCTGAAGCGACCGCTCGCACTTGATGACCGCCACCGACAATTTCAATTTTATCCCCTTTCTTCAAGGTGCCCTCTTCAACGGTGCCAATCACAACAGTACCTCGACCAGTTATCGCAGCACGTGATGAAATTGGCATCAACAAAGGTGCATCCTTCAACATCAATATCAAATCACTACTTCATCCAATTATCAACTGTCTATGCACTGCTGCACATATGAAACTAGATCATGTAATAATAGCTGATAACAACAACAATAATCATTCATTATAACAACAATAATAATACAATTACATAATATAATATTATACTGATAGTATTAATAATAATAATGCGGAGAAGAAAATAGAGGACACCTCAAGTCGTTTAGGTAACGGGATTGCTTCGAGTGCTGCTATCAATTCGTCGATACATTCTCCTTTTCCATCTTCAAGTGCACTGAGAGCCGAACCTTTTATTACCGTCACATTTTTTTCTTCAATTTGAACAATATTTTACTGATGTGAACGATCAGACGGAGAAATGGAACGATTAGCAGTGAAGCAAAATCACTCAAATTGAAATGAAGGACCTTCAAATCCGAACTCGAGAAGCAGTTCACGCGCCTCGATTTCAACCAGTGTCAATACATCATCATCAACCAAATCAGCTTTGTTTATAAAAACTATGATATTCTTAATTCCGATCTGTCCAGCCAAAAGCAGATGCTCTCGTGTTTGTGCCATTACACCGTCTGTTGCAGCAATCACTTAATTCAAACAATCACTTTATTAACCACTCACTTCTACATATCACAATAGAACATTGCTCTAACCCAGAATCGCAGCATCCATTTGTGCAGTGCCACAAATCATATTCTTTATAAAATCACTATGTCCAGGACAATCTGTATGAGCATAACGCCTTTTGTCCGTTTCATAACCGACATGAGCTATATTGATCGTTATACCACGCTTCTTCTCTTCTTTTCCCTTGTCGATTTCATCAAATTTCACAAATTTTGTCTTTCCTTAATGAATACTTCACCCTCAAATTTGCATACTTCATCCAATTCAACAATCCCTTCATCTGGCATTTCGGTTTAGTTCAAAGTTCCGAGTTTAAGTGTTTATTTTAATGGGAAAGTGAAAGAATTTTCATGACGAAATGGATGTGTCTGTATCAAAAAAAGAAGAGGAGAACCACAGAAGCAGAACCTTTAGCAGAAAGGACCCGTGTTATAGCAGTGGTGAGTGTCGTTTTACCATGATCAATATGCCCAATAGTACCAATATTAAGGTTCGGTTTGGTTACAGCCCCGGACGTGCTTGCAGCGGCAACAATAGTATGATGAAGCACACTCTTGTATACTGTTAGCAATGAAGAGCAGCAAGGCCAAATACTGCAGCAAATCCTATTGACCTGACCTCGTAAAAGCATTCGTATCAACTGAAACAATTCGATTGATTGAGTCGTCTACTCACCCTCAATTCATCCCCTTCTCATCACTTTCGATAACTTAATATCAATTTAAGCTTGCAATTGTGCACACATTAAGCACTCCTTCTACTAAAACAATATGAATCGAAACTGATAGCATGTATCGGTTACAAACCGTCCATGATGCGTGCTCCGTACAAAGAACACATAACAGCAATCATTTATCTAATGCTTTTATTACAACAATACCGTTCACTCTGGTAATTCTTGCTCGAAGATATCTTTTTCATTTGCATACGCTCAAACCTACAGCAAACGAACAAAACACTAAACTACAATAAACTGAATTGATGACGTTTGTGAGACAAAATAACACCGAAGAAATTCTTTATGTACACCTCAATTTAATACAAATAATATTCCTTGAAGACAATAGCAAAAAATGACGTTTATATCAAGCGAAGAAATGAGTTCGTTTCAGCTAATTCTATTAAATGCGAGTGTTCCTTATATCAAATTTAACAACATGTCATAGCAAAGGAACGTATCTCCAAAGAAAAATCGTTTCAGAATCAAATTTTCTGAAGATGATTTCAAAAAATGATAACGGCATCTAAATAGTGATTTGATGAAAAGCCGCGTTTCTGAGGTAAGCAGTGTTTAAGGTTACGAAAAACTAGGAAGAGTTGCACTCGGATGAGATGCTGCCATCACGAGTCGACTGCATCATCAATTTGGCGTCTTGCCGTATCATGCGATTTCTGATGAAAAATAAATGATATGGCTCCACATTCGAACACACTCTTCAACACCTGCAATGAACACATGAATACAACTTCTTATCCCAGATAAATTTCATAACTTTGAAATTATTCAATGTAACAATGTTTCTTGCCCGAAAAAATAATGTTTACACAAATTCGTGTTGAAATCAATTATAATCGCTCACCAAAGCTAAGAATTACTTTAAAAGCCAGCCTCTTACAGTTCATACGAAGAAAATAAGATTTGAAGAAAGTACGAGCATCAGTGGTGACACATACCTGATCAGGAATTTTACGAATATCTTTTTGTGTATGATACCATTCACTAAGGTCCGAATTTGTGTCAGCTGATTCGAGTGGCTCACGAGATTCGATCCCACTGATGCAACGTGTGCACTTGAGCCTAAGAAGAAACAAAATACTTTTGAATTTGATTAAACAAAATGCTTTTGAATTTAAGATGCTCTTGAAGGAACTGAATGTGACACATATTGGTATCACTCTCGGAAAAACATGTGAAAGGAAACTGTAAAAAATTACTTTTTGAAACAAAATCACAGAAAAAATGTACAGGTGCTAGATTAAGGTACGTTTTACTGGCGCAATGATTCTAAATTTGAGAAGATGAGGCAAATGTGTTTGGTACAATGCAAATGAGCAATCGAATTAGAAGATCTTAATTTTGTTATAGAACGAAAGATAAAATGCAACATCACAAACGTGTCATGTGTATCGGACGCGATATTAGTTTTCAGTTCAAAAAGATGTCTGAGCTGATCTTTCGAGAAATGTCTCGCAACATCTACCTCCTCGTCGACCACACAAGAGGACAACGCTTTTTTGTGTGTTTGGCGTTGGAACATTTTCTCCTCGATTGTGCCCGTCTTAATGTATTATTTTTATAAATCAACAACAATAAACCTACTTTGAAAAGGAATAATTTTGATGATTTACAGATAGTGACTGATAAATAAATTTCTGACTGAAATAACTTACAGCCAGTAAACGATAAATGAAACAGTGTTTCTTTTGACCATCTCTCCAGATACGTGCCATTGCTTGATCATCATTTGCTGGATTCCAATCTGGATCAAACATTACTAAACGATTCGCTCCGATCAAGTTCAAGCCGCAACCACCGGCTTTTGATGATAATAAAAACACATATTCATTACTCTATAAATGATTGAATTTAAGAATGAAATAAAACTACTCAATTAATGCTTGACAGAAGATTAACTGGCAAACGAACCGATGGATCGTTGAACTTTTCCACTATTTTGGCACGCTGCTTAATGGAATTGCTGCCATCTAATCTCACATATCCATAACCACGTAATTTACACAGCTGAATATAATAAAATTGCCACGTTTCATCTCACAAAAGTACAATGCGCCAACCTCAACGAACGAATCGATTGTCTGCGTATAATTTGAGACAAGCACAAATTTGTCACTTGTCATTCGCTTGGTGACTGCCAATAAATAGTCGAGAACCTTCATTTTTCCAGAGAAGGCTGGTTCGAATGCTTTGCTATTGAAAGTGGACGGATACAATTCAATACAACCTCAATTCAACCTTTTGCATTATATAATAACGAATAAGTTGTGCACTGGGTGAAAATCAAATACGAGATCATAATGCTCTCTTAACTTTGACGTGTCAGCAAACATATCATAACAAATTGAATTTCGAAATCAACATTCACCTTGAAAACCTTCTTCATTTTGCTGACATTTTTGATAGATCAATTGAGGATGATTGCATAACTTTTTTAAATTCGTTATAAATGAAAGAGCTGTACCCGTTATTGTTCCATCTGAAATTTGAAATTACTGCGCTTTTATTCCAAACTTATCATTTATAAATACAAATGCATCGATAAATACAATTTATTTTCAGCAATTACGAAAATTACCCTAAAATAGAACTGTTCGACAAAATTTGAATGTACATAACAGAAAATATATCAACGAAACGATTACCATTCTTGGAGGCATTTTGCTTGAGATGCTTTGATGAGATTAATTTCTGATAAAGTTTTTCTTGAAGATCCGTTGGTCTACAGCAGACTATCAGTTCATATTTGATCTGTAATTGATGCCGACGACGTAAAACAATAACACTCTCATTGAATCACAAAACTTCATCGTCATCACCTACTTTTCGCATTTTTATCTTCCACGCTACATCTTACATACATGCTATTTCTTCTCATCTAGCACATTGCGAGAGACCTACCACAGTCAGACAAACGAAGTTCGTAGTTATTGTCATTATCTTATCGAATGAATCTCTTTAAGGTTCGTGCTCGATGCACCTGAATTTTAGTGCCATTCGCTTCCACTCGGCTTGAGCTTACCTTCATATCTGCGCTAACGCTCAGATGGATGTGGTTAAAACTCAAGTGCATTTTATGAATCGCTTGCATCGCGCATTAAAAAAACAGATTAGCGTGCAGTTATTCATTTGAAAAGGCTTCGAATTTTCGTTGTAATCACAAGAAGATTGCTGTAATAAGTAAATGAATAGTGTTTTACTGGTAGATATTTGGTGAGTAAGGCGGAAGTTCGTCGAATAATACATTTATTAACAATCGAAGCCATCTCGGACAATGCTTCATCTCCTTTTGTCCGTTGCACGGCAGTTGCATCTGCATCACGTCCCTTCAGAATCATATTTTCGAAACGACGCTTGAACTCTGATGCTGTGCCCAATAAGCCGGGATTTACAAAATTCACCAAACTAAATAAACGCTAATTTAAAAAAAGACAGTTTAGCAACGATAAACCCGAAATGAGTTCAATTTCCCGCTGTTTCAATGATACCTTATTCATGAGATGCGCAATGTTCCTCATCTTCAACTAATAAACATTGTGTGTTTCGTCTCCTCATTATTACAAGCAGTTCTGTTATTCCAATGACCAATTGCTTCTCGATGTATGTCTATATATCAGTGTCTAATTGCCTACAGTACACGTTTGTAAGTAGGCACACACTGTTTAGTACCAAACTTACTTAAAAAGCGTTCATTAAAGACTGCTGGTTTGAGATATAGGAAAGTCTGACGTGACACCAAATATGCATTCTGCATTCCCAAATACATATGATTTTCTTTAAGTTACGAACGAATGAGAAGTCAACAAGGGATTTCATCTTTTGTACGAATTGGACAATAGAGGATCTTGTTACAGATTCAGATCTAACATAACGATAGCATTTTCATCAGCGTTTCCTTCAAAACGAAACACTTATGGAACAGTATTAAGACATTCAATTCATTTGCTGCATAATCGTTTGATGTGTTATGATATTCAGAAATCAATGTAAACTAATAATAAGCGCTGCATAACAACCAGAATGTTGAAACTTCGAAAGTATTGATGCGTCGTATGTAAAGGCATACAACGGTTTCGAAGGATGACAATGAAATGGAAGAGTGTAATTGCTCACTAAAGAGAATAAAGAAGCAACCTGTAATACTCAAGGAGATCATTCTGAATGGGTGTACCCGAGATGAGCACTCGTCGAGCGCATTTCAAACCAGATAATGCTTGATAGGTTTGATTATCGCTATTCTTCAAACGATGACCCTTCAAAATGACCCTCCTTTATTCAGTTCAAATGTTCATTTGTTCAAATTAATTTCTCGAACATTCACTGAGCTACCAAAACCAAGATGTTCTTTCGAATGAGAAATAATCAGTGTATGGATACAAGAATATTGACGGTTTATGAATCCAGAAAACATTTTCTAATGCGATGCATTTCAATTACTCGATTAGAAATGGATACTGAGAACGCATTTTAGAGAGGATAAATCTCAAACCTCATCACATATGACAAGTCCAATTTCACTCCTAAGCAATACATTAGCATGTAAACGAAATGTTTCATATGAAATTATAAGAACAGGAGTTGGACATCGAGTGCTCAACTGCGACATAAACGAATCTGCAAATATCAAAAATAGTCATCACATAAAACATGCTATCCAGAATTTATTTCAGAAACATAAGTCCTCTCATCAAACTTAGATTACATGAAGCGAAAACAGGAAACAATAAAAGTGGCCACTTTCTTTTGAGTTAGTTCGTTGAACATGATAAATGCAGAATAATAACATATCCATACTCAAATTCCTGTCGATCTCATCTTTTCCACCGCTATCGACTGCTAAAGCATTCACTCGACCACCAAGCCATTTCGTAATTTCCTTGTCCCAATTCTAGACAGACCAACTATATCATAAATTGTACCGTTCATCAACAGACTAGATGCATTACTACATGTCAATAAAATATAGCTTAGATTATCCCTTTCTGCTGTTTCCACGAGGAGTGTTAAAGCGTACTATTCTGTTGCTGAATAAAGCATCTTGCAGTGCACTTGAACCCATCATTGAGTGAAACGAATGATTAAATACTCGGATCAGAGTAGTTTAAAGGAACAATACCTTCACAAGACTACTAGGGCATACAATGATCGCTTTATTGATCATTGGCTTTGCGTCAGGACTTTGCCGCTGAAATGTTCTCAATTTAATATAACAGAAACGCCATTCTGGCAAAGAACATCCACCAGAAAGGGCAATGAATCATTCGCTTATAGATGCAGTACAACGACAATCAACTTGATAACAATACAGGTTTGCATTCAAACTAAATTTCGATACATATAAAAACTGAGTACTGTTCGTTCCTCTTTAACGTTCATTCATGAGGAATGCAAAGTAAATTCAGGCTGCGAACCAAAACGATTACGGTTGAGGCGTATGTTGTTGATGCTTGACGCTCCTTTCAATTTGGAATCCGACCGTATTGACAGTTTGAGTTTCCGAACGAATGTCGGTCGGATGCGATCGGAATCAATTATACAATAATAAGCGAAAACTAACAAGTATAGTCCACATAAGAGTGATGCACTGAAGTGTTTTGCCAAGACCCATTTCGTCAGCCATGATGCAACCATGTGCATTCTCGATTCTTATACCCGTTATGCAATCATACATAAATTTAACACCTTCACGCTGATGTGGACGCAAAACGTTAGCCAACAGAGGATCAACCACTACGTGCACCTTTACAAAAATATTCTTCTCACTTTACAAATAAAAAGCTTCATAAAAACCATATCTGTTGTGTTAGCATCAGTTATAAACGACAAATCATTAAATACGCTAAACAAATTCAACTGAAGAATAGTGAATAAATAAACGAAAATTATGAAAATGTAGCAAAATCTCCTCTATTTTCCAAACAAAATATCATGACTCAGACAAAATACGACCACAGTTACAACGCTATCAACCAACCCTTCGGTAATCGCGAAGCAAACGTGAACCACAACAACCCTCCCGCGGGTCTTAAAAAGCATTATTTAATAATTCACCTTCTTCTTTGACTCATCAATTTTCATCGCATCGTGTGCACTCATCTCTTGAGGCGCATATAGTACAAGGGCTCCTTCGGCATACGGATCGAATAGAGAACAACGTACTCCACTGCGCCGTAAGCCAAGTGCTTTGTTACTTAGTGTTCCTACATTTTAGTTATATTACAACTTTATCGCTCAACAGATATTATTGTTTACTTCCCTTACAGTAAAACTGTGAAACGTTTCGCATGAATTAATATCCATTTGTTGTGATAATCACTGTTTTAATACAAATAAAACGAAAAATACTTCACACCAAAATTAATACTCTTTTGAGCAAACAAGAGATGTTTAACTTCACGAGTAACAACAGTACCTCAAAATTAATTTTGAAAACGTGGAGACAACAGTGTTATAAGACTCTATGAAATTCGATGGCTTCTCAAAAGTTAGCTTAGAGGGGTAATGAACTCTTGATCAGTTCATAGACTGTTCGACATAATAATACAACTGCCTGATTACTGGCAACAGGAGGTGAGTAGATAAAGGAAAGATTAAGTAGGAAGAGACTGACGAATATTCACACGGCTAAATAGCAATATACCCGAGATTCGAATTGTGTTATCAAATACACAACACAAGTTCGGATCTACGGGTTGACTGCCAGCCGCCTTCATATAAGAATGCAGATACTTTTTTTCATTGAAGAGGAATATTCATCGAGAAGGATGTTAGCAAGGCCATAGGTGACTTTTAAAATCAAACGCGAATCCCTACACATTCACCAATAACTCACCCAATAGACAATTTCCATTACGACAAAACTGTTACGAAAACAGGTGAAAGTACAACACATCAACGGTTGATCAAGTAACTTGCAATAAGAAGAATTAAAAAATGTTACCAACATATCCAGGTAGCGGAACGCGAAATGGTTTGCTGAGAAGCCTTTGAATCATTTCTTCATGTTGACGATGTTCTTTCTCACCGAGCTCGTTGGTTCTACATGGTCTCAACAGTTCATTGGCACGCAAAGGCTGTAACGTCAAATTTCAGTGAGTAGAACCGAATGCTGCTTACCAAACTTTGAAATATAAATTTAAAGGTTGTGCTCTATGCTAGGGCTACTTATTGGGATAGGTGAAATACTAACACTCTACTCCTAAGCGCGCAATTCATTGAATCAGCAAAATAAATTCACACTGAACGAAGAGGAACACACTTGTCGCTTGAATTTTGGTAGCTGGAATCGTAGGGAGTAAGTAAAAATTAAACTGGTGGGCAAATCTATAGAATAAGAATTTCACTGCAATTCGTCAATAAGAGGATTAATGAGAGCAGCGAATTGCTGTAAAGATGAAATACCGAACACATGCGCGTCCAACCCGGGCACCGAAACGTGTATTCAAATACCAACACGATTTCGGAGCTACGGGTAAAACGCACATCGCTGCAATGAACAGGCACAATCCGTTCTTCGAAAAACTTTCGGCACTACTTTGTACAATGTGAAAGCATAAATCCTCCTTATTCGGAATCCTGGTTTCTCAACAGAATTGTTTCATTTGAAGAGAATTCATATCAAGTACAAATCCACTGACTGTTAAATTTTTGTTTGAAGCCTTCTGACGCTTCGGTCGGTTATTTTCCACTTCGTCATCATTCGAAGGGGACCCGCGACGTACTAATGACACATTTTGAACAGGAGATTGCGAAGGTGCTAGACTTCGCCGCTGCAAGCGTTCCAGTTCAATAAGAGACAATGACAGCACGCTATAAAAGCGGTACTTCTGCTGATAACTGGCGTCACTGCGCCATCAGATGCTCGTACACTTCACACGTAAGTCGAAGCCTATGCGTTAGCCTCATCACTGGACTAAGCGTAAGTCTAAGCTTAAGCATACTCCTGAATTGCATACCTACACATGGGGCTAAACGGTAATCTAAGCACATGTAAGCAGTGGCGCCCGTTATCGGCAAAAGTGCCATAAACCAAACTTGCTCACTTCATTTAACCAAGAATTCAAGTTAAGACCGACTAAACCTACCATGCGTTATCAAGTTATCTTGATGCGAATCAGCTTCAAGCGGGTATGAACTTCTTCAACGTAACTGATCACCGATCACAAACTAATAATTTAGTGGATTTAGAACTTAACGACCAAATAAAATATCATCATCCACAAAAACTAGTGGTGAGTAGGACTGAAAAACAAACATAACACATAGGCATACATGCAAACGAGCAGCTGCACTAAATTCAGTTCCACATAAAAATGATATTTTAAGGAACAAAACACCATGCCGATAGACAACACAAATCGTACTATAACGGTAACGATTTCTCTTGATCAATGAAAACTTGCCCACCTGACCTGTAACAGTATGTGAATAAGAGAAAAAGAAAAACAACACAGGACCAAAGCGCAACGAAAATCATACGCCAACACACAGCCAATCAAATTTATTTGGGACCGAACGCCACGTATCGTATTTTGGCGCTCGCCTCGTGCAAATCTTCTTGTGAGGACTCCATCAATCTGCTGCAGCGTTATATCAAATACCACAACACCCCAATATCTTCTCTTTCAATCATCAATTACTGAACAATACATTTTCATTTTCAAAACCACACTTATACCGCTACCTGCACCAGAAATTTGTTCGTATTCACTTAATTTTAACAATAAAGATGCAAAGAATCTTAGACACCCCAATGTTATCTCGTTCTTAGTTTTCACTTTGACGGCGTCGAAACAATATACCGCAAATATGTACCGCAAATTTATCAGCGAACACATTCTAAGCAGTCAGCATGTTTCAGTCATAGGCAAACCTATGAATGATTTACTCGTAATGATCCGAAAGTTCCTCGTTGCCGTACTTTATCAAAACGCATTGTTCTCGATTTTGTTCGGCATTTCGGTATTGCCTTTCATTCAGTTTCATGATTTCATATGACATAATTGAAAGCAATGTGGTATACTTCAACCATTTTTGAGCTGTTGAAGCCGATTTATTTTTACTGTTTCATGCATTGCTCTTATAAGCACGTTCAGTTGAATGCTAACATACCGCAAAACTTAACTATTATTAGCAAAGTTTCTCTTTTGTTTGCAGCATGCAACTGAAAACTGAAACCCTCAAATTCAACACACTAATTTGATCCCTTCTCGAGCAGACTTATGATTGTTGATGATGAACTCACCATACGAAAACACAACAAATTACCTCATTTCAAGAATTCAAATGCTCATTCAAAAAACCTTGCGTATTTCAAAAATTCGAACCTACAAGCTTATAAATCATTATTGGCAAATTGCCTTGCACATTCCGAAAAAGAGACCACCCATGAACTGACGGGTAATTCGCCCGAAAATATTCACATCGTTAAAAACATCACCGTTTTGCTAGGGACGGTGATCGTGATTGTAGCGAAAATGTCTTCTGTTGCAGTTGTGAATGTAAAGATCAACCACAAAACATTCTTCATAATAGTGAATGTTTATTCCAAACAACAAAACAAAAACGACGGAGAAGTCGAGAACATAACTAAACGCACCACTAAACGTTTCCTGTCATTGAGAATAACTTCACTCTAAAATCAGACGATGAATCATCCGACTAAACTTTTCTACATCAAAGCAAAACAATTTAATCACGTCACACATACAACGACTAGCGTTTTTACCTGTTCACAACGAAGACCAGTTTAAATAATAAACATTACGCTGCTTTCAGGGATGCACTCAAAGTTTAGAAAACATTAATACAAATATACACGTGACACTACGGGACGGAACTGATGGAAATTTCTTCAAAAAAAAAAACAAACTTTCAGATAAGATCGTTTTAGATCAACCAGTGGTAACGGCAACAAGCTGAATATAGACTGAACGGAAACATACAGCAAACTTACATGTGCCACTGTAAAATTCAAAGTAAAATTTTGCTTGCTTACATATTAGCGGACTCACTGACAGGAGATGTTATGGAATCGCCGAAAAAGTTCTTTGAAACAGTGAATTAGTGGCGCAAATGCAACACAGATTAGCTTAATGAATGAATCGTTGAATATAAAATAATTATCAAATTAAAGCATGTATGAACTTTTTCATCAAACAGAACGAATAATCAAAAAACATTAAAGGCATAGGACTGATGGGAACGGAAAAAAATACAACAGCGAGGAGATTTGTTGATGGCGTGAAAAAGAGAAAAAATTTCAAATAAGAAAGCAAGGCATCTGGAACACAAAGCATCACCGTCGTTACTGATAAGAAATGGACTTTTTCTCCAACAAAAAATACTGAAACTGAATTGAACACTTACAGCAAACAAGTTATTATCATTGGGACTATACTTCAACTATCAACTTTTCGTGACAATAGTTAGAACAATTGGCAATGATTCCTTGCTGAATGATTGGCAATCAATTGAAATCAACTGAATGAATAATTCAGATGAAGTTTCGTTTCCAACACTTCGAATGGATAAGCATTGTTGTGATTAGAGTTTTTAAATTAAACTAGCGCTGAGTTAAGCATAATCAGAACGGTTGTTGAACAAATGAAAAACGCAGTACATCTAGGATAATTCAGCAAGATAGTCGTTCAAAAGAAAACTGTGCTTATTCTGAAAGTATAATAATTTTATGAAGAGATGATAATTCACTCGGTTGCCGCAGATTCGATAGCCACAATTGACACATGGATTGAAAGATAAAATAGACAGATAATAAGTCATAAATGTGTTGCGATGATGAATTGTCAGTTGTTATTAGCAACATCAAAGCAACGATCTCCCACTTCAGCTTCATATGCTTCGATCAATTTCGCAGTTATCTCCTGAAATTGGAACAAAATCTTCATTGACTCATTCATATGACTGTGCTCGTATTGTTTTTTAAAGATTATAACCAATGGCGGACGCACGACATGGGATGTATCGCACGGTACCGGGTCAATCTGTCTAAAGATATTTAGTCTAGCGACAGTTTGCCTAAAGACACGTTGCCTAACGGATAGTTTGCCTAACGGACAATTTGCCGAACGAACATTTTGACAAACGGACATTTTGCCTAAGGAACAGTTTGTCTGTTAGGCGAAATATCCATTAAAAAGCGTAAATTAGGCGAACTGTCCGTTAGGCAATGTGTCTTTAGGCAAGCTGTCGTTAGGCTAAAGGCCTTTAGACAGATTGATCGGTCACGGTATCGCACACCCGTCGTCCATTCACAGAACAAAAAATTGAATTTCAGCATGCGGCCACAACATATGTGTGATTATTTCGAGTTAGCTAACGGACCCGCTGTACTAACATTAAAACAAATGGACTGAATAATCGTCCACCCAATCTTTTGTGAAATATGCAAAGTGCCGAAACCGTCTTCTTTCGAAAATCCACTTATTACATCTTGTATGTATTAAAAAATATGCCATGTGAAGTTACGTGCTAAGAGAATGGTATTTGGACAAAAGATTAATACAGAGCCATTTGAAAAGAAACAAAACTTTACATTTGCAACATCTTTATTGTGGAATTCGACAACTTTTCCATTTGAAGCGCCCATTCCTAAGAAACCTTTTTGTCGCTTTTTCAATTCCAGTTTTACCCCTTTCTCGATCGCTTCAGGTGGTTTCATCTCCATAAATAAAATTTGCCAATCCACACCCCATGAACCAACAAGATCACTTCTTTTAACTAGCATTACACGTCTGTAATTTATTCATGTACAGACCCCTCTGATGTAATCAATTCACTTTCCAATTAGAAATACTTCAGAGAATATGCGAACAAAATATCTCTCAAAAATTGAATTTTTGGTACTTTCCCTAATAGAACTCATACAATAAGTGATCATACACAAAATTAAACTTGACTGAATGATTTGAAAAGAAAATAAGTATAAATTGATTCACTCTTGCGTAACAATGAAGACGCATTTGTCTGTGATTGGAGCATGGGCAACAAAATGATCTGTATCTGCAATTGCACCGTGTTCAACATCCTGCAAATGAAAATTTATTCCCCTTTCATTCAACGCCGAATACAGATTTTTTTTCGAGAAACATACAAATACCGACCGAATGATGATGAATAACGAGATCAGTGAATTAAAATAAAATATAACAGATGACAGTGTTCGATAGTTTATAGAGAGTGGTCGAAAGGAAACACTCAAAACGATTGAATCGAAGAAAAAATATGCATTTCGACGAAGCCGTAGGAAAAAAATATGGATAAGGTTAGCAAACTTATTTGAACTGCTCATATTCATGCAACGCACTTCCGTCAAATGCAAACTGCAACAACTAACCTTGAAAATTTTAGCTCCAAGAGCGAGTTTCTGTGAATACGGACGTACAACATTGTCAGCAAGGATGACACGAGGTGGTCTCAATGGTTTTGTCTCTTCAGAACCACTTGTAACCCTTTAATTAAGCAGATGAATAAATGAAAACAAAACAATTAATAACGAGAAATAGACATTACGTTTTAACAGCATCCAAAGAACTGCTAGCGAAATCGACCACTCCAGAAACAGGTCTCACAACTGCGCCAACAAGACCCACTCCAAGACCTTTTGCAAATCCTCCAACTCCACCGGTGCGGGCACCTTAAAAATATACTCATATCAACATTGTCAGATAGCAACAATGATACTATTCTCTCAATGCATGACAATGTTTCATACGAAAATGACTTGCAATATCCTTAATGAAACGCATTATACCTTCAATTGGTTTTGATACCACACCCGTTATACCCTCATAAAAGCCTTGACCAATACCCTTAGTACCACGTGCCATACCCTCACTGAAATTTTGAGGTCGTCGATTGATCGCTTGTTGACGTTTACGTTGATATTCGTCATCCAACGTCAACGCTGCCACACCCTGCAGTTTCATATTGCAACGTTCTACTAGCATAGAACACTTGTTATTCAATTCTTTATTCCTTTCTACTCACAAACTAATTTTTAGCGTAAGCGCGAGTCGAGCTGATTATTTATTCGCTTGAAACACAGATAAATCGAACGAACAACACCACTAATAACCGGCATCAAAAAGAATCAAAAACAAACTTTGCCAATTGTTCCTGTAATTCTTGACACGGCTCCCGAAGCACCTCCAACCGTAGCTCCGAATAAACTCGTCAATCCGATCGCTACACCTTCCGCAAACTCTTGCGGACCTTGTATAGCACCCTGAAGCGGCATATATCAATCGTTTAACAAATTTCGATAAACGACACCCAAAAAACACATTCTTTCTATAGTGAAGTGAACAGGAAAGAAGAAGAAAAAAAAACAATGAATGAGATGAACTTACTTGGAATGGCTGATAGAATAAATCCTCGACACCGGTGCTAAGATCACGAACCAAACCAAACGGATTGCCAATAATGTCAAGACCAAGCACGAGCACATACAACTGTTTGATAGCCTGTTTCATATAGTGCGAAACAACCTCGGTTTGCAGTTGCTGACGATTGTAGAAGACGAATTTGCGTTCGAAGAATGCCAATCTGTGAATAAGTGTACGTTCTCAACTATCTAGCAGCATCAATCAGTAAGTGAATTGATGATCGACAGACTTACTTAAAAACGACATCTTGCAATTCGGTGAGCGTTACACCAACGCTCTTTAGAAGAACATTTATGAACTCAGACTGAATTGGTAACGCCGCCTCTTTGGCATCTTTGTCTTTTGCGCCTGATGAACCCCCTTGTGAGAACGACAAGTGAATCTGAAGTAGAAAGCAATTATTTTCATTGCAAACATCATTTGTTGCCGAATGGCATTCAACTTTATTCTTAATTTTTACGAACTTTTTGTAAAAACGAAAACACAAGATAGCTATCAAGATTCTTAAGACAGCATATCAAGTCATCCCTTAATCCATGCGAAACAGGTGGAATTGTCCGCTAGCCGAACTCTATAAATAAGGTATCTTAGTCTACATCTTCTACTTCCTCCCAACTCTGGGCCAACTACCGGCCATATTCTCGCACTATCAGTTTCAACAATTATTCGGTGTCTAAATTCTGCTATTATGCGCTGATAAACCTCTTAGCAAGAATAAATAATCCTCCCGTCAACTTGTAAAACCCTACATTCGAGCCGTCAACATCACATTCAACTGTCACTTCATCAGTGATATGTATCAATTTCCTACTATTGTATTTCATTGGTCACCTATCTCATTATATGATCCGATCCTTCTTGCTGAATTACGAACTGACAATAAATAAAATGAATAAACATGCCATAAGAGGCGATATATGAAGATCGTTATAAAAAGCCTTTTGTTGCACGGCTGTTGCGGTGAGGGCCATTTGTGACAGTAGATTTTGCGTTAATTCGAAATCTTTTTTGAATGAGTCATTGGTGTATGGCTTGAGATCGGCTTCGTTGGTGAACAGCGTTAAGAGAGCATTCAATAAGCCCTGATCAACCTGCACTGCGAACTCTTGCACGAGCAGATGCAGATACTTGATCTGGACAACTCGGCTGTGCTCTGATTGAGACATGGTGAAACTGAACTCGGTGAATGGCTTTGCGATATTGTCTGCGAGCACCGATTTGGGTGGTGGTACAACAGCAAGCACACACGGGAATACACACGCACTGAGTTGATTGTCCACTTGAAGATGGTTCAACTTGAGATGCATTTGAGTCTGATGTTGACTCTGCCGATACTGCATCCACAGACCTGTTTGGAACTGTCGCCGGATAGCAACTTCTCCTTTCTTCTTCTTCCATTTCATACGGCTGAAATCCACCTCTAAACCATCGACGACGGTCGTTCCCTCGCTTTCGGTTTCTTGCCACTGCTGATACGCACTCTCGAGGGCATTCAGCATTTTTACCGTGAACAATTTGTATCTGGATTTATATTTATATTCCCAAACAATATCTGATGATGCTATACCCATATATAAGATCTCTTCAGCCTTCAAATTATTGACCAGTGATATTCCGATACCCTGTAATGAGAATTCAATTTGTTGGTTGATGCGTTCCACCTCGTAAGCTTGATGCGCCATTGTCATCACAGCAAAATCATCAGTGAATAACACCACTCGTTGTCGTCCATTCAAGAAGGAAACCCAATAGTACTCGACATTCGCTGACGGCTTATAGGTGTCAAAAGCGTTCATGAAAAGCCCATCTTGATGTGACGCGGCATCGCATTTCCACTCCAGTTCACGATCCTTTATCACATCACTCCATGTGAACATACACGACTCCCATGCTTCCAAACGTTCCATCGAACGAGCGCCTATATCATTATTTATGAACGAGTCGCTTATTAAGCTACCAAATGAGTAATATCAATGAAATGAAACCTTTTTGTGAGAATTCGATGGGTCGTGGTGAAGCGTTCATAATGAGGGCAGGTGCCATTCCAGGTTCGAACGGTTCAACACGAATCACTGAGGATGATTCACCTAACGTGCATGTTACATACACTCCCAAGTGCTATAATTTATTAATTCATTATCAGAAGACAATCTCAATTCAATCACTCACTTCATTATTGATTTGACAAAATCCTTCGAAATTCTCCGTGAACGGGAATAATATTGATTCGTCCTCAGTTCCTGCGTATCTAACCATTAAAAACTTGCGATTTCTGGTTTGTCGTGGCCACATTCCAATGCACTAAAAATGAAGTAATTCATCGTTGAATTAATATCATTCACATAATATTCTTAGCAAACATAATCGTCTATATTTCAGATAAATCCAGTGGAGAAGGTATGCATTATGATCGCTTTCGTGCTTCAAACACACAACACCTATTAATCCTAACTGCTACCAAATGATGCATTCGGTATTACAGATTAATAGATGATTATCATGCAAAATATAATATGTCATATGTTTGAGAAACTTCTATTCAGCGAGACAACTGAAAACATTTGAATGTAAGACGATCATCTAAGAAGTAGGAATTAATTGATGAACTGATTCAAAAGTTGCAGTCACGAAACGGCTACAAACCTTTTCAGGTTCCACTTTAAGCCACTCATCGTAACCGAATTCTTTGGCTTCAATTGTGAACTGACTGATATTATTGATGAGGTAGAATGGTGAGAAACTGACCACTTTAGTAAGACCTGATTGGCATAAATAGACATCTAATGTCATCTGAAAAAGCAGCAATAACAAATCAAACGAGTCTTCTTAATGAACTGCCCAAAGAGTGATACCTACCTCAAAATCTCGGTTATCACCCTTACATAGAATGCGTCCTGCATTACCAACAGCATCCAGCGGAAATTCATCGGACCACAGTGCGCCTTCGATTTGTACCTTAGCCTAAAAGTGGAGGAAAAACGTTATTTCAACAATTTAATTCCTTGAGTGAATAAATTGAGTGTTCTCATTTTGATATCATAAGAAACACACTAACCTTCTTCTTATTCAGGAAATCATTCGACGAGAACGGTAACAACGCAGGCTCACTGAACGAATCCTGTATAACGGTTACGTCTGACTGAAAATTTGGGTTACCGAAGTATTGAATCTGATTTATTTATTACAGCACCACAAAGAATTATTTATCAATATACAAAAATTTGACACAATTTATGAAATAATTCATGAGCATTTTATCATCTAATAAACTCATTAGAAAGTATTCCGAAGGAACATCGTTCGATCGGAACAGCTAAAATGTTCTAGTGTCGCAGGAACAGAAACAGTTGAGAATGGACAGGGACAAGAGGCAAGATCAGGAACATGAACCATAAATTAAGGAACATAATAAATGAATCGATAGGAGAGAGAGATGACAACGACCCATTCTAATAGCACCATTGAAAACGAGTTAAGCAAGTATCACAGATGACTCGAAATTAGTAACATTTCATCACCTCTAATAGATGACGAAATTCAATTTGAGCACCCTAAAATTGTTACCCCTTTAAAAATGTTGGGATGAGGCAAATGAGCCACAAAATTCGCTGTTCCACGCAACATACTGAAATATCCATAGAACAATAAAGAAATGTCAAAAAATTAAGTAAATGCGAAGAGATCAACTGCAAAAAGCGAAGCAGATAAAATACCTTAGCAGAAAGACTATTCTTGCGACACGATACACATGAAGCCGATCTAGCTAATGCGTTCGAACTGCTCTCCTGAATATTCACATATAAGTACACATCTGCCTTAGTATCATTTAACAATTATTTCGCTGTTCTCAATTCTTTTAAGCACTCGTTTTCATTGTAGCTGTGCACATATGTTTGAGTAGGGATCAGTGATGCTTAAACTCCGAAAATGCGGAGTTGAGAATTTTAAAAACGTGGAGCCAGAGCTCGGTCAATTAGACATCACTGGTAGGGATGAACGTGCATTGCTGCATGCTCTGTAGTAGTATGTTGTGAGGATGGCGGCATTTCGGGCACCCTGTCTCCTACTTTTTCTAGCCAACCGCATTTTCGCGGTGTCCGGCTGCGAAATTTCGTCCCCGACTTTTCCCCTGCCCGACTTTTTCCCGTCCCCGCAACACACTACTCTGTAGTAACAGATTCGACAACCCAATTCACTGGCATACAGTCTGAGGAGAAAGAGCAAAAACAGAGTTGAAAGCATTAGGAGATGAACTGAAGTGGGGATCGGGAGGTTAGGAATAACAGCGATAAGATCTGTGCATTCAAATCTCTAATCGAATACTGAGTTAAAAGCTGAGTAAAAACAAGATTTTTTTTGTAGTTGTTCGAACCTTGAATCAAATTGCCAAAGAAGCAAGAAAGATCTCAACATTTCACCTACATACAAACATGAGCAAATCCTTTAGCGGTCAGATTGCCTCTATATATTTGAATTAGAGAACAGCGAATTGCATCCAGTGTTCTCTTACCGAAAAGCTATTGATATCTTTTAGAAACACAATAGAATTTAAAAAAACAAAAACAAGAAAACAACTGAAATTAATGACAATGAAAAAGGATAAACAAAGAAGCAGAAATTATAACTTACAATATATTTGAGAGTTTTGCCGGTATTGTTTACGAACCAATAAGGAGCATAAATTTGAGCAATTAAACGACGTTGCTCGGTGCTCCAGTGAATACCAAGATTCTAAACAAATTGCGACTTAATTACTTAAGAAATGAATATTTAAAAATTATACGAGACAAAACTTCGTTGACACAAAAATCTATCAAAATTCAGCAATGAACAAGAAGATGAACCAGTTCTTTGTCGTTTGAACGCAGTGTGACAACAGCCAGATCCGGTGGGTCTGCTGGGAACAGCAAATCAGTCGTATACACTTCATCACGATATTTCACCTGAATAATCACTTAATTCAACAATCAATGCAACGCTTATAACGTAATAATTCATCATTGGGCCAGAAAAGTTCAAAAGAAATTTTAAATTTTTACCTCAAATTTGATACTATTTCCAGGTACCACATTGAGTGCGACTTCGTCACCACCAGCTAAGTCTTGTTCAACCTATAAAACTGAACAATGTACTTTCGAAAAGTTTTGAATGAAAATATCGTTTATGTCACTATTAAATGAATCGTTTAATTGTAATATAAAGAGAGGAATCCCTGTTGGATTTATATTCATAATGTCAACGATAATAATGATGATGATCAATAATAACAATTAATAATAATAATAACAGTCAAGCTATTATTAGAGTTAGTTATAAAGAATTAGAGATAAACTAACGAAGAAGCAGTAAATTAAAAGCAGAACAAACCGATGAAAGAACTCGAAGATTGAATGGTAACAGGTTTTGTAGAGTGACGGTCGGGTAGATGTGAACAACGAAGATGCGTTTCGATAAATCACCACGACTCTCCGCCTTGACAGGCACCTCTTCGACAACCAGTGCAGCATACAAGCACTGCTTAGTACCCTCTTCATCACACCTCACCATATATCGAGCTTTGTCTTTAAACTCACTCCAAACGATCGATTCGTTGCTCATTTCATATCTGTACTGATTATAATATTACAAAGAGAGATAGATATGAAGAAGCGAAATGCACGCACCTATCATTAGCTGGCTTTACATAGAATTCACCATTCGAATTGTACAGAAGTGGTAAGGCAATATCGAGTGGGTCAATGCCAGGTTCAACCACACCACACAAATCGAGCATACCATCGCGCAGAGAATGCACTTCGAATGGTTCGGTCATGTGGTTCAAGAACTGAACACCAGAACGCAATATGATCAAACGCCTCGAATCCTCCACTCTCGTCTCGATGACCACTTCCCATTGCTGACCGTCGTCACACTGTCTCGGTAGAGCGAATGTTCTTATTTCAGCACGCATCACATTCACTTCCCTCTCGGTTTGCATCTCCGTAAAGACGACTCGCAAATCCGCTCGACCAGCCCTTTCTACATTTCGGTTCAAGCCGATCATTTCCTTCTCTGCTTCTGGCACCATCAAATCAACAAAACTACCAGCTGTTGCATCCGTTAAACCGTTCTCACCACCCAACTGCAACACCATTACTATATGTATTTATCCACAAATACAATAAAATTACACTGAACAAGAAAATATAAAAATGATGTTGCGATAACAAGAACAAAAACAGCAAAATTAAGTCATGTTCGTACCTCAAGAGTAAGTGAACTCGCTACTTTCACCGCGACTCCAGTATTATTAAGGATAAGATATGGACTGGTTCCAGGTAATGAGATCTGTTTTGGCGGCGTGATTTGTCGAGCTGCTTTCTCGAATGACTGAAACGACACTTCAGTTATTACCGCATCTGATGAAAACGTAAACAAGGAACAAATCTATACTAAACTCACATCAGACAGTTGATTGAGTAATTGAAGAAATGATTTAGTGACTGTCACATTCAGCATATCACTTGCACGCATCTCGATTGACTGTTTCGGCGGTGCAATTGCACCCTCACCGAGCACTTCATCATCACCATGCGTTCGCATCTGAATTTTAATCCGAGTGGCTTCGGTATTCGGTTCATAGAAATTATTTTTAGCAAATTATTGCTTGCTTGTGCAATGTTTCATACGCCGATTACTATGCATCTATTCGGTTAGATTCATTGATTCCGAAAGATTACTGGTTTACAGCTGTTGGTTGTTCTAAACAGCGATCGTTGGGCGCGTGTTCAATATATCAAGCGGGATGTATTTTCGGGCTCTTTTTGAGTGCCGCTCTCTAGAAATCATCGGACAATACGAGAGAGTAGCCCAATATCTCTGTGCTCGCCAAATCAACAATCGAAGTTTGAATTTTTTGAAGACAGACGATTCCGAACGCTTTCATTGTTAGCTGCGCAGAAAGACGCAAGGAAGAATGTCATAACAGAGAAGCATAAACTCGTATTAAGGTGTAATTATTGATTAAACAAATGAATAGTTATTATTATAGTTATTACTGCTACTATTATTTATTATATTTGATGATGAACAAACGTTCCGATTATCGATGCAAACGTTAGTTTTGCAGAGAAAAAAATTAACAGCTGAAGTAGTTAAGATAAGAAGAGCCAAGTGAAGTGAAGAATAAGACTTTCGTAACCTCCATATCAATCTTCCAACTGCGCCATTCTCCTTCTTCCACTTCAACCGGTTCAATTACGGGTTCCCAAACTGAGAATTTTTCGTTGTAATATGAAACCTGAAGAAAATGAAGTGATAGTATAGCACAAAGCAGTGATGTGATGTGTATATATACCTGCAGATGAACAGTAGCATCGACACTCAGTAGAGCACTCCAGTTAGATGCAACTGCGTGCAGGCAGCTTTCAACAAGGATCATTGGTGTGGTCACTTCACCAAGACCTGCCTCGAGTGTGATCAACAGCGACTTCATACTGACCGTTGCCTTGATTGCAAAATGGATGCGATAAAACAACATTGCATCGATCAACATTTATTATCAATCACCTTTCTTATCTTGTGAGTTCTTATCTTACCTGTTCTTGATGACTCAGTTCAGCAACAACATCAATACCAGCTTCCATATCTTCCTCGCCATCATTTGCCACATTGAACCACCAGTGTTTACTACGATCCACTTTTTTCTTATCCCAATAATTTGGATACTTTTTCAACACTGGACGGCGTTTCATCTCGGCATCACTCTGAATTATATCATCAAACAAGCTTTCCATTTTATAATGCCACAAATATTCTTTGAAGAGTATCATTCTCAACTAGAACTTCACGCTGGCACACACCAATAACTGATTTTACAATTAATTTTACGTTTATTTCGGTTTCAAACCATCAAAAGCGATGCATTGTAACGATCACTACGCGAATTTCTGCACGTTTAAGTGCGAATTACCTTTACGAACGTGGATGGTGTACTGCATTACATAAAAGTACAAAAAAATGAACCTTTGGTTGGTTGGCGGCCGAAAAGCTGGCACTGACTGCACTTAGCAGACGAATAATGCAAGGCGAAACCTTGAGGTGCATTTCACCGATATCGATATCAAAAATCTGCGATTTTGTTGCATCGTCGATTGTTCCTTTGAAACCGAAATCGACTCTATTCAACACCTGAAAGCAATGAGAAGACTGGTGTTGCTTATTGACTCTGAGCAAATGCAAGTAGAATTCAAACGATCATTTGGCGTTATTAATCATTGAATAAAATTTTATTTCCATTTCAACTCAAAACAGTAATTAACCAGTGATATTTTACTCTTTTTTGCGTTCATGTCAATGAAAAATAAATTGAGAATACTTGATATGGTGATCGATTTCGTTTTTCGACAGCATAATAGGCACTCAACATCTGAAGATTTCTCACACCACCACTCATATGTTGTACATCATTTTCCTGCAAAAGTTCACTTCTCAAAACTTACATCTATCTCATCAATACAACACTATTAAGAATTCATAATGCAAAAACAACAACAATATCTATTTCTCTCAATTTGCTTGCATTCAATAACAATATTCAACAATAACAAAAGCAAACTGTGACTGATTCGAATGATCACAAACTTCAATTCGTTAAAAGCTCTCGGTAAGAAGCTATAATCAAAATGAAAACAAACGTGTTTCGCGTTCAAATCACAACTGAACGATAGAATAAGTGCTTGCGTTTGTTGAGGTTTGTTTGAGTCTTCCACTAATATGATTTCAACTTCACGCATTTTGCAGTCCATCGTTAATGTACCTCAAACCCATCATTCAACTCATCAAAAGGGCAGTAAATGATACCGATTGAGATGATACTAGTATGTAGTTAACTTTGAATAGAAACAAACACGAATGGAATGGATACCAGAAGATGGTTGTGTAACGGGCGTAGTTCCCTTTGTGGGTGCTGGAGTACTTGTTTCACTTGCTTTCGTGGTTATTTCTTTAGGGAATGGTGCATCATCTTCGACTGATTTCGGCAAAGTGAAGAAACTTGCAAGTGCACCCAAAAACTCGGGACATAAACAGAGGAAAAATGCTGATGATGAAAAGTTCACTGAAACACAAATTTGTTTTGATACTCACTTAAACAGTAGTTATTCAAAGTTTTTTGGATGAATTTAAATCAATGAAAGTGGGATAAATTTAATCCGAAATCGAATCTAATTATGCTACGAAACATTCACTATACGCAGCACAATTGATGCTGCTAACCAAAATTTGTTCTATTTATACACCAGATCAAATTAATATTCATCGATGAATACCGTCTCCAATATCAAACCATTTCAACTCGGGATATAATCGAATAACGAAACGCAATCAAAATCAACAAACAATTTGAATGATCACTAACCAACTTTATCATTCTTTGCACTCTGCATGAAATGCACATGAACAAATTCATCTTGTTTCTTTCCTGTTCTATCGACCTTAAACACTCTCTGATCAGTTGGGAACTGCGCATCTTTAGATTTCAATAGATACTCAACTATGTTCAAAAAGTGAGTACTGAAAATAAGTTAAGAAAACGAATGCCTGCCTTCTTATCGAGCAGTCGAGTGATACCAACGGCTGCTTTTCTTTGATCGTCCATAATGAATGTACCCAAACTGAGTGTGACATCCATAGAGCCATCTTCCATTATTGAACCATTCACTTCAAGTAGCATAATGTGCATTCCCGCAAACGCTGCGTCATCCTCACGAGCCACCACGCCAGCATTCTCTTCCTTCAATTTGCGTTGCTCATTCAGTTGCTTCAATCGAAAAGCAAAGTAAAAATATACACACCAAATAAGACGATCCAGAATAGAGTGAAGCAGCGATTTCATCCATCTTGAATCGAAACACGATACGTTTCGCAGACTTTTGTGAAGGAGGAGTTGCCGAACTAATTGCTTTCGATTGTTTCCTTTGATTGTCACCATCCTTCTCTTTAGACTTGCTCTGCACCACTGCCGCAGGTTGTTGACTTTGGCTTGATGCTTGTATCGTTTCTTTCTCATCTGCACCTTCTGCCAAATTACCACTCAACGTTTTCATTACTGTTGCGTAATCTTCTTGAGACATTTTCAACTGAAACTCGTCATTATTTGCTCCATATAAAAAGTATATAATACAGGCAACGCGCTCTTATATTGGATGACTCGATTTGGAGAAACAAAAGCGTTGCGGTATTAAGAGTGCTAATGGCAATAGTAAAATAACACAGCGATAATGATACTGATAAGTCCTCAGTCAGAGCCTCAATTATGACGCGCAGAGCAAGACTAATCTTTGGCCAAAATCAGAATCCTGAGTATAAGCCTAAGCCTAGACATCAACCTGAATTGCGGCCAACTGAAATTAGAATGAAGCTGCACCTACGTCTAAAATGCTCGCCTAAAGTCTTAAATCTAATCCTTAGCCTCAATCTAAGCCTAAGTTTGAGTCTAATTTCAACTGACGGCAATTCAAATCGATCAAATATTCACTTTGTTGTATTATGGTGCAGACAAGAGTACAAATAATGTTACTATTTCTATTAATACTATTCCTGTTATGATAGTCCATAAAATCCAATCAAGTTGAAACACTGCGAGAATCACATAACTGTTGATAATGAAAACGGAACGGTCAATTTAGTTATCATTTCAAACAAAGCAGATTCAAATTGATACTTACACTTATTTTCGGCAACTGAGCATCTACAAGCAGTTCGGGCTTATTTTTGTACCATGAAAAGCACAGATTGCGAGATATCGACAACGAAAATGACAACGGTTCCAAAATTTCACATTTCGCCGTCACTGTATTCTCAGCCACTTTCTCCGTCAAACGACCACTACAAACAATTCAAAACTTAAATAATCACTACTGCATCCTCATAACTGGCAATCTGCAATGAGAATAAGAATAAATGCAGCAAAATGAACTAACATCGCAAAATTAACGTCCGAAAGGACGATACTCATATTGTCGATTACGGCTTTCGGTTCTTCAGCGATGTTCGAAAATTTATTATTAATTGACAGTTTACCTGAATGTTGCATTAAAATCAGAAATACTTTATCAGTTGAAAGAATACAATCTGTGAGATGCCCAAAAAGAGGAGAATGAAGAAACAAATAACATGCCTAAATCAACCACAAGTGCATCGAACGAATCTGACTTCTGAGGGATGACAATCGTCGGAGCAGCTAACTCGACATCAAGTTGGATTCTCGGCGGTGACAGCTCCATTATCTGCGCTGCTTTCTGAGCTGCTTCGGTCGCTTTTTCGGCAGCGATCGCCTGTGCTTGTGCTGCCGCACGAACTGCTTCCGCTTGGAACGGCTCTACCCATTTCTAGAAACACATTTTTATTTCTCTTACTAATAACATACGAATAGAACAGGTTAATGAAAAAGACCATACCATAAGTCTGATAAGCCAAATGTTAAGAAAGATGAATCGCATCTGAGCGAATCGACATTTCACTGCCATATCAAGATCCGAAGCAGTCATTCGCTTCTTCTCTTCATCAGTTCGATTGAACTGAATGAATTCCAGAGTGAACATCTCCTTGTCACCGCAAACCGCCAACAAGTGTTTGTGCGAGGTGCTGTTGGTACGATCCTCCATTGTTATGGCACGCAAGCCCGCATCTAGAGTCATCGTCTTCTATAAACATCAAGCAGTCATTTGCACATCAATCACGACGTTCATGACATATATGCTAAGAAAACGTACAACTTTCATTACAAGTGATGTCCTGATATCAGTGATACTGAACGCCGTATCAAGACTTTTGTTGGATCCGATTAAGAGCGACAATGCTTCAAAAGACGCATTCAATCGCATCTTTATAGTGCGATCACCTTGAGCTTCGGCTTCTTCCAACTGTCGTTTACGACGAACATCTTTCAAGGTGTGATCGGTCGCTTGAGTTGTGGCTTGCGGTTGTGAGCCGCTGGGTGTTATTACACTTAAAATAGCACAGTAGAGTCACTCTATCAATCACAAAACAACCAACGACTGACCGTTTTTGAATTTCTTTTTGCTGGTCACTTGCCTCCTCTTTGCCTGCTTTCTTCTGAATCTCTTCGACATTATGTTGTAATGATTCACCGAACGCTTTCAGTCCTATTAATGCTTCCTGCAAATTCATTTTTATTAAGCGTATTTCCTCTAATAAATAATTTTTCTCGCCCTAGGAGCAGAACCCTCTTCCTTCCACAACAACAACAACAATCTAATAAACCTGGTGCAGTGAAATGCTTAAAGTTTTGAATGTGATTGATATCGATTGTTCAGTTGATTCGTATTCCGATGCAAAGAATGGACTCTCAGGATTCGCCTGCAATAAAACAAATTTGCAAACAAAAATAATCGCTTCGGTTATAACAATTCGTATCGATTTTACTATGAGACACGAATAAGACAAGACGCCATACAGTTTCAAGAGAATAGTTGCACGCAAAAATGAACAAAATTACCTGCACAAAACTAAGAATTAATAGATTTTCGTCCTGTTTATGTGTGTTATCAATAAGGAAAAGAGTATCACGACCAGGCACAATACTCTTGAATTGTGGTTGTTCAATGGTCAGATCACCAAGCGTTGCTGTTACTAGCATATCGAATGTGCGCATTTGCAACTTGCAACCCATGCGCCGCACTTGTATGGATAACAGCACAGCATCTCGAGTTCCAATCACCACGCCCACCTTTAAAGCATAACCATACTTCATACTCGTCCAAATAAGGTAAAGAATAAGCGAACCAACTTGATTCAGATGTAACTCCAGCTCGAGCTGCACTTGTTGTTCATGCTTCTCTTTGTCTATAGTCGATTCAGACACTGTCGACGACTCCACTTGCTCATTCTTCTTGCTTTTCATTTTCTTCTCATCTTCAGGGCTAGTCTCGCCTATTTCTTCATCCACCTCCATCATGGCACGCATCTTCGCACGATCACGCAACTTTGCACGTTCGAACTGAATGTCATTCAAATATAAAAACTTCAGTCAACTCCATTAGTTGTTATTGTAGAATCGATATGAAATAAAAATTAAAATGTACAAACATCAGCTTGTGAAGTCAAATCAGATAATCCTTCAATTTCGGATTCGGGTGGAGGGGTTGGGATACTGAACGCAAGCGTTAACAGCTGCAACAAACGCTCATCTGACAACGACAGAACAATATCCGGCAGATTACCGAACACTCGCATCCTTAAAATACAGCAAATATCATTATTCATCTGCCATTACCAAATGGCACATCCAACAAATCGACTATCATAACACTAAATGAACATCATAATTTGACTGCATGAATGCCTTGAAAAACAACTGCTAAAAATCAACGTACTTGGGTAACTGTAAATCATCGATTGAGGATTTGTGTATATCGATTTCCATACCAGTTGGTCGTAGAACGTGAAGGTTTGATTTCGGATCTTGACGAGCTGACATTGCCGCACGGAAGTTATCTGCCAGAATCAGTTGTACATTCGTTAATTTGACGGCAAATTTATCGTAGGCCTGGCTCATCAGTTCTTGCATACGATCCATTTGTTGAGTCTGCATTGCACCAATTGTTTCATTAGCTAGTCACTCATATTAGCAAAAGGTGAATGTCATACCGATGCGTCTTCAATAGTCGTAATAGTGAGTATGCCCAGATCAGTGACCAACGCAGGTTTCTCCTCAGCGAAAACGCCGCCTTGACAAATGACAATCGTTGCAGGTGCTATCTGAATATCCAACACCAACTTCGTCTTCGTTTCTACTGCATGTGCCAAGCCCGTCACTGAACGCGTCTTCACCTCCTCGTAGCGAGTCATCGCTGCTGTTGTTAACCTTCAATGGGTTCGCATGACACTAGAATGTCCCGATGACACTATAATAACAAAAGGAACATACTGATTCAAGCGAACACTTTCCGGAGGTCGGAGTGCATCAATGGCAGCGTTGACGGCAGGTGCATGATACTTTAGCAAAGTGGGAGCGATACTGAGCTTGACTAACTGATCGTAATTGACCTCATCACGATCCAACGGGTTCGTATCGATCAAAATACTTAACCACTGCGATGACTGATCCACCATTGATAACATCGCTTGACCACAACCATCCATCTCCACTGACTTTATGCCGCTCTCAATGCTGTAAGCAAGCCATTTACACTCTCATATAATCATCATTCATTAAATAAACTTACTTGATCGCTCTTGCTGAAGGACGCTGTTGAACTTTTGCAGTGAGCAATGAAAACTTCAAACTGAGTGCGTTTTCGATGACGACCATCAAAGACTTCAGTTCAACTGTGATCACATTTTCAACGAAACGCTTCGGATAATCCGTCGGAGGAGTGTTCTCCTATGAAATTGTCATAACTGATCTGTTCGAAATAAGAACCAACTTCATTATGTAAACAACTTAGTAGCAGTAATCTCAAAACCATCACTTTTGGACTACTACGGATAACGGGAGTAATTTTTTCAATTTTGTTGACCTTAACTCTATGTAGTAATAAGCGGGTTACGAAACAAGCACTTAATTTCAGTGCAGTCTACCAGGCACTTCCTCCAATCCAAATGGGAATTAGCTTTCATGAAATATAATCTCTAGTGCTCCTCTACTCTAACGATAATGCATATTTTTTGCGGCAAGAAAGTACCCACTTTATGTAACAGCAATATTTCGAGGCAAACTCTTTGGTATCAATTTCAATTTTAATTGCGGTACTAATTTCTCTCTTGAAAAGCATTGTATTGATCGATGTGTTGCGTTGACTTGAATCGAAACATGTTCATTTCTCTGCAGATATTATCTGGCATTTCGCATATGATAGGTTCAGATACTGAAGCACAGACTGCGCAAATAATGTAAAAAGAAGTAATACAAGAACATCACCTACCTGATAATCAATTGCTTCGAAAAGTTTTGCTTTTTCTTCGGGAGTCATCGCTTGTTCGAACTGCGAAACGATATCGCCGGCAGTTGGCTTCGTTTCTTGTTCCTTCGTCGGCTCACCGCCACCCCACCTGAATTGAACAATCGACTAACTGCACAATAAAATCACTTCGTCTGACTAATACCGCAAACGCTCATTCAGTGATTTCATGCATGCACAATTACCTACACAATTCTAATCAGTCCTTTTGCAAATTCACAACAAAACACATTAAAATACCAATAATTAAAAGTACCCCTTTTCAAACGTAAGAAACAAGTGAAAGGAAGTGAATACGACTGAAGTAGTACTCACCAACTTTTCGCCCAACTGACCCATCCCTGAGGTTGATCTTCTAAACGCGTTAAACCACGTCTATCGATTTCCATATCAGCTTGCTGCCTTGCAATATTCAGATTGAACAAGTCAAGCTTCTTTTCAGCTTCCTACAACAATATACGATAAATATATTTGATGCGTACCCATCAAATCAAATTTCAATTCAAATTTTGAAATTCCACCACATCAATCCGAATGAGTGAACAAATTAAAATATCACGAGCGCTATCATGCAATACGATTAAACAGTAACAATTTAAAGGCACGGCACCTCTATCAGATTCGTATCCTCTTTACTAAGACTCTTTTCGGTTTGTTTCCTCAACCAGGCCTCTTTATAATTTTTCAGCAACTGTCTATGTGCCTTCATTCGTTCCCATGACCAGTTATTTCTTTTACGTCTTATATTCTCCTCCAATATTGATTGATACGCAAAATGCCACCTTCAATTAACGATAGTTAACGATAACGCTAAAGCAGCACTGGTAATAATGAAGCATTACCATTTCTTTGCATGACCATGATATTCGTTTATTGGCGGTCGATACTTGAGATATTTAGTCGCTATGTTGAAGCGTTCTTGTGCTTCAAGAAACAACAGCAAATCCTGATATTGGAATTTACCAATACACACTCCGAGTGTATCCATATTCAACTGCAAATCTATTTTCGGCGTTTTCCAATCGGTACCATCTGTTTCTGGTTTTTGATTCATGGATAACTTCGTTTGCATTGTTATAGGTTCTAGTACTGAAAACAACTTGTTAAATCAATGCTATTCATTTACTCAATAATCACCTTAGAAATTTCCAAATATGAAATCATTCTTTAGAAAATTTCATATTTTCAAAATTTACATTTACTTTAACAAAAATTCACTGAAGCTCATTGCATATTTCAATCAAAGCGCAAAGTTGAAAAACACTTACTGTACTTGTAATCGTCCGGTTTCTTGCCTCCACTAGCGATACCATCCTGCATCTGACGTTTGATCTCAGCGCGATCAGTCAGATCGGAAATAAGTTTCGAATCTGGATTCCAATAAACGGCAAGACTGTTCAACGATATCAGTTTATACACGATCTGTACAGCCTCTTTGTGAATTGTTTCTATCCAGTTAGCATCTGTCGTCTTAAAATAACAATAATTATTCAAAATCTCAATAACATCCAAAAGATAACAAGATGTTATTAATAATGATCAGAGCAACTAATGTCGATACTTTAAATTCAAGTCCTTCGAGCGTAGCGCCGGCAACGAACGGTCGATGTCGATTTGTGAATTTATCTTCGTAACGAATATGAATGCTTCGAATTGATATTTGTAAATTCTTAATTACTTGTGCAACTAATTTCTCTGTGAATGAGTCAGCTGTTGGATCTGGAGGCTCTGAAGATAAACTTATCTTTATAACAAAATCAACCTAAATGATCGTATGTATTTCTTGTCCATTTGTGGTACTATTGCTGAACGACCGAAGTTTGTTCGTATTAAAGCTTTGTTTTTATAAACGTTTGTTAGTGTTGCAATTTGAAGCGAAACTTACTTCTACGATTGTGCCGATTCTCTTCAAGGCGTAGCAAAGCTTTCTGTTTGATGTCTTGTTCGTTCTTTCGAGCTTTTTCTTCGTTGTAAACCACACCTTTATTCGGCACAACTATCAAATGGAGCCCTTAAAATTTCGTTTTGAATCATCGCACGAGATAGATCCAATGGCTTATGATTGTCACAGAATTAATTAGCTCTCACCATTTTATTCATCATGCATTTTCATTTCATATAAACTTTGTGGAAAACACAGTTCTCGTTTATTTATTAGTTTCGAAAGGAACCTTCAATAGTTGCGATAACTGGCTCTGTGTACAGACTCTTCCATGGTATTTTAAGCACCAAATTCGAGAGATAGCCAAACTTGAGTTTCACTGGTAAATCGAGATCGTCTAATGCTGTTTCCTTGATCTCAAGATTTTCCAGTTTCACATCACCTGAATCACGAAGACGAAAAATAAAGAGTTTAGGACTGGTTTTTAAATAAAGAAAGCGAAGAAAACCATGAAATTATATTGTAATAATAAAACGATAATGATAATAATAATAATAATAATATTATTATTATTATTATTAT